TATCGGCTATAAGTTCAAAATTCCTAAATTTCAGAAATCCCAAGTCGATTCGCAGTTCTTTGGAATCACAAGTGAAGTACGATTAGTGAAGTGAAGTAGATTTCATGAGCAACAATGAATTACTCACGGACTTGTATCTTCTAATGCCAATCAATTGATAGTCGAGAGTTGAACTTTTTGCTGTAAAAAACGACGACTCTATCAATTAAATAAATAATTAGAATTCAGCGCATAGGTCCTTTTCTGTCGATTATCAAATCATTCATTTCAAATAATCAAAAAAGGCATTCAATCAATTGAGAAGGTTTACTCAATAACGGAATCGTATCTGGCAATATCTTCCAAGACATAAAATATTAAATATGTCAGTCCAGAAACACTGGCCTAGTCAAACAAAGAACGATCAATAAATTGACCAATAAATGGGCTGCTGACATTTTTGCGTCAGGATCAAATGATTCCGATCATCATCTAGCAGTGATCGACAACCTTTTTTCACCGTGTTACACCTGTTACAATTTTTCACAAACTTTGTATACCTTACAGATACCAATGTTTAATTCTAAAATTTAAGTCGGGGGTCAAGCCATTATGAATGATTATTTTGGGTTCCACTGGCAAAAACAGTTGATTAATAGGGATGAGCATTTCGAATCGAATAGTAAATTATTAGAATTGGTTCAGAGCCGTAACGGTTCGGTTCCGTAACGGTTCTTTGTATCAAATTTAAGTAAATAAATCTAAGACCTGCCTGATTGGCGCTAATAAGATAATATTATTTTATCATTGTAAACAATACTAATGGAACCTATTCGTTAACGCCATATATATGAAATGTTTTGTTTTTTGCCAGTTTATGGTTTGAAAATACGGTAAAAAAATCGGCGATTACCAATATTTGACGGCCTTGTTACATGCATACCGCCTCATGCGTGCATAATGGTGGCATAGATCAGTGGTTCCCAACCGTTCTACCCTGGCGGGCCGGTAAAATTAAATAAAATGTACTCCGGCCCGGCAAAAATTGAAATGAGTGGGACTGAAAATAATAACATATATATATTTGCGTAATGTCGGCCAATCACTATGCTTCTAGTTAAAAAAAGACACACTTAAAAACATTTCACATAAGAAAAAACTTTCAAATAATTTGCCGGCTAAAAATTGAAATGGGTGGAACATAAAATAATAACATACTATATTCGCGTAATAAAATGCAGTGCTGGGCACCCATTATGCGGTGAAAAAAGACACACATCTATCTCACATAAAAAACATGTACATGCCTAATCATGTACAAACACAATTAACTCCAGTGAGAATTTTGCTACTGTCCCGTTTCCAATACAGGATTGCAAATGAGGCATCAAAAAGGATTTGCAACACGTAGCTCTGCAGCGGCTGACAGTCAATTTATTTGCTTCGTTTTAATCAAAGCTTGAAGTAACTGGTTGAAAATTCGGAAAACAGGTTGATTGCTCGATTACTTAGCGATGGGTATTCGTTATCAAGAGAGCTCAAGAATGACTTGTGACAATGATTCTTTTCTAAATCTGGACTGTAAAGTAGAGGTTTCATTGGGTTCATCGTACCCCTTTCAAAATCCTGCTGCGCATCACGCAGAAAAGATCTCAGCGGCCCGTGCTTTCGTTGCGCGTCTCGTGCCCCCTGCAGGGTCGCAACAAGTTCATATCTCGCTGTGTTTCAAGGTGAACTCTGGAATATTATACTGTTCTTGACAGTTTTCTGGTTTAAACAAATAAATGTTCATATGCTTTTAAAAGCACAAATAAATGTTCATATGGGAAAAGCACGCTTGCTGATTTTTAGGTTTCTGAATATTGCAAGATTTGCCGAAGCGCTTTCGCGATGAATCAGAACAGAAAAAGCGGTCAGAGGATATCGATATTTAGGCACACTGGCGTAATTCATCAAATTTCAATTTCATAATCTTTCAAGATCACAACAATAATCATATAAAAATCTGTTTAAATATATTTCAAGCGTTGTACGTAGTTTGATACAGAGGTCGGCAACCAGTGCAATATCACACCGTTGGAGGCAATATGACCATGATATTTGCTTATCTCAAATTTGAACACGGTATGATGAAATGATATAAGTTTGCGCAAAATAATAGTCAACAAGGTAAATTCATCGTTAATCAATATCGAACATTAGAATTTGCTTGCGTTGTACAGTTGAGTTGGACCTTCAAGTTAAGTAAAAGAAGTGTTTTTGAATGGCGGTGCGCAAATAAATTTAGATTCAAACTGGCCCACTGATTTCCGACGTCTGGTTTAAAATAATCGATCGTACACTACTTTCTGGAACCGACTTCTAACCCGTAAACTTAAAAACGACGTGTGTATTACCCGATAAATACTCTGCCCGAGATAGCAATGCAGTCCTAACATTTCTATATCGGAAATAACAACAAAGGTTTTAATTATCCAACTGCAAAATCGATTAAAAAAAGTGCAAATCGCTCACATCTACGAACAATTCCGAATTGTATTGATTGCAATTGAACAATTGCAGAATTATATTCCACATGACGAATTTTTCTAACGTATTTCCTCGGTACTCTTTAGCCTACAAATATATCGCGATTTTTAAAATGCGATTCATACTTTCTCGAAGTTGGAATCATCCAGATTGAACTTTTTACGGACCTCCTTAAGCGCATCAAGATTGCGCACTACAATATGAAGTCACAATGAGTAAAATCTGTAAACGTATGTACCACCAGTGCCTCCAGTGGTGAAAAACAAAAAAATATAATGAAGCGGAAGAGGCAGTTTCAGAAGGAAAAATTCAGTTCATAAGAAAATGTATTCATTATATAGTTTCTTTGATTATGTGCGTCACAAATTACTGTACTACAGAATCTGGGGTGTCTCAAAAATGTTGTGTGGTCCTTGTTCGGATAATTGGGACACGTAGGACCACACGTGGGATACGCGGGACAAGTGGGACACGAAATTTTCGGGACACCGCATGCAGCAGTCATGCGCACGACAAAAGGCCAAAAAATGTCCAATTAAGCTGCAACCTGAAGGCGGGCCGAAGGAAAAGAACTCACATTAAGATTCACTGGAACGTGAATGTCCCTTTCGACGGGCGTGGCCTCCTGAAAACCATGTGCGCCTCGTTCACATTGTTGTCTCCAATTAAACTTTTTATTATAATAGAGTTTGAAAGCCCTGACTTAGACTGTACACCCCTTGTATTCTTTTTATCAGTTGTATACCCTACTTGTACTACCCTACTTACTTCGTGGGATCGCAGATTCGAATCCCATGCGGGGATGATCATGTGCGAGAGGATTGCTGGACTCCTCGCCGCCGTAGGGTGGTTCACGTAACCGCTGGTCGGTTACGGATTCCTCCACCATCAAGTCCATGATTCCGAAAACAAATAACTGGCTAACTAATCCCATTCCCTACCTGGACTGGTAACCGGACGAGAGGCCGTGGTTCGCCGTATGATTAAGCCGTCTTATCGGCTTTTTTTTTCTCCCCATGGATAAATATGTAAATCCTATCCTATCCTTATGATTCGATATACACTTGGGTATACCGTATAACCGGTTGAAGAACACTGATCTAGATTATGGAGAATATTATTGGGGATAAATTACTTTTTTGTGCTTAGATTAACAGGCCGTAGGTACACCTTGGACAAATCGCATTTATTACGCACATTATTTATATTCAAGGGTCACAGTGGCCAATAATTATCACCAAATGAGTAATATTGTTACTGTTTTATTTAATTATCTGCAGGTATGAATAAGTGGAATGGAAGCTACTACTTTTGCCGTTCGGTTGAAAGGGGCTAAGTTTCAGATGTAGGGTATGTGCTTAGGAAGTAGGCGCCCATAATTGGTCACGTGAATTACCGTACTATTCATTTTTCGAATATTCACGTTCGCTATCCATTTCCATTTGTTATATACGTATTTTACTTCACAAACATTAATATACGACAATAAATTGTTTTATAATACACCTATATATTCTGTTGTTGTAAAATGTAAATTAGGGTTACCATATTTAAAAAAGCAAAATTCTGGACAATGCATGACTATTTTCATGAGACCGTGTATGCGCTACCGAAATGCTAAGGCTGAAAATGTTGTACGATACTCATGCTAAAGCGCCAGATACCGAAGTGAAAAGTATTTTCTTCAGTCATAAGCAGAATCTCACACCAGGCGGGTAAGCGCTCTCTAAATATAGCTACGGACCGTCACTGAAAAATAATAATGAGAATTAGGTTGTGCCGAAAAGGAAAATCAGCAATTTTCTTTCCTGAAAACAAATTGAAGACACGCTTGTAAGTCAAGTCACTGCAAATTTGCAAATTTACTCTTCTGCAGATTTTTTACTATTGTTGGATGTTCTTGTGACAAAAAGTAGGACTAAGTATAGATCTAAGTTTTAAACATAATTGATAAGGAAAACGCTCTGTTACACAATTTTTTTTATACAACCTCGTAGTAAAAAATATGCTCACGGTGGTACGAAATAACAATGTTCTGTATTAGCAGTGTGCACAGTACGATTGCAGATGCAGTAAAATTCCGGATTCCGGACATTTGAGCTTTTTTTTAAAAAATTCTTCCCGGACGCAAAATTTAACCCTAAGGACTGTATGGCAACCCTAAGTTGTCCTAAGTAAATAACGCCAAAAGTTAAAGTCCGCACTCAAAACCGGTGCGACGTGCTGTAGCGCGTCTCTCGTCAGCTCGTAGTCATACAAGCGGCAAGGCAACATTACTGTGTTTGCAGATTTTTGTATTCACTCTCGAATTAAGTTGCTCAATGATTCGAATTGGATCGCAATAAATTAGGTTATGACAGTACGGTACTGGTACCGGTATATGTATTCAGCTGGCTGTTTATTTATAGTATAAATATAAATATACTCAAATGCCAGAAATATTTTGAGAAGCAAATACTGAAATATATAATCTTTAAGTCTGTCTTTTTCAGTACACATATTCGGAGTAGGCTGTCTGGCTGTGGTTGTGATACAGTGCAGCAGTGGTATTGTTTGAACAAATGAATTTCAGACTGCTTAACAAGTCTACCAGTTAGCCTACGGATACACAATGCTCAAATCCGCAAAATCTTATTTGAGATAGACCAAACATCTGTAGCCTACATATTTTAATATTATTCTGTACCATACTGCCGCGCACAAGTACTGTTATGCCCTGCCTGCCTACTGTTGTATTGGAAACAATTGGGCTCTCTTAACCTACTAAATATCGGAGTCATTATGATATCAACTTATGTATATACGACTACTTTTTGGATTATATCATGCATGTTGGGATTATCAACTATTCTGTTGCTTATGCTTTGCATGAAGAAGAAAAAAAGGTGAGCGACATTGTATTTTATTTCGTGTACTATCTGCTTTTCACAAGAACAAAACAGTACTGCAATACGGCACAGTTCTCCGATTCTAACAAAAGCCCCCACATTTAAAGACATCAATTATAACAGTGAGTGCAAACCCCTATATTTCGAGAGTCTGAGCCTCTATTGATTTAAATTATTATCGAGACAAGCTTGGTGCGATCACCGTATCTGCCATTGTGCCAGTCGCTCTCCTTTCAGAGACAAATTGAGTGCTTGTTTTATTGAATCGAATGTTGGGACATATTGGAATCGGAGAACTGTGCCCTACTTATGTACCCACAGACCCAGCAATTGACAGCAGTTTAGTAGTAATAATCAAAGATATATTATTATGCCAATGGTCGTTATCATTATCAAGTGAATCCTTAGAAACTTTGGCTTTGCATCAAACAATATCAAAAGCCAATATTTATATTGTGAACTTACTAATGGATTTGTATATGAACACTCGTTAAAACATGACTTACTGTAGTATACTTAATATTAGTCCTTTTTTTAATATTAGTACTAGTATACTTTTATTTAGTGTTTTTCAGGAATGAAGTTATTTTTAAATAAGTTGTTTTTACATATTTGTGCATGATATTAAATGGGTTTGAGTCAAATTTCAGAAACAAAATTTGGAAAGATTTTATGTTTGTATTTGTTTATAATTGTAATTCAAAATATATGTGTGTAATTAATACATTTTTTATTTTTTTTGATTTGTGATTCGTGGTTGCACTGAACACTCTAACATCTACTGGTTGAAATACCTGTACCCTAAATGATTGTTGAATGGCTCTCAATAACAATGGACGTTTCTGCGACCCTTGACCCCTGAAAAATTCTCCCTATACTTCACCATTGCAAAATTTTTATCACTCATTTTAGGAATGTTTTGGAGTGTTCACGCGTACTAACTCGCTTACATGTTCAAAACTATCATTTTTATTATAAATGTTAATCCACTTGTGGCGAACAGGTGCTCATAGCAAATTTTAGGCCAGTTTATTGCAAGGTTTGCGGTATTAACTACTCCTCAGAAAACATAATATTAATGACAACTAAATTATTTGATTTACGAGTGTTTTTTTGAAGCCCATATGAAAACTGACAAATAACACGCTTAACCCAAAAATGTAATGTTTACTTGGAAATCTGTCTGAGCGACGGCATGAATTGCAATTGTTACGTCACTGTTGACTTATTGTTAATTGGTCATTGTTACGGACATAAACGGGGAAATCGATGCTCAGGGAAACATCCATTGGCTTCATTTCATAAGTCACATTATTTTCAACTGGTGATCAAGTCTAAAAATTAGTATATTCTAATTTACTTGACACTATGTTTTTGTTAAATAATATATCATTTTTTGATATATTATCAAAGTTACTTCTATTATGTTGTCTTTTTTTATGTTTGCATCCTTTTTGTTGTCATTTATGTATTGATTCAAAGCAAACATGTTTCAGGAATTCTGTAACTATGACCAGGTATGTAAAGAATGAAGATTTTGATAACAATGTCACTGCGCCTGATCAAAGGTCAAGGACATCGACAAATGGTGACGGAGTGTTCGATCGACAAACTGAGCAAAGACTATCACAGCATTCGGGTATATAGTTTTTTATATTTAAATTTATTTAATTGCACATTTGAACTTTTGTTTGTTTATGATTGTACCCGAAGGTTTCAGTAATATAGGAGTCCTATATTAGGACACATTGCACAAAAGTTATGTTTCCTCTAGAACAGCGGCGTGGAACTATTTATCGCAATGGGCCAAAGCGTTATATGATAGTAACACTGTTGGATTCAACAAAATAAAATGGAGTTTTTTTCGTGCATGATTTTTCGGATTCTTTTCATGTCCATACTCATGTAAAAAATCTGCAAATGGTTTCCATGTTATGATCGAATCAGCGATTACTTGTAATTTTGTTCTGCATCAATATTTTCGAGATGATCATTTATTTGGCGAGCCACTGCTTTAAAAAATATTTTATCTCCAGAGAATCTTATCGACGAATATATAGAGTCCTCTGCTCCAAACATACAATTCATTTTGGGCATTTCTATGTTTGACTAAAGTTAGCACTTTATTTATCTTATTAACATATATTTCTGTACCTACCAGCAATGTTCCCTCTAAGCTGCGCGCAGTACTTTTGTTCTGCCATGCACTGCTTAAGTATTGAAAATTCTGTGTTCGTTTAATATGTTGCGTTCTTTTCTATTTTTTCTAATTTACCGTACAAATCTTTTTTTGGAGCTCACATGGCCTTCTATTCCGCGCAACTAAGCAAGCTTCCACGTAGTAGTATTGTTATATCAACTTGACCAACATAACATAATTTTTATATGGTCATACTATCAAGAGAAATATTTCATTATTTGCTGCATTTAAATTTCACAGTTTAGTTATTAATTTTTGCTTCAGTTCCAAATGAACACAGGATTCTTCCAGAAATACCAAAGAATGCAGGAAATGGAAAAACAAATGGATCACCTCCTACTCCAGAACAGTCTGTGACTCCTGGAGGTATAGTTTGTCATTTAATTTGTTGATTTTATATTTGTAAAAAAAAAAAATTTTTGATAGATTATTCCCAGTTTTTAGTGTATTATGTGGGATTATAATTTGGGTCGAATCTGATATTATTTAATATTGTCAATAAGAATTTTGATTCTCTTTTGATTTTTTTTTGTTTCATTTTAACATAAACAACTTGTGGTAGACCTAATATATTTCAGCTAATAATGAAATGAATTTAATGTTATTGATACCTAGTACCCTAGGCATTAGATAGTAAATTAGTAATTTTTTTTCAATTGACGAGGCTTGACATCAATCAACTTGACAAGATGATACAGTCAGAAAATATTGTTTTACAAAAGGTCGTATTGACAATAGTACTTGCCCCTAAATTTGTCAAAAGACTATATCATATATTTTGTTACCTTCAGTTACAAGTTAATATGTAAAATATATTAGTACCTTTGTTATTCAGGCTGTATTGATATAAATAGTAAGGCATTATCTATCTTCGTTTATGCGCATCAAATTGTAAGGGCATCTGCATAATAAATAATCATTTAATAAGGACAGGATACATACACACCCTGTTGGCCTACTAAAACATAGTTGTACAACATGTACTCTTCACAAACGTATCATCTGTTTTGGACTGATACATTCCAACCTAACAATATGAATAACAGAATACAACTATACAGGTAAACTACCAATAGACTAAACAACACAGTAGCTAACATCTGGAATTGATTGAATTTAAATTATAATTATTTTTAACAAATTTGGATAAATTAAGATTTTTTTGAATTTCACAATACTGATGATCAATATTGCATCGTTGATTGATCTCCAATCAAAATAATTTATTAATAAAATAAAACAAAATGTTCAATTACTATAGTGAAGTCATGATTTCATAGTTATATGCCATGTATATTTATACTGCGTTTTTCCTACTAAATGACCTTAAGATTAGATCAATGACATACTGTATTCTTTTTATATAATTTTCTCTTTCATACTGATATTGATTGTATGATTCTAAAAATAACTTGCATATTACATTTAAAACTGGTCTTTAGTTGCTCAAATTCAAATTCTGAAGGACAAAACTCAAATTCTGATGGATACACTGTTTACCAATGTTTTATCTGTACTCAGTATTTTATAGGGAAGTAAATTTAAATAATAGCCTATTAATATTGTCCAAGTCCTTACAATTATAAAAAAATAATTATACTAACAACCGTTTTGTAAGAAATAATATTATTTTATGACCATGAATATTCGGTCCAAGGTGGTGTTTTTAAGCATCTATAATGCAGTATGGTTTTTATATCTATTAAAAACTAGATTCACAAATGCTTTTGATGCTCATGCTATCAACCTTTAATATTGTTATCTATTGAGTAGGCTACTTATAAAATATTTTGAAATATCATATTTATTTAGTGCCATAGCGAAATATAGTTTAATATAAGTACACATGGATGTCAACAATGAATCAAATGATTGAATCGTTTGGGAATTCTTGGTTTTAAAAATAATTTAGAATTCCATTTGGAGCAATTGAAGTCTCACAGTTTGATAAAAATCACTCAAATCATTGTCCATCTTATAACTTTTTTGTTTTCCTAAATTGGATTCCATTGAATAAATATTAACTTCTAAGTGTTCTTTGTTAAACATGATACGACTTGGATTATATTTGAAATTCCATACCACAAAATCATATTTTATAGTATACTTAGGTTAGTGAATTATTTGGTTTGGAGCCACTTTGTACAGCACAGAATGATGGCTGTAGGGGTCTGTATACAATGTAATTGGCCATTACATCGAGATAAAAACAGTATACTATACAGAATTGTATCTTATTAGTAAGTATTTCCAATGTAAAACTAACTTACAGTATGTGAACGTTTACAACTTTTCCATCATTTGCTGTCAAGAACTACATTTAAGAAATGCTTTTACGATGTACTCCAATGTTTTTATAGCTCGTTATTTTTGTCTTTGTATCAGTTCCATTCCTGATTTATTTTTTTTAAATTAATTTTCCACATATGTATCAATATGATTTAAATCTAAAAATGATTGTCACGCTTTTTCCATTATAAGGCCAAGTAGACTTATTTGCATAAATGCAAATTGACATTTTGACAAGTTCAAGTTTTGGCTTTGTTAGAGAAATTGAACTGTTTATTTGATTGTATTCGTGACTTGTGATCACGAATCAGCATTGATTATAGTATTATTTCGGTGTAGAGTTTTCGGTTTTATCGGTCCCATTTCAATGCTATTGTTTGAATTATAACATGAATTGAATTGTTTGAAACAATAGTATATAATTCTAAGTTATTCAAGAGTCTTGCTGCACACTTACACAAATATATATCTGACTTCGGTCAGAAGAAACGTTACAGATATAATATGGGGTTCAGTAACATTTTTGAATTACTTACAGTACTTACAATAGTTAACTTCACTCCTGCTCTTGCTACATTCTTGATTATATGCATACGGATCCATTGGCGGAAAAGCTTAGAAGAAAGATAAGTAATTAGTCTCACAAAGGTCTACCAAATTGATAGCACAAGTAATCAAATATAAACTACAAAACATTTTTTATTTCAGTCATTTTGTACAGGTGAAATGTGATATAGTAGTATGATATTGTTGTAATTTATTTGTCTCCAATTCACTATAAATGCAATTGCATATACAATTTATTATAAATGCATATTATAGAACTAATTTAATAGAACATTGCCTTTCCACTGCTCATGCGTCTAAGCTGCAAAAGAGCAAATTATATATCTTTTTCATTTCATGGCATGTACACTTTTTACACATTGCTATTTATGACTGTTTAGATGAGGATGCAATCTTTTTTTATCAGTTTCCATGAATAAAGACTGCTCATGTGATATTAATGATTTAATTTACTGGTATTGCCAAACCAATTTCATTTTGAGACAAACGAAATATTCCCAAAGTAAGCATTATGTAGTCATGCTTTGAGTCATATATCCTATAACGCCTTGTATTCACAATCCAGTGAATTCAGGAAACGTTCGACAAGCACCGTACTTGTTATGAAGCAAAATACTAGACTAATGAATAGTGAAACAAACTATCTTTGTTTTTTTTAATAACTCCTTTAACTTTAAGAGAAACATGAAAATCAAATATTTATGACGATGTTTAATCTAATTTATTGGTCATACATATGCAGAATCGGTGGTACGGTTATACAGTATTTTCCGGCTAACAAGTCGTCACAGCGAATAAGATTAAGCCTAGCGACTTAATAGCCAGGAAATACAATAATGGGCAGCGCGATGGCTTAGCGCAGGGGTTCCTAAGCTTTTTTCATTTCTCATAAAACTTTAGAGCCTCTTTCACTGGACTTTTGAGTTTGGTCATGTGGTGGTATTAAGTAAAATAAGCCTAAAACCAAACAGTGATGTCACAATAAGCACCTACCGGTACATTTTCTATAGCATAAGCATTGACCGATGCCTATGGGCCTGTTTTACAGTAAGCCATTGTACAAACTGCTAAATTTAACATGGTTTGTCAAATCTTAGATGTTTTGTGCATCCATCCTCTACCACACCTCAACGACCCCATGACCTGTTTGCGACCCTGCCTACTTATTACTCCGACCCAATTTGTGGTCGCGACCCCTTGTTCGGGAACCCCTGGCCTAGCGGTTGATAAGGTGTACGACTTATGTTGCCATTGCACATTACACATTTCAGGATCAAATCCCAGGCCTCTGCTCACACCAAATCCTGGATGTAATAAATTTAGAAAAGGCATTGTCAAACTGGAAGGATTCAGTCTTTACTCCTTGCAGCATAAATCGATATCAGTGGGTGCTTTCATGAGTTCTTGTCCGGAGCAAATAGCAGGAATGAAAAGCGCTGAAAAAAAAATGATCATTTTATGTAATATTGCATGGTTTATTATGTTATGTATGTTAACTTTATCTTCAACAAGACCGAAGAGGAATAATTGCTGTGAATGCGGTTTGTGTTAATATTTTTCTGTCTTAATCTTTTTCAGCTGTATCATTAGATGAAACACAGCGACATTCAAATCCAAGTCCAAAAAAGAGTCGGAGACTACCTGCACTGCCACCTACTGGTAATGTTGAAGTTGTACAAACAATTGAAGGTGCTAGTAATGAAAAAGTAAGCTTAACAATTTATTCTTGGGGTTCACATTTTTTAATACTACCTTTTTCCAGTTACGAAAATTGTGTTGAATGTGGTATAGAACAGGGACACTTTTGAAGTTTCCTTTTATAAAATCACTTTTATAGATTTAAATATATATGAAAAGAACTATAACGCCTTATTAAACAATCTTGATTAGCTAATAATCATCAGTCGGCTGAGAAATTGCCTGTTTGAGGATACCAAAATATGATTTCTGGAAAGACCAGACCCAAATATTTTCAAAGTTTTGTATGCCGACCTTTGGTAAAAATAGTTGAGTAGCCATGGTATAGAAAACAACTTATGCTGTCTTAGCAGTGAATTTTGATGGAACTAAACTGATCAGGAATTTTTGTATATTAGTAAGTTCAATATATCAAAACATGCTAGAGACTATTATAAGCTAGTTAGAATCGGAAGTTGCTTTGAGAACCAAAACCATTTAAATCGGGTCGAAGTTTTTGGAATCTGAATTTATTTTTATTTTTTTGAAGAATTCTGGTAATAATTTTTTTTTCTTTTGATCTTTATGAAAACCACTCATAAAAGTTGAAATTATAGATGGTAAAAATCTTACAATTTAGCGTAATATTCTAATTTCATTCCAAAATAATATTTTCGAATATGGAGTATTTATTATATTCTAAAATGGGTGCTCCCGAAGTATGCGAACCAAGATGGCGGACATCGGAACGAAACATGGGTAACAGCACTAACAGGTTAGGGTTAGGCGATAATTTTTTTCCAATTTTTCTTATTTTAGTCCTATTATCAGTTCGAAGACTAGCCAAGAGCCTCCCGTAGTATTTATACCTAAAATTATGGCCTAACCCTAACCTAGTACACATATTACATTCCGATGTCCGCCATCTTGGTTCGCATACTTCGGGAGCCCCCTAAAATGTGTCTTTTTAATCAGAGATGTTTGCCGAAGTCACTGCAAACTTATATAAATTGAATTTAGTAATACTTGAATAATGCTTGGTTCAAATAAAAATGGGATAATCATACCGTAGTTTACATTAATTATCTATTTTTTTCAGTGTCGGATATAAAATGCATGGGAAGGTACAACAGTAAATTCTAAATTTGAAGAAGGTTCTTCTCAAAATCATATACTTGCTCTGACGAACCAATATCACTTGTTATTAATCGATTCAGTTGGAACAACCCTTCATGAAACTGATATTAATATGATAATGAGATTTTGTAAGGTTATGTAAACACCATTATGAGGCTCATTGTTATAGTATTCCCATTTTTTCATAGGATATAGAAGCAACTTATGAAGATCTACGAGATGACACAGTTGAACAACCTGATCCCTCGAATGAAGTTATTGGAAGCGGTGATTCATCACTCTATGCAAAGGTAAAAGTAATATTTTTTGTTTTCGTTCGCTTGTGAAATTTTTGTAATGCAATTATTGTAAGCTTATAGGTAGGTATGTGGGATGGGTATTTCAAGACCTTTTGTAAGAAAGTTTTTATATACTAAAGAATTCCACTGGAAACTTTTAAACATTTTCTGTAAAATTTCATTCTTTGTACTGAAATTATGATTTATGTCGAAATTTTTTGGAAAACCTGAAGCTTTTTTTTATATTTTCCCGAAACAGAAATAAATTAATTATCCAAAAATGAGTAAGATATATTTAGCATGTAGCCAAAAATCTGGATATACAAAGATAAAAACCTGATGTTTTCAAACCTCTTGTATAATATGGGCTATATTTCCTGTAAGTCATTTCTCAAACATAAATCTTTTTCGTACTAACTCTGTACCGTATTTACATATTTTTCGAACACTATGCAGACTGTAGCTAGAGGAATTTAAAACCCACACCTGAATCAACTAATGCACTACAAATATTACGGTAACTTTTTTTTAGTTTAGTTTCAGTTTCATAATCATTGTAAAAAAAAAATTTAAACTCAATTGACCTTTAAAAAATGTCAGTTGACTTGAAAGGCAACAGAATTTGTATGTGCATTATAGTCATATATCAAAAAAACTCCATTTGCTATACTCATGATATTGAAGATTTGAATGATTGAGAAAAATAGTGTCACTTCTGTGTATTGGAAAAAACATAATAGTTTGTTATACTCTGCTGGGTTATGGAAGTCTGGAGTTCAGTGCTTTTATTCTGACATTGCATAATGCCATTGTTATTTTCTATGTTGTGATATTCTTTACACTGTATATCCACACAATATAATAGCATGTGGGTTGCGGCATGTCATTATTATTAAAGGTAGTGTTGAAGGAAATGTGACGTGCGTTTCAATACCTTGTTGCATGTAAACTAACTTTGACCTGTAATCTGGGGATTGAGGTATGATAATTGGGGTGATACTCGGCACAAAGAAAAAATTATGTAGGTGTAAATTAAGAGGTGTTATGCTACCGTTTTTTAATGATAAATATTAAATGAGGCTAACATTTTTTACCTACAAATGTCTCTTGTATGAATTTCTTTCCTTTCATAATTAGATTCGGTATTGTGGCATATTTTTTATTATGATATTGTATTTTAACAACCTGTGACATGAATTTTAAGCAATCTTCTCTTTTCATTTGTAGTTTTTTCTAATTAATATTCACTTATGGTTTGTATTTCCAGGGCTGGGACGATAGATGTGTGCATGTGTCATCACAAGTTCTTTATATTCATATTTGTATAATTTCAGAAAATGAGATGGCTTAGTGTTTAATAAAGCAGGGGTGTGCAACCTTTAATAATACAGAAGGTTTAAATACAAATAATTGAGTGAAATTGCGGGTCGCACCTTTATTTAACATGGGCTCTCTAGTAGTTGCAAGCACAAAAATGTTGGTATTATCTCATGACATGGGTTACGCTCCACTCAAGCTAGCTGTGAGGGCATTGTAACGTCATATGCATAGATAATAAATTGGACTCAGGTATACTCTTTGCAACACAGAGATGTTGGAATTACTCAAACATACCAGATAAAAAAACTAAACTAGAAACTCGTTTCGCGGGCTGCACGACTTTTCCTTGTTGGGGCCACAGGTTGTACACCCCTGGTTTAAAGCATTAGACTTAACTATTCTGGCATCACAGGTTTAATAAATTACTATTTATTCTCAAGTTCAAATCTCATGCCCAACATTTTGCTCAAAGTGTATTAAATTGGTTTCCACCAAAAAGTATCTTTCTTTCAAAAAGGTACTTTCATGTAAGAGACTCATTTATCACTTATGTATCATTAGGAAAATTAATTAATTATGTTATATTATTGTTAATCGATATATTTTTTCTTTATTAATAAGGTACCAGAAGATTTATCTAAACAACATGAAGACGATACAGACTTATATGCTCAAGTTGGAGCTGGAGATGATGATGCCAAGGTATTCAATAGGAATTTTTATACTTCAATTGAAAATATGATATACTCTTAGTAGTCTGGGCATAACTAATGATTTACAATGATCAATTCTTGTATTCTCAATTTTTTTCAAAAGTGTTTAACTTGCCCCATATTCATAACAAATAATTTGAAAGCAAAGGTGAATATTAATGTTGCTATCTTATATAATTCAATAGCAACGTATCTTGAGTAGTCATAGAATGAAGTTTGGGTAAACTTATTTACACAGTTTCTAAATATTTGATATGTATTAGGTAGTTTGTTACAAAAAAATTTGCGACACTATGGTTCAAAAACTGAATTTATCTGACATATATTAACTTATGTACACCATTGTGATATGGGATAGGGATTCCGCTAGTTATGCTTTAATACAGTGGTTCCCAACCTTTCCGTTAAATTCCCCCCTACTTATTTCCAGGCTGAACCGAAGAAAACTAAAAATTCACCACAGAAATCTTCTTCAACATCATCAAGTGAAGATGATAAACTAATGGACAGTCCAACTGCTGTCACTTACGCTTCTGTTGATAAAATGAAAAAAACAATGTCAGTGAAAAGAACTAAAAAAGAATCAACATCATGTAAGATTCAGTCTATTTTACATATTTTTCTATATAATGGCGGTATTTCTCTTGAGTATCAGTAGAGGTTGCATGAGATTAACTCCCAAACCTTTCTCAATGCCTTTGCGCTATTGGAAACGTATGCGTATAATGCAAGGATGCTGTAGCAGGAATAAAAATACCATACTATGCAATTCAAGAGGCTGTAAACTAACACAAATGTATCTCTGTAAGGTTTCGTCTGACCAAAATCAGACTTCCTCAAACAATCTCTATTTGGATCGCAGTTTAAATATTTGTAGTCCGGCTTAGTCTAGTGATTTGACTGTATACAATGCCCGCCCTATGTTATGGTATTTTAGCAACGGAGAACCTCAGTATATTGGCTGTTTGTTTGCTTTGTTTGAAACTGATGCTGAAAAAAGACCACACGAAAGCATGAAATTCGAATATATGATCTGAAAGGTCACTATATCAGTCACCAATCCTGTTTGTACAGCATTGATATTTGTTAAAGTTTTATTTTATCTACCGTTCAGAGGTGTGCCAGTTTTATTTGTACAGGTGTCGATTATGTGTATATTACACTCAAATAAAGAGGTCAATTTTTTCAACCCATGCAAAAGAAGGTTTAACTTGATCTCTATCAAACCATTAATTAATATCATGGAATGCTGAAGCATTGCATTTTATGTTTCTTTTTCCACTTTTAAGTCGAGATATTATTTTTTCGACAACCAAACTTTGTGTCTGAAAATTAAAATAAATAGAAAAGATAGGAAAAACAGGAAATCACTAGGAACGCAGTCTGGTTATGTATCAAAATCCAATCTTCAAAATATCTCACTTCATGGGTTCTTGAATGAAATATTTTGATCATTTTGTATGATATCATCCCAGGGGTACACAGAATAACAATCATAAAAAGGATGGCCTGTCTAGTGGTCAGCATATTGTACTTGAACTTTGTTGCTATCACAACTTCAAAATCTTCAATTCAAACCCCATGTGCACCATCTTACGCAGGGTGAAATAATTTGGGTATGTGATGTTAAAAAGGAAAGACTTCAGTTCAAAAGAGTAGCTTCATAATCCCTACATATCAGTAGGTATGGAACGTTGTTCATAACAATGAGATGAAGAACGCCCAATCAAAATGTATAAATATATTTATCTAATATATCAACGATTCTGATTTTAGCACTCACTGCTCCTCCTCCAGTACCAGATCGTAATTTTGATGAAGAAGATGAAGCATCTTCATCCACATCTGCTGAGCAACATCCTCATCCTGCCTCCGACACCACAACCTGAAGTGAACTCAACACAAGATGCTCTGAGTAGTAAGGATGGCAATGAGGTGATTTGAATAAAAAGTTGTTTTTGTGCGATATTTACATTATTGACACAAAATGTACCTATTGTTAATCTGGTAAAATTAGCATTGCTGTCATAGAAAATAGCTGTTCTCGCAACTGATGGGGTAAATAATTTCAATTTTTTTTTCTCTTGAGTAGTAAGAGCCTGATATCCTCCTCCTACATTTGCTTGTTTTTGTTATTGAAGAACAGATAGTCCATTATGCCATTTCATTTTTTACCATTTTTCTCTAGCTTCGCTAACATTGTGGTAATCATATTTTTCATTTAACCATTGTGTCTATATTTTTTAGCATTACTCTCTTGTTATCTCAATAAATTTGTTTTAAACCGCCTTTTTGTTATATATCGTGAATCGTATAAACATAAAATATAATTATGATTTTGTTGTAATCCTGCTCCATTTTATGACTAAGTTCATGTTTATAGTCCATAGTCATATGTGAATGGGAAATGACCGCATTCCATACTGATTCGATATATGGAAATCCCTATCTTGTTTCTATGAGTAACTAAGCTTTAGAGGTATTATTAATAGTATGTCATTAGTGTAAATATAGATTTAAGTTCATTTTTCTAATTGATTTCTATTCGATTTGATCGAACAGGCTAATAGTCTCACTTTTTTAAAAAGCTTTTTAGTAAAAATAATAAAATTTGAACACAATACACTATTTTAGCTATATTATTTTTATTATAGTTCATGTTTCTATGACTATGTCATAACCCCTTTTTCTTTAACTATGACTTAGGTCACTGACAACCATAACAACATAATATTATTTCATCAATCATCCTTTGTTGATTCCGTAAATGTCCAAATTTGTTGCAAAAATTATTTTTAAGATGTTTTTCCATTTTTACAATGGCTGGTATTAAATTGTATTTTGAACCTTTTGGTCTGATGTAAATTTGTTATTATTATTGATGTTCTGTTTTTAATGACGAGTTGTCATGGCCTCACTCTGAACAAGGCTATGTGCGGACAAACACTGGTTTTAACAGTCACTACTATTTTTGGTAAGATTCTAATGTTCGTACAATTCAGAAATTTTTTTATATAAAATATTACTATTTTCAGATGTATTTGTAATGTGTATACAATATCAATGGCCCTAGTGAAATGATATCTTGACCCTAAAAAAATATTTTTTGTCACATTTTCATTTATTTTCAATTCAAATAACAGCAAACAGGTCCAGCGTACGACACAGTATCAGTACGAGAAAGTTTTGCACATCAACGATTGCGACAAATGGTTGAAGACGAGCGTAGGAATCGCTACATCAATACAAATATGGCAAATAGTAATGGACGTGTAAACAATCAACCTGATGTTTATTCACAGGTAATTAACTCGTACTCAAATAAAAACTGAAGTAACGACATAGTAACTGAGTTATATTGGCATTGCTTGTTGGAGATTTATGTTTCAAATCCTGGCCGGTTAATTCAGAGATAGAGCATCCTCTATAGTCTATCCTCATCCATGATTTTTCTGAAGTCAAATGATGTCGATTTTATTGTTGAATATTGTATATCAGGAGCTTAAAATGATAAATTTTGCCTTTAAAATATTCAAAAAATTTTTCTAAAAGAATTTACTTCAGCAAATATATCCAATTTCAAATCTATTCAAATTTTCTGATTCATTATGGGGATTCATATTGTGTAATAAATTTTGGTACAGTAATACAAAATCGTGGTTTCTGGTCCTTTCAAGAACCTAATAGCATTGTACAGCTTGTCTTCTCTACCTACTTCAAAGAGAATGTTCGAATCACTTTAACAAAAGCTGGATTTCCTTGAGTAATCATAGTTGATCCTTCTTTGATAGCATATCAAGCATATCATTTAAAAAGCCACACCTGTTTTGTATAAGGGTGCTTTAGAAACACACCCCCAATCATAACTATGTGATTTTTACAACATTAATGTGGAAAGAAGCTGGTTTTCATTGGTTCATACATCTGCCTTTCATGAGCTATAGACATAACTTGGTCTTGCTAGTTGAGTGGATGTTTCCATAAGCATCAGTCTCCTTGTTTATTTCTGTTACAGTGCCAATCAGCAATATGTCAAAACTGATACACATAACACAATTGCAATTTGCGGAGCCGCTCAGACACTTCCTTCGCTGAGACAAATATTTCAGCATGGTTGTAAACAGTGCCTCTATAGCTTTACTAGTGATTTTTAAACTTATTACTTATCGATCTTTAGATCGGGAACATTCAACACCTAAATAGATATACATGACTTGGCATGGCACAAAATATCATTGTAAATTGCAATTTCTTTATAACTGATCTATGGTTTGGGTATTCTGAAATTCTTTATTGCAATGTACTTCATTGTGGATGCTTTAAAGATTTTTTACTGAAAAAATGTATTTCAGTTATAATAAGGAAATACAGTTCTATCAAATGAATCAAATACTGGGGAAAATATATTTCAGTTATAATAAGGAAATAAAATTCGATCACAAGAATGATATACAAACTCTTACGATATTTTATTCCTTTGAATTTCGTTTGAATCAAATTTAGTAACCTACTTTTCATCTCTTTTAGTATTCGTGATTTTGCTTATTATGATTCAAAATAAAGACTTTAGAATAAATCTGATAACCATTTAAGGAACAATATGCTTTTTAGCACATTCCTTTTTGATTACATCATTTCGTATTTGAGGAAGTGAGTATTAGTACTGTTTACTGTTCTGCATTTTGAAATTTTTAAAAGAATCATTGGGATACAAAAACAATACCATGCTCTGATGGAAAAAAATTTCAGAAATAAATCAGTTTTGATTACCATTGTGACATTTGAACCTTACTTTATAAAATTTTATGCATCATGATTTGACTTTATTAAAAGCAATTCATTCAGAAAAAAATCAGCAGGATTGAGGATTTGGATTTTTGAAATATCTTTACTCTTATTAATCTGTTCAAATCTGACTGTGGCTACATTTCAATTGCTAGTTCATTATTTGCACACATAATAAAACTTTGGTTTTATTGTCATTCGCATTTTATTATCTCCGCTTTAACTTTTATAGCTTTTGTTTGTTGAGATGCCGCGATACGCTTCAAGGCATACCTGTATCTTTGGAATGTAGTTGTCAATAAATCGTCTACCCACAAATGTAGTAAAATAGTTTGTATTGTAGGCAATATGGAAAGTACCAGATAGGGTTCTGTAATATAGAAATACATATGTACATATAACATAACAGTATCTATCTGCTCATTATCTGATTTGCTCCATTGTTAAGATTTTCACAAATTATACATTTTGTTCAACTTTCATAATGGCTAGGATTATGCTAAGCTGACATTATTGTGATACAATAGCAGTGCATTTCTGGTTGTAGCAATATGTTTTTTTTCTGGGATTAGCAATATCCCACAAACAAAATTAGAAAGTCATGGACATATATAAGCAGGTGTGATTCTTAAGCCTCATTTAAACTGTTTTGTTGTTTTATTAATTTTCTAACCCAACTTTGATTAAGACCGTTTAAGTGATTCGGGAAAGATATTTTTGATACAAAATCACTCATAAATAAATGATTATTTTGGCAAATTTCGAATATTTCTATGCCATCTTATTTGTGAGGCAAATTGCTAAATCTCGAGAACTCAATTGTGTATACCATGTCTCTTTGCTTCTATTGAGTAGGCTACATGATATTCCAAACCGAATAATATGTTGTTATGAATGGTTTCTGAATTTTTTTTTTAATTTTGGAATATTCAATATATATTCCTCAATCTTGTCAAGATGGGTACCCTCGTAGTGTACCAGGTTAGGGTTAGTCCATAATTTTATTCTGATTTTCCTTATTTTGATTCTATCACAAGTTTGGGGATTGTCTGTGTCAGCCAAGTGAATATTCTCCCTGCCCATAGCTTTCAGTCCCTTTACACAACTTGATGTGAAATACGCGAACAAAATTAGTTACCTCCATATTGGTATACATACTTCTGGATCGCTCAACGATGCACATTACTATATACTTGATCAGTTATACAATGCATTGTTATACAGATTGTTTTGATTACCGTAAGTCTTTAACATTAGTGGTTGATGGAAGTTTAGTATTTTTGGCGATAATGGCAGAATGATGGTACAGCAATTTTGAAAATAATATAAATCATATCATACTAATTAATTCTCAAATTAAGGAGTAAACATTCAAATATATTTTATCAATTCTCGATCAGTCCTTGATCTACCGGTAGTTCTACCTGTGGCCTAGAGTGGTTGCTTTCAGTGAACCTCACCTGAGGGATGAGAGCTTCTTTAAAAAAATCCTTTGAACCACTTATATCAGGTGTACATACAGATTGCTTTGCTAAATTGTTATGAGTTTTGTTAGAGAAATTTGTTTTTGTTGTAAAAATCACTTTTCTCCTCAGTTCTTGACCAATCAATTTCAGTATTTGAAAATAAAATAAGACACTGGAAAAGCAATTACAGTACTTTATTTTTGTTTTCCAATCATTTTAGAGTCATAGTTATATTTCTACGAATTTTGGGCCTTTTAATTTATAATTTGTGGCCCCTAATTGTGGGAACATATTCTGACATTTGACCTCCGCATCCATATATGTAAGTCTTGCTCTCTTGTTTTAGATTGATGATGAAAACACAGAAGCAGTTTATGAGAGTGTCAGTGCACCAGGATCTGCAGATGGTACGATTGGTGTAACTGGACATAATTTGCAATCGCAAAACAATCATCAATCCACTCGAGAGGACGGTTATATATCAATCGATACGACTCTTACAGGAGAAACGGGGGTTCCTTTAGCCCCACCTTCTCCCGCTGTACCACAAGAAGTTAGCCCCGATTATGAAAATATTGACCCCGAACCAAGGTGACTGGTCATTACATCTGATGCGTAAAAAATCAAGCGACGTATTTGATTGTGGAAAACCAATTCGTCTGTTCTTATATATTTGCTATGGCTATGCATAACTAACATGTTCGTGCATTTTATGCAGAGTGCGCTGTTCAGTGGAGGAATATTTTGAAAAATCATACAATATATACTTTATTATAATTATGGCACGTCTAACTGAAAAAATGAAGTCTGTGAAATGGTAAAGGCGAAGCGAAATATACACAAACTATTTACTGCATAACTGCATTGCACATAACCTTTGATCCCATGTGGCGGTGACATAGTTAATAACAGGAGCGTAACATTTGATTTTTATGGAGTTTTTTATAAGTTGTTTTCCTGTCTGTCATGGCAGATATGACCATGTGAGACTACCACTCTAAAATAAAGTTTGGCTTTTCCAAGCATAATGTAGGGATAAGAAAGTTCCTAATGGGTCATGTTATGGAAAAATAATAATGTTCTATGTGAGGCCATACCTAGAGTGGATACCTTCTGACATACCGGTAGTTACATTTAAATCCAGATTCATAACTGATTTATTTGACTTGTACTGGAATGCCCGTCAATTTGACATTTTTTTTTTTTAGATACGAAATTTCATTTAAAAATCACATAACCTGCAGTTTTCATAAACTAAACCTATTTTTGGTTAAAAAATGTTGCAATGTTATGTTGTTTTGCAGCTAGATGTGCAGTATTTAATATTATACTTGTATTGTTATTAGTTAACTTTATTTTTGTTACTAAATCTAATTAATTGAAAATCAGAGTTAGAGTCAGATATATAACTGGCCGTTCCTAGATCGATTTTAACCACTGTTTATATTATCATTATCCTGTTTTGTTATCTGTAATAATAGATAAAATTTTTGTGTATTTTTGTTCGCTGATAAAGCGAATTTGAGATAGAATTTAAATATTAGGGGAAAAGATGTTTGCCAAATTATGCTGTTATATTTAACAAAACATTTTCATAAGAAAAAGTTTTTAAGAAATGAAAATTAATTATGTTTCATTTCCAGCTGATAATAGTTTATTAGATTGAAGTATTGGATGTGACATATTTTGTAAGAATACTACCAAAATAGCAAACTGGCTCTTTCAAATATCATTTAGATAGTGAAGGTGTCTCATTGCAATTCAAAGATAGTATGCCAATCATTATCGATTAAGTTTGGTTGACTATCAAACAAGTATACTGATGTAGTAGTAAAATTTGATAAAATTTATCTGCCGTTTTAATTCCTGAATCAAATTCACACGATACATCAGTGGTTTTAAATTTTTTTTTCATCACGGCAGACTTGGCACTGCCAAATTTTTTAACGACCCTCAGGAACTAAAATTAAATAAACAGGAAACATGTAAAAAAAAACATGAATTTGACAATACCTTAAATGAGGCCGATGTGCTTAAATATTCTCGCACTAGAGATTAAATCTAGCCCCCTATTTCCTAGTACTGGTTCCAAATCTTTCAAATTTGATCGATATTTTATTTTAACATAAGTTAGTGTCGAAGAAGATTTTACGATCACCACCATTAAGCCCACCGAGGGGTCATGACCCCCAGTTTGAAAAGCCCTTCCGTACACAATATGTGTTATCAAATGGTTATTACTCTGCAGTATAGTAATTATGATTTTATTTCTTTTCAATACTATTTTAGAATTGCTTTTGTCTTTCTAACAAAAAATAATGATAGTGAATGAATTTAGGCTGTTATACATAAGCAGTCATTAATGATGATGAAATTTGTTCCATCGGATATTTATTAATTGGTTTTACTAATTTTATCACTAAATTGTACTAATATTCTTGATTTATCAGCCTTTACTGTTCTTAAATTTGTTTTTCGATGTATTTACAGATTTTATCATTCATTCATATCTGTTTTAATGCAGGCCAATTCTAATTAACCCACTATCATAAAATATAAATATTGAGACAATTATTTGATTAAATCACCCACTATATAGGATCAAAAATTTATCTCTACTAGACAGCAGTACTGTGGATAGTTATCACCATAGCAACAATAAATTTATATATCACTGCAGTAATAGCAAGTCTATGCCGCATTTTAATTTTGAAATTTTTGGATCTGTATAGCCAAATCTAAAAATTGACATAAGGCACTACTTAAATAGCTACAGTTCACCAGATCAAGAGGGGGCCTTGTCCATTATGATAATGACAGAAGATAAAATTCCATTTCTGGAAAATGTGACACTGACATAAGCTTATTTGCTTTTACTGCTGCGATTTGTTTATAAGTGTTTCACATCGTCACATCAAATAAAGCTATGGCAAGTAGCCACTAAGATTTAGAAAGTTACCGCACTTTTAAAAGGAATGAAATCATTCTCTTTTGGTGACTGATAGACTATCCAATTTCTGTACTTTCATTGATGTGGTCGTGGTTTGAACCTATGATCTCAAACTTATAACAGAAAGATAGGTCCACTCATCTTAAGTATTTTCATGATGTGCATGCAGTATGGGGGGGATGTTGTACCAGCAGTTTGCTCCTAGTTTTTATACTATTGTACTATGCAGTTGAACAACTAAAATTTATATCATGTGTTTGTTGATCTAATCATTAGTTTTGTCATAAAGTGATGCATGTTTCAGTTATTATTGTATTTAAATTCAAGTACTTGTTCATGTTGCAAAACAAAGTTAGATTTGTAGTTAGAGATACAATTTACTTCTGTCTGTCTAATATTTTTTCATAGACCCATATCCCATTTGTCAGAGCTAGGATAGAATGTTTTGCAGCGAAATTAGTAACACCAACATATATATCGAATCATGCCCTTTCGGCCTGAATTTGAATTTCCCTTCACCTCTACCAGATTTCATAAGACAATTATTGAATATCAGATGAGTTCCCAAGAAAATTTGACCTAGAAAAGATTCTTCTAATGTGAATTAATAGACTTATATACAGAAATATATTAGAATTTATACAAATGCAATCTAGCCAATTCCCTCTGGGTTTTCTTAATTTATGTGCAAATTGAAAATGACCTAACCCTGTCGAAAAGGATGATTTGAATATTAGTAATATCAAAATTCTTTACAATGAATTTCAGACCAAACAATTCAATGTTCCCTCTTTCCAAAGAATCTCGACTCTGTTGAATTTACATTAAATGTCATTGCAAGTGGTACCTGGTGCCTCGAAGTGCATGTGGCCCTGGAGTACCACTTCTTGGCTCGCTATTGGGGCAAAGGCCCAGTTTGAGAACCCTTGCCTAATTGATAATCACCCATCTTCCAACTCAGGTTAACGGATTGACACATCTTAGATGAAGATCTGTTCTGCATTTATATTCAGCCACGCAATCCCATTTTGTTTTGTAGTATTTCTCTCTGTACTTCCATCAGTCATAGATCGACTGCTTATTATATATGTTTTTTGTTCATTTAATATCATTTTTACAATATATTAAATAAACGTTTTCACAATTTAAATATACTAAACAAAACGTCAATTGTAATTTAATACTGTATTCTCTTAACTTAAATTAGGAATGAAGGGTTGACGCACCGTGCAAAGCCTTAGAAATACGTTCACCATCACGGCTCTTATTACCCCGTGTGAATTCGCAGTTGAATTGCAGGTTTGGAACCCACTGGAGATAAATTATGTGCGAGAAAATTTCTGGAATCCTCACTGCTGTTGGATGGTTCACTAAACCGCTGGTAGGTTACGGCTTCCTCCGCCATCAAATCCATGCATCTGATATAAATGATTGGCTGACTAATCCGATGCCCCGCATGGAAGAGAGGACGTGTTCGCCATTTAATTAAGCCGTCCTATCGGCTCTCTTCTCCCCCAGTATAAAAATAGAATTTCCAATTTCAAAAGCTGCCTACCTACACGTGTGCGTAGACGTGACAAGGAAATTTTCTCACGATGATTTTTGGTACAGAGGCTATTCGTAGCTTCCGAGGTTTTTGTCGTATGTTGTATAGTACTATAATATCATCACTATAATACAACCAAAGAAACGAGGGCAGAATGGAACTGATGTCGACAGTGTAGAATAGCAGTATTGAACGATCGCCCACAGGGTAACGCCGATTAAGGATGCTTTACCTGTGCGCTTCTAGATTAGAGTAGAAGCTGTTTCACAAGGATGTTTTTTTTTGTCTCTTGGAACTTTCCGGAGTCAAAATCTCGTACTTTCAAATGGTGATGATAAAAATTAGAAATTTTCTTCCGAAATTCAAAAGGCATCAAAAGTTTTCTAAGCATTTATAACAGTCCATTAAAGAAGGCTGGCACGCGCCAATGTTATTGTTATCAAAGTGACTATTTGTTATCACATTTTAATTTTCTCCCAGTTCGGAGCTGGAGTCGGAGTCGAAATTTTTTTTTTCGACCCGGGGCAAGTAAGCTGAGCGAGATCACAAAATGAAAACTATACTGTATGTGTGATTAACAACTGTAGTGGAGGACTTACTGAATGCCGATACAAGAAAAATTGTATAATAATCACAAGCTGCTTGATGTCATATTTACATTAGTGTCCGATGCTCGAGGTAATAAATTCTCATCTTAATGAAACAGATTTGAACATGACTACAGTATCTGTTTGTCCAGTGTTTCCCAACTAATGGGTCGCCTGCAAATTTTCTTGGGTCGTTTGTTTTTTCAACAAAAATCCTAAAAGTTACTAATTTTTGTAAATGGGTTCGCTCGAATTAAAAGTTGGGAACCACTGCGTTAGTTAAATATATGTTTATCTGTTATAAAATATCATTACTATATCCATATTTGTCAGATTCACTAAACACTTTTATTCTATAGTCATGCATGACATTTATGATATAATATGTTACATCTCTCTTTTTATTTATCTTGAATCTCTTTATGCTTGCCTCGCTTTGTTTAATTCGTTTGTTTCCGTTATTTGTTCAGTTTTTACAGGATCTTTAGCTGGTGTTACACACAACTTGCACTCTGACTTATGCTTAGTTTGAATGGTTTAGTTTATAATGTCCCGATAAATATGTTTTAAAATAATGCCTGGACACTAATCTTTAATAAAAGTACTCCTAATACAAAGTAATATTTCTGAATATCCCCCCAGAAAACAATAGAATTCCTCGCTAGTTGGGAAACGCTGCTTTAGAGGCTTTTGCCTTATGAAATTGCCAGACTGAAATTTTTAATGTAGATCAACTAGTTTCTGATTATGACATTGAACTTATCGCAGTTATTACAAATTTGCATTATCAAAGAGCTGTTTGAAAGTTAAATATATTATTGGAAAATACCTTCAATGCATTTACGTAAAATTTCTAAATGATAAGTCACTCTGGAGGCGAAAAATTCCACGACTTTTGAAGTTACGATTTACGTAGATTGTCCGAACACAATTCCATTGTCGCGTCATCGAAATAGCAATTAATTTTAAATTTGGCAACACAGACAGCGTGATGGATATGTGAAGAACAAGAATTAACGATTAATGACTATTTTTGAATGTTACACAGCTGTACATGACGTCACCACCATTTTTATTTCTTTTAGATGGATTTTGTAACTTTTTTTTGAATTGATTTTAGAATTGTTCTTTGACATCATCTTTGAATCATGTCTCAAATGATTGTGTTTTGCAAATTAGGTTTTTAGCCGATCGTATCTTTAAAATTTTACAAGCAAACAATTCAATTTTCTTAAAATTTTTACTTTCGACCCAAAAGACGTAACATTCTTTGACGTGACAGAAACGGAAAACACAACAAATGCGTCAGAAGACTGTAATTGTACTGTAGTTGTTTATTTATACAAATATTTAAATCTAAAAATTCGACTATATCTGCCATATTTCAACCAATATATACGTGTTTTACCTTGAGCAAGAAATAATGAAAAATTGCCTTCTAAAATACATACTCCGACAGTTGTAGTGTGTTTTGGTGACAAAATATATTATAACTATTTAAAACAAAATTGCGAGAACAAATGATTGCAAAATATCGAAAAAGTTATACGTCAGGCAATGCGTTGTCGATGTTTTTGCGTTCACGAAACTTGTAACCACTTAAGAATATTGGCTTAATTGTTGAATATCAATTAATTTATTTTGAAATATAACAATTATTCATCAACGATAGTAGGAATTTTCGCCAACGACATACGAAACTAAAAAATAATGGTACAAAATATTACAAAAATAAAGCAACTTTCTCACAAATTGAATACCTCACATTTGAAATTGGAAATACCCTCTTACACATACGACATCAATGAAAATGTCACTGCATATATTTAAAGGGAGTGTTGCGGATTATTGCTATTTAAAAGGTAAAGTACTTTGTTGTACGAGATTTTCAAAAAGTTTTTTTGTTAAATTGGGATAATGACGACGATTTTTGAATGCCACGAGGAAATGATTCAACAGTATCACAGCAGCAATGGTTAAACCCAAAGCCAAGTTTAATTTCTCCCAGTTACTTGGATGAAAATAATTCAATGCTGTGTCAAAACTTCTCCACAAATTGCCAACATGCAATGAGTCAGATTACACAATATATCAAACAAGGCCATAATTACACTTGTATTTCAGCCAGTAAGAAATCTATCACTTCTACTGAGTAATATTATTTTGACTGAATGAAAGCCAAATCACTAAAGCAAAGATAAATCTGGCAACGTCAATCTCTATCCTTCACTTGGAATGATCAACATAATTTTGGAATCAGCATCAGTAATATCATATAAACGCTGTCTGAACCAAAGCGCCAATGTTGTGATAAATCAACGATCTCGCCAGTATCGTCTCCAAGAACGAAGATCTTGCATGTATCGTTTAGACGTGGAGCTAGTAAAAAGCGTGACAATGATTGTGAAAGTTCAAGTGACCTTAATTACTATTCACTTGCTATAATGCTTTTTCTGGCGTTTTGGGAATGATTATCTCTAAGTTCATATTTCCATTTTTCAAAATTTCTGACACGTGGGAGAAATGCTTACCCGCAGATAATTATTTCTATAATTTTTCATGTATAAAAAGAAATTACCTGCTAGTTCTAAGCCATTTATCCTCAAGAGTTCAACTGTACTTCAACCAGAATCAATTAGAGACAGATTTCGCTTATCAGCAAGCAGGCTTTAGACTCAGTGTGAATTCATTACGGACAAGTAAGTGTGAGAGGATGACTGAACGCTCTTTTCGTTCGGCAATGGTCATCTTACGTTCTTTTGTATAAAAACGACAAAATCAAGCACATGGTTTACTAAAGCTTCCACTTATAGCTACCGGCAACACATCAGGGCCAGTGGCGTATCTACGTGAAATGGCGCCCATGGAAAAGTTTAAAAATGCGTCCCCTTGATCGTTGAATGACAATTTTTAACGACTGTTGTTAAATTGAGATACTTCTACGTCATTATTCAAGAAAAAATACGAGTTCAGATTATTTTCTATTTGAAATTATTTGGTTGAAATATTTTACGATTAAAATTTTGTACCCATTTTGCGCCCCAATCCAAACGGCGCCCATACGCCACCGAACATGGCATATGAAATAGGAGAATTCTTTCATGGAATACTCGGATCATTTCTTTCTTTCTATGACTATCAGTATGGTGAGAATTGTTGCTTTTGGGCGTCTCGGCGAAATGTATTCGTTGTTTTACGTGCTTGGCTCCATTCTTAAAAGGTAAATAAATATTAACTGGTAAATGTCCGATAACTAACTGACTACTACTGTCGTTTTTGTATCTTCGTGTTATTGGATTCATACAATATAAGCACAGGTGTGGTATCCTTGGAATACTATATTATATAAAACCTCAAAGCGGATGGACTTCGTAGTAGGAAACTCATTTGGTCAGATGGAACAATAAAGGATACAAATTTGGAAAGTACAATAGTTAGTTAGTCTGCAGCAAAACTCTTGAATAACCAAATGATGTTGTTGTTGTTTTTTTGTTTCACATTAGATTTTAATTTTATTCAATTGGTAGATCCTTCATATTGAATAGTGAATACATTTGGATATTTGTTGATGATGGATTATGCAGAAAGTGACTGAATTGCGTGAGATAATTATTGAAAATGTCAATTTTGACATGTGACCCACATTACTCTTTTTATATTCACTATTAACTTCACTAAACGAGGTATATACTCATTATCTCTTGTTTTGCAATAACGACTCGAACCCACGATATCGCACAATTCTAATAAATTACATTACGTATTCCGGCTAAAATACAACACAAGAAAACGAAATATTGCAAAGTGTATACAATGCAGATAAATGATAACATTACAGGTTTATTTTCTTTTAAAGCGATTCGACATATTTACGTACAATTACTGTTGAAACTTTTGATATAAATAAATTTATATTTGCTCAAATTTCCCCCCAAAAAGATGCCAATTTGACATTTGGAACACGCAGGCTATCTATGTGCAATTCAACAACAGACTTCAGTTTGGGACAAGCGTTCATGGGTTCCAATACACGATGTTAATATTACCGGAAAACGGCGTTAATTTACTGAAAATAGTACATAGCATCAGAGATCAATTGCATTTTTTCATAGTGCTCAACCTTTTTATTCCAACGTTCAGTACCGGTACGACAGAGTAAATCTGGCTGTATAGACAGTGCAGAATAGTCAGTGCAGAATACAATCTATGTGTTACTATGAAGTAAATAGATATCTGATACATAGTGAGAAATCGGGGTGAATATTTCATTCGACGAAAACAAATTGGCATAGTAATATATCTTGGCGAACCTGTCCGTTCGCCATTAGTCAAGGCAGATACGGGCTTCATATGCCTATTGCTTTGTTCTAATGATACGAAGTAGGACTTTTAGAGGCATAATCCTACGGAATGTCAAAAAGGCCCAAGTTCCACAGTATGCGAATAAGAATCGTTGTGCATATTACACCTTTTGCACGGTCCATTTGTATTAACTAATTATTTTATGTACAGAAATAATTAACAAACAAGCTATTACTAGATATCATCATGAATTTGTGCAAGGTGGTATGCTTTACTGTTTTATTGCTTGTGGCTGTAACGCAAGCAAAGAAAGGTAAGATATAATAAACTAAATAAAGAGATGAAATATCGAAACAAACAGTCGAAAAGAAAATGATAAAACTGGAATGCATACGACTAGATAATACTTTCAGCATTTTAGCACAGGTACCGGTCCATAGAATTTTCACATATGACAATATAGCAAGAATCAATACATCCTTGATTATATTTATATATTATCATTATCTTGACAATTTCTTTGTTTTTTTGCGATTCGAAAAGCTGTTTTTTCTGTATTCTAATCCAAACATACAATCCAAATCAACGATAAACTAACAATTTCTAATTTTTCAAAAGATCGAAAATGTAGGAGAACTGATTCAGCAATGAGAAAAAAGCAATCCGCGGAAGGGAGTAGATATGTTAAAGTAGTTTGCAAAGGCAAAGATTTAACAACTTTAAACTCGGACTTTTTATATGAGACTGTAATTGGACCTCCTCCAAGGACACAAGGTTTGTAGCATTATTTTTAAAATTGGACATGGGTCAAAACATAAACATAGGTCTTCGACCTTAGATGCCCATAAACCTAGATCCAAAGCATCGCGACTAGGACTTCCATTTCATATACAAATGTATATAGAGATAATTAGCTTGGCTCGGCGATATGGCGCATCGTGCCAAGCGTATGGAATAGGCTCGCTACAGTTCGCAGTTACCAATACCACGCAGGGACAATTTTGTGCGAGAGATTGCTGCACTCCTCGTCGCCATAGGGTTGGTTTAAGTAACAGCTGGTCGGGGCCATGCATCCGAAAATAAGTAACTGTGTAACTAATCCAATACCCGACATGGACTGGTAACCGAGAGAGGCCGTGGTTCGCCATATATTTCCGCTCCCCCGAGGTAAATATGTAAATCATAATATCCTCTCCTACATGCGCGATACTAGGGTAATCGAAATTACATTTTGTCCTAAAAAATTATATAATTTTTGCGTTTTGTGATATTTGCTAATTTGTTACCGTAAAATACTGAACTTTAATGATTATATCAAATTTGGTCGCAAAATATGCATTATTAGATTATTAGTTTCCTAACACGCACTTGACAATATTGATAGCCAATTATATTTTGATGACAGGTTACGAAAATCAGAAGACGTCACAATAAATTATCAATAATATATTTTATTTTTATCAGATTCAAGTTTGACAAGCGGTGGAATTGTTCATGATGCACCGATGGAGATTACACCTATTTATCATGTCACGTTAGAAAATTCACATATCAAAAATGTTCAGGACGGTGCATTCAACGCCGTACCAACTCTGGAGGTATATTAATATATTATAGTATATAACTTTTTGTATAAAATTCTTCGCGCTAAAATTTCAAAATTTATTAATTATTCGGTTTTTAACCCAGTATCGTGGTCCAAAATAATCAATGTCATTCATACCTATTTTTATTATCAGGTTTTGAATTTGAAGTCTAATGAGCTAAGTGAAATAAAAAGAAGGACATTCGAAGGTTTGAAATTGCTGAAGGATTTGAAACTAGACAGAAACCAAATTTCGTCTATTGAGCCTTCTTCGTTTGGTCAAATGAGAAAACTGAAATATGTAACATTCTCTGAAAACTTACTGCAAGAGCTTAACTACTTTACATTTCAAGGCTTGAAAGAGGTAAAACGAACCTGTAATAGGGGACCAATTAATTTATGTAACGAATTAAATAATATTTCTGAAATCAAACAAGATTTAAGTATTTTAATTAGGTTAAAATAATACTTCAAAATAAAATAATTGAAATTTCATTTACATATTATCAATCTTTATTTGTATAGTTAAAAAATTGGCTATCCATTTTCTTGTTGTCAAAATGACTTTGCTATTCCATTCTAAGCACTGACAAAATAAATTGCTTGCAAACAAAAGAAAATTGAGAAGGGATTCAACTTTGTGTTACATCATTATGACATAATTGTAGGTGCTTCTGAATCGTGATCTTTAATTGTTTATTTTGTTTAATTGATTATTCGGGAGTTAGAAAAAACATGTCGTCATTATTCTAAGCCCCAAAGCCACAAGCCCTCGCTTTCTACCATCATATAAACAGAACATAAACTTTACATTGAATATCTTCTCCCAGTCGAATCACTTAAACATCGAGTACAACAATATAAGCATTCTGAATGCCGGATCATTTGCAGCGATGCCTCAACTGGAAAACCTTTATCTATCTTACAACAAAATATCAAGACTTGATGGCGGAATACTTGCTGGATTGAGAAATTTGAAATATTTGTTTCTTAGCGGAAATAATATTGAAACTATTCTAAATGGAGCATTCAAAGGAAATCCAAAACTTGAAATGTTGGATCTATCAAGTAAGATGGAAAAGGTTTAAATTAATTTAATCAACCGTTCATTGAATTGCAACGCCAAATACCAAATTTTAAAATAAAAGACATTGCTTTAAAATGGCAAAGTGTCATCGAGTCGAAATCAGAGAAAAATGAGAATGGTTGTTCAAACTCTGATTACAAATCAGTACAAATATAGCGATAACTAGCGAAAAATAATAAGAGGTTTAGCTTCCGCGTGACGACGCAAATGCACCGAACGACAAACTACCTCAACTGCGGAAAAGTATTGATTAATTTTCCTCGCCCTGGAAGCTGGGCTTACTTGTCGTTACAAGACTCAAAATATTAATTAATTCATTACCAGGAGTTGGAGCCAATTCATTGCCATGGTTCAACAGTTGCAGTCTATCAATCTCGTTCGGCGCTCAATTATTTAAAGAAAAATATGCTCCAAAACATACTGCATCTGTGAACGGATTTTCCCAGTACTCAAACCTAAAATCAAAGCCTAGCGTAATATTGAATATAAAGAAGCTTACAAATTAAGTTTTTCGGCGTTGCTGTGTAATGACGCTTCGAGTGGTAACTAGTAAAATAAGGTCTGAATTTTCAGAAATATTTGCAGTTTTTTCGTTGCCGTATCGATCGGGTGAAGTATTTAGCATAAACAATTTTATGCACTATGTGGCTTTTTATCAAAACATCTTACGCTTTATTTTGCTTATAAAATTTGCAGACAATCTTCTGACTGAAATCACGGTCAAAACATTCGAAGGTCTTCTTTACATCAAACGATTGTCCCTTCGTAATAATGACCTGTCGTACATTGAAGACGGCGCTTTCCAAGGAATGCCTCTACTTAATGAACTCGATCTCTCGCATAATGGTAATATTTTGTGTTAGTTATTTGGCATTAAAAGGCCCAATTTGTTTTCATACTTCAAATAACGGAATCACTCGTCTATATATATATATCATGAATATATATGCGAATTGAACATTGATTACTATTTAGAATGATAACTGGAATTGTTCTGAATTTCAGAATATAATTATTAATTATTAATGAAAAGCGTTAGTGATATCAGTATTTAAGCATGTCAACAAACTGGAATGATTGGTTATTGCGTAGCCAATCTTTTTTTGTTAGTAATAGGAATTTTAAAACCAATACCTCATTTTTGATGTTGCTTTTTAACCCATGGAAAATACACAAAATAAAATATGTTCAATTATTTTAAGCTCTGACAACCATAAGCCGTGGTTGGTTCTGGGGTTTGATAAATCTACAATATTTCCAAATTGTTTCAAATGAAATCGAGGAAACTGCAATGCTACCTAAAGAAGACGATAAATTTCAATCATTGGTACGTTTTTATATTAAACTATACCAATTTTAGGCATTTTCTTAGTGATGTCAGATAGTCTCGTTGTACACATGGAATGATGAGCTGTCTCGAAAACTGCTTTTCTCACTAATACATGATTATCACGGTGTATACCGTGTTTTCACCAATACTGTGTAAGTGTTGTATTCCGTTTACTCATCATGCAGTTTTTGAGTAAATCGAGAAATTGGAGGATTTGATTCCTACATGACCATACTATTTGGTCTTACAGATATGGGTACTCTCGTAGTATGTGAACCAAGATGGCGGACACCGGAAAGTGGTGTGTGTACCCGGTTAGGGTTAGGTCATAATTTCAGGTACAAATACTACGGCAGTCACTTGGCTGGTCACGAAATCGTAATAGAACTAAAATAGGCAAAATTGGAGTAAAATTATGGCCTAACCCTAACCTGGTACACATACTATATTCCGGTGTCCGCCATCTTAATTCACATACTACGGGAGCGCCCAAATATGATCACATTTAGAGCATGAATAGAGATATCATATAGAAAATACGGTATAATCAACTAATATTATAACAGATTATAAGTATAATCTACCTACTATAATTCATGGAACGCTTTGAAAATATCGAAGATAGTGGCCCGCCAGATCATATATTTTGTTGCCAGTCTGTGAGGTAATTTTCGTTGACGTTACCAGTCCGCCGGGGTATAAAAGTCGGGAACCAAAACATTTAATCAACATTTTACAGGAATTCATTGACGTGATTATTTGCCAGTTTAAATCAGACATCAAAATTGCAGCAAGTTCTTTAACTGATTTCATCCCTTTCAGTCCTTCATGTTCATTATTACAAAATCTCTTATCTTATAAAATACTGAAGTGTGAGTATGAGGTGATCAGAAAACTTATTTGTAATTACATAGTACGCGACCTACTATAGCTAAATCATAAACAAAATATGTAGAGGCATTGTGAACTTAAACTGCGTTTTATTTCCAATTATACTTGAAAACGTATCAGTACGTGAAATCAGTACAAAAATAACAAACAGATTCTGGATTCATCCAAATAAAAACTCTCTTAATCTTTTCAAAGCACATATTATAATTAACAGTCATTTTTTATTTACCAATAACTTGATCGCATTTGCTAGGATAGACTTTAACATTTTCCCAACCGTTTTCAAAATCGATCAACTGGTTACGTACTTTGAGAATGACGTCACCACTTGCTGATGGGGTTTTGGTTTCAACATAAATTTCTTTGTCGCCATCCAAATTACAATGAAGAATCAGATTATATGTCGCATAATCTGATATGTAAAGAAAAGGATTTTGTCTGATTGAATCGTCTTCAAGCACAATTTGCGCATCGGCTCCAGCATTGGTGTCATCATTTTCGATTTCTGTAATTTCACTACTGTCACCTTTGTTTTGTACAATGTGGAAAGTCGAAGGAGCAACACGAGTAAACTCTGGCGTATCTTCTCTAACATCACTCGCATCTTCGCCGTTGTAAAATTTAACATGGGCTGTGAAGCCTAAAAAATACACAATTTAGATTTTATATTAAAATGTCTCTTAGAAAGGTTAGCGATAAATTGTGACGCTGCTTCTAAATGATTTTGTCTCACAAAAAAGAACTTTGACTTTAAGTCATCGGGCGCAATAAACTGGTAATTAAACCGTTGGTCTTGATTATGATGCATCCCTGGTATAGGATAGCACCAAATCCAATGCCTAGTGCCTGCCACCTCATTTAAGGTGGGCAATGGTGATTTGGAAAAATGTCTTTAAAAAAATCGTAGATCTAGGTGGTCTGTTATCAGCCAGTCATTTCACGAAAAAATTTGGATTTTATTTATTGTTCAATGAATATATCTTGTTTTCTGATTTGCTGGTTTTCTGATCAAATATTCTCTTTTCCCTCTTATTCGAAATTTAAATTTGAATGAGACGTTGGAATGTCATGCTGTCTTACTAACGGTTTTACACGAAAGTAGTACATGGTGTTGAAAATTGCAATTTTTCCGCAATTAGAGAAATGAATACAGAAACTATGTTGAAACAAATTACCCATCTTCTACGAATTAGGTGCAAAATAGTGTATTTATCAAAATACATTTGAAAATCTGATTTTCTTGTTTATAAGTTTTAAAACAACCGAAACTTTCGCAAATTAGATGGTCCATAACTTGTAAAATCGGTCCATTTTCTAGGGACCCCTAGTTTTGCTATGCACCAAACTACCATCTATCACTCGAAAACGGGGCTACATTCCAATCTACGAATAATTTGCACGACTAATAGATTGGACTACAAACTAATAGGAGCCTGTATTTGTATATTTTATAAGTTGACAGTGAAATATACATATTGAACTTAGAAAATAATCAACCATACCTTGCTCAGTTTTTGTATTCGTTGAGACTTCACAACTTATAACGTCGTAAACTTCTTGATTTTCACGTGCTGAAAGATACCAATCACCTTGCACTTTTCCCATGTCAACTTCATCGGTCACTTGCGGAAGTGTACACAAGGGTACCAGGCCGGCCTGGGAACATGTAAAAACTGAGGCAATGACTAATACTGTTACAAACATGGCCATTTTTTAATTATTGCCTTTGTTTCTTCGATTTTGTCGTCTTTTGGGAATGATACCATAGGTAGAACTATTGACTTTTATAGGTTTTCAGTTCCACTTGTATGGTATGTTTATGTGTGCTTTTCCGTCACGTTTGTATTATCAAAACATGCTTTATTCCGGTAATAACGATCGTTAGGTCGTTTGTAAATGTCAAAATTGCAAATAGCAAATACAACAATTTTAAAGATATTTATGGTAATTTAATGTGTCCTTAAAATCTGCATAATACTTGATAAATTCAGATTCTTGAAAAATACATTCTATTTAAAATGAACTGGAAATTTTAAACCTACATAAAGGCTAAACACGTGACCTTTCTCTGGCGACGCCCGAGTCAAGATGCGCAATATAAAGTTACGCCTTGAGAAAACTAAACCAATTAAAGTGCTTGTTGAATTTATCTGATAGTTATTGAGATTTGACAAAATGAGTTTATTTTATTTCCTAATCTTTTTCTGTAGGTCGGGGCTTTACGCATGTTATGCCGAATGCGAGGACTTCATTTTGCTGATCTGAAAGGAAATGGAATCTACGATATGATACAGGTGCATTTTTGAATATCATTTAGTTAGCTGAAATTTTCAGCTAAATTCCAGAGAAACTGCTATCTTTTTGTAGCATGTAACAGATTTCATAAAATGTGAAAATGTAAAAAATAATAAAAATATGTCATTTTTATTTATAAAATTAATTGTGAATATATTATGACATACAATGTGAAGTGAAAATTACTTTTTACTAAATAGGTTCAAATTGTCATAATTTACCATAACATTGGCGCAAGGTTTGATTTGAATGACGTTATTCGCATTTGATGATGAAATCTTATTTTGTGAATGTTTCTGCTACCAATGAAAACTCTCTGTGCAGTTCAACTGTATATGGAAATGATTTTTTCAAAAATTTCTCAACCTACTTCAAGTCTTAAAATTATGTTTTTATTTTTAGCGACTTGAAATTGAAGAGACTGGTTTTGATTTGAAAGATTCTGACAAACACTCTTGCATATTTTAGTATTAAGAGTGACATCATGATATCTACATTCATAATAACGCCACAAAGCTGAGACTTATTTTGTTTGATTCAATAAAACTTGCAGTGTGACAATTTAATAATTGTATTGTATTAAACTTCAATGAATATATAGTAAATATTGTTAAAATGGTGTGATCTTTTAACTGATCTCAGGACTTTGTGTAAATCCGAGCACGGATGAGAACTGAACAGTTTTTGCGCTTTTTTTGACGTTCAACTACCCGTCATGAATGATTCAAAGATATTTCGTTATATTAAAACTAACCACACCTGGTTTTAGCAATCTTGGGTGACTGTACATCGCTCTAATAGGAATTCCTAAAGTCTACAAACTTTAATTAAAATAAATATACTTATAAACTTTATTATACTGTTATAATTCATTACTTTATAAAAGAGTGTTCATGGAATTAATATGCTATTCTTTTGTGGGCGTGAAAATGATTCCATATTAGGGATGAACCGTCCGTATTTAACTGTAAACCAACTTGAATTAGTCGTTAATTGAACTAATTGTTTATTTCACGTATTGTGTAACTAAGGAGGGAAAATTAATCAAGGCATGGCTTGGTTGCATCAAACATTTGGCGGTATTCCCGAAGTATGTGAACCAAGATGGCGGACACCGGAACGTTAGGCCATACGTCTATTCCAATTTTCCATTTTTTAGTTTTATCACGAGTTCGGGGACTAGCCAAGTGACTCCCGTAATATTTGTACATGCAATAATTGCTTAACCTTAACCTGGTACACATACTACATTCTGGTGTCCGCCATCTTGGTTCACATACTTCGAGAGTACCCACTTGCCACAAATGGACTACATCTCGGATGGAATCAATATCAGAAAATTGCGCCTCCTCACATATCGTTTCTGATGTTAGATAAGCCAGCCTTCGGTCATGTTAAAAAAAACATGTTTACGACATAAAATTGTTTTATATCTGACGCACACATTGACCATGCGTTTGTGTGGGATAAATGGTATCGTGCCCTGATTAATGATTTTGTCGTAAAAACATAAATAATGCTTTTTAGTATCACAAATCATGAGCAAAAACATCCGCTTCAAACTCCAAGTGCTAGAAGAGTTGCAGACAGAATGCAGACAGGCTCCGAGATAATTTCAGAAGGTTTTGAAATCTGCTTGACATGATTTACGGTTCGGCATTGATATCGGATGTTATTGTTCAGTTGACACCTTTTCAACAGGAAACGCCATGCCTCAAATTATTTTTCGACACGCCACTGTCAGAGATTGAATCAAAGGAAGCCAATTCGAAGCAAGCTTCTGCTTTGATGAAAACTAGTTGTTTGAATTTAAAAAATCGTCCTATTCGATATTGCATATCAACAACATTCTTTCGATACAGTAGTTCTCAAACCGTGAGTCGCAAGTAATATATTTTCTGGAAAATCACTTCTTATCTGTTTCACCTCACGATTTACATCATAAAACACTTACCTCGTACTTACGGTATATATATCCCCGCGTCTGGCCATGAACAGTTTATGTGCTTAGGAGTTTGAACAAAGATGCCTGATTACAGAAAATTTATCATTGCATGCTACAAAAATATAGCGGTTATTGATAGCAATAATAATTGCTGACTGGCTTCAGATTCCGCTGCTTAACAGGACATGACCGACTTGATCGGAAATTAGCCATCAATTCTTTGTAATTATTCATAGTTTGGTGCCCTTGAAAAGTAACACATATAATATATATATACGTTTTAATCGCACGTGGCCAGTAAGATTAGTAAGACCAATTGGTGTGATCACATCATAATTTTGCAATTATTATACATGCCTCTTGATCTTTTAAATAATAATAAGAGGGATTGATAGCAAATTTGTTTATTGCATGAGCTCGAATTTTTTAATGAGCCAAAGTTTCAGAAAATGACAATTATGGACCCATGCATTTGTGTGGCGCAATAATGTTCCTATATTCTTCTGCTGTTTATGATTTTAATCTAGACCCCTCTTCCTGAACTACTTTTTTTAGTGTGTAATTCGACAAAAATATGATTTTGCTGCAAAAATAATTGATATGGTATAATTATAGTCAAATCCAATCGAGAAAATTCAAAATTATTTACTGAATCTGGCATTCGCATAATCTCTCGAAGCAAGGTGGCTTACATGAATCGATTGTTATAAAACATAAAAATGATGTGAATATACATGATCATTTTGTTTACAGATATTGCTATGGTAACCTTTCCATACCTATTGTAGACTTTATATATGTATACGAATTCAAAAACAATCGTTCACGAAATCTTCCTACACTTTAACAGCAACAAGGGAATCGTGTTTTCTACAGGAAAATCCCAACTCATTATTCAGCGTTAGTTGAATGATGTTACACAGTGCTCGATGGAACTCAGGACTCGATGGAATATCTGAATAACGCGGGGGTTTTAGTACATTTTCTGAATTAATTTTAGAGTAAAGTACATACTGTTGTTTGTCGAACTAATTTTTTTTCTACTCAATCGTTCATCACTCTTATTTTGATTTAAAATAAGAATCATTGAAAACTCTTCAAAATCTTGAAAACAGCATAATCCAAGACAAGAGGCAAAATTCGGCCACGCTCGGCCAATGAATAACTTGATGTATTAAAGACGTTTAATACAAAGCCCATACATAGCATTTCACAATGTGGTCTCCAACCACAGACTGAATTGGGTACTCTTACATAATTTAACGACAGGAAAGCGACCATGTTTTTTGCTTTCTGCGCTAATTATCGTAATTGTTCAAAATTCCCGCGTCCTTCCAAGTGCGCTATCAGGGGGCTGAAGTACTAGACTGCCCCCCATGAGTGCTATGCCCGCGACAGCTGTGCGGTGTTATACTACACTATGACATGGAGCTCACTACATGGAGTGGTATGTGAGGACCCACTTTACGCAAAATACTGAAGTGAAATTTTTTCACAAACTTTTCAAATAATTGAATAACACGGCCAAATGTCTACTATATATGAGGTTATTTTAAATCGTCGATTAAAGTTTGATTTTACGTGGTTCGGTCGTTATTTATCACCCTCATTTCGCAAGCCTAACAGGCCCTTCAGAAGTTAACTTAGCGGAATCACAAGTGCGATTGCGTCGTTTTCTAACTATAGTTTGGTAATAGTTAGAAATGATTCTCTTTCGATAACGGTATTGAGAAGTATGGTCAAAAGTCAGGAGCGGGATTGAATGCGACATAAGGACACAGTGGCTCAACAGAAAGTTAAGTTCTTCGACTGTAAGTCATGTATACTTTACTTCTTGACATTGTCAGCGTATTGCTACGATTTAGGTAGTCAATAAAATTCGGTTTTATGCGTACGACGACAGCCGTGATAATATCTGATTTGAAATTTTAAGAGTATATATTTGACCACTTTATTTTTCACAGGTATGTTTGTCTGGTCGTTAAAAAAACCTATGCCTCTGTATAATGATGAAATCGCATTTTTGCACCACATTCATACTTCATCCAGTATTATTTGACCAAATTGAGGTTCTTCGGGTCTAGTACATGCCAGTTCGTTTATTTCAAATTTTCTACCAGCTCTATCGTGAATGTGAACCGCTCTAATTTTATAGTGGAAAAGTTGGATGCAACCAATATGAGATAATTTTCAGCAATCAAATTGCTTAGAATTCAGGTTTCTATTTTGACAACGTTGATGCCTATGCCAAAAAACTTTTACTGGGTACCATGACGCCGGGTCTTTATGTACTTTTACGTTGAAAAATTGACGCCATGCGAGTTTAGCTCAGTCTTCTTCGATGTGACTGAAGATGTACCCATCGAATGAAATATCTGCCTTCAACGTTCGATAGCAAAAATCAGTCACGTTCATGTTTCATTGCACGAGATAAATTACGAATTGACAGCCGTTTGGAAATGAAACTTGACCTGTTCAGTTCTGAAATATCATATCAAACCAGTATGTTCTTCGTACTGTGCAGTTTAGTGCACTAAGCTATATATATAGACTACTTGGGTCTGTCGAATAACCCTTGTCCACTGGCTGTATGCTGTATTATAAAGCAACAGTACTATGGTAAACTACAATCATTCTCTCGTGAACATGGCAAAAATGACATAGTACCCCTAGACTATTTTAACCCAAGATTCTCGTACAAAACTTCAAAAATATTGCGGTCTGGTCTTTCCAGAAATCATATTTTGACATCCTTAAACGCGCACTTTCTCGACTAATAATTCGCTAATTAAGATTTATTTGTAATGTTTATTATGATGTCACAGTTCTTTTCATATATATATATATAGTCAGGTGCAAATATTAGCAAACTATGAAATACTCTTCACAACTATAAAAGTCATTTTGTAAAGGAAAACTCTCAAAGTTGAGTCAATGATTCAAAATAAAGAATTAGGTGCGGTCCGAATCGAATACTCGAAAGATGCGGATTCGGACCGCGGCCCGCCAGTTTAGTTGCCCTTCCATATCAGATAGGTGTGATTCCAGTCAGTATTGGTTTGAAACGTTTCATAATTGGACACGTAGTGGACATAGCGATCGTTTCAATTTTATGTTGTTGTTGTTCTTATTGTTGTTCTTAGTGTCCTTGTTCTTTGACACGTTTTGAAGAAATCGCTTTTCTTTTCGAATACTGGACCAATTGCTTTGAAATTTTCAGTGGTTGAAGATAAATAATAATTTTTCTCCAGAAGGCTATTATTTTTTCTTGCTATGATGTCATCAAAATTATTCCCACTGGGTGGCGCTACGTGTCCATATATTTGAGCATAGCTCTCTTGTTTTGTACGAATAATCCTACCGATATCTGTAATGGCAAAATATTTCCCCAAACAAATAGACTTAGTTCAGTTTCAAGATTTACGCGATTTTAATATAAAAATAGTTTAAAAAATCAATTAGTACAAACATTATTATTTAATGCTGCGTGATATTCCTGGTCACTTTTCCGTTATCATCGTAATCTTATCAGATGGACGGAGAACTGATAAGGGCTTTCACGACTTGCGATATCATCTTATAGATTTCTCTGCTGTATGTGTAACAAATTTTAAAAACATCACAAAATGTTGTGTATGAATTAAAAAAGAAAGATGGGGGAAACATAAAAATATTTGTCAGCAGTCTCACAACAAATTATGCCAATAGTTGTCGAACAATGGAAGCATTACGTGGAAATGTGAGTTCCGATGGCAGGTTTGGAATAGGCAAGAGTTATCCGCGGGTTCGTGTCCCAGAATAAATACTATATAAGTCTTTCGATTTGAATAAAGCCTTGAAGAATTTTATTTTGAATGACTTGAAACTGTAGTTCGATTGTAGCTGAGATATCAAGGTATCAACGTGCTTTTCAGTGCCTCTTATTTTGGACTATTCTCCGCATCATTCGAACGGCAATAAACTTGTATATATATATTATGCCACTGCTCTTGTTTTCATAAAATTTTTCACTTAAGCCAAATTTACCCCAACTGCTATTTATTGATAGGCCTTTTTAATTAATTCTTTGTATCATGTCTCATATGTCTTGGCTATGGTTTTCATCGGTGAAATTAGAACTTGAGTCTGGCAATATCGATTTTTACTGTTCAGAATTTTCAAGTGTTCGTTAGTCTCGGAGTAACGGCATACAATACCCAGAACCAAGGAAACCATGAAAACAAACAAAAATGTTGAAGTCAATGAAAAGGCCACAGCTATTTATCTACATATGAATTTGGCAATAAATATCTACACGGGAGCAAAGACTCATCAGTTATTTATTTCTTTTTAGTTATATACACCAATCATCCAGGCAATGAAACTAGTTCACCTATAAAGGTAGGAAAATGCGGAAAAATGTGTTATTGCAGGTCGCATCTTACAGTCTTACACCATCTTATAATCGAAGGCTCTACGACATTGTTACATAACGATCAGCGTAACTGTTGACTTCATTTAAGTATGTTTTATTCCCATTTAGCATTTCTTCCAATACCAATTCATCGTTATTCAAATCAATGTTTTTTTAATTTAACTCCTTCACCCAAAGAAGTGTATGTTATTTATTTATGGTTTTAGGAGTACGTTTACTTCCATCAAACCAGGAAAACTAAAATTTTGTACCTTATTGAACACTAAATGTACATATGGATCGTTTGGTTATTATGTTGTTGTTCTAGTTAGTCATCATTTTCTTCTTATTGTGAAATAATCGCCTTTCTCATTTACTACCGGACCAATTTCTTTAAAATTTTCAAAGAGTGTAGCCTATTTTTCTTTATTTATTTCAAAAATTTCTGTGGGCTTTATGAAATTCGTTTTTTGTTTGCTCATCTTGTGGCGGTTCTGCGTTTGCGACCAATCGAAGTCGTGAAGACTGCGGTACCGCTAGTCTACTGTGAAATATTGCATAACTACTTCGTTTTGGCATCGCTCTTTTGGGTTTTTTGAAATCACGACAGAGGGATATCGACTCCAACAAAATCTCTCATTTGAAAATATCCATTATATGAGAAATAATTTTCAAGAAAATCCTATATTTCCATAGAGCCATTGTGCGTAACTTGTGCAGAAAATATGTTAATTACATACTGCTGGACTTCGCTACAATAAGGGATCTTGAAGTAAAGTTACTTTAAATCGTGATTTCGGCTCAGTTTAAAGGTAACAAAATATAAAGATGTGCTTTTCCCCATTACAAATCCTTAATTTTCCCCACCTCTAACTAAACTGGGTCTTGCGCAATCTTTGTCGCATAGGCCAGGGTGCAACGCTAGTCGAGACCAGTCCTAGCAAGCAATGTCATTACCATTATTCCAAAAGGTTCTTTTCGAGTTACTCCCGTAGTGTGTGTATCAGTTTAGGGTTGGGCCATAATTTTATTCCGATTTTCCTTATTTTAGTTCTATTACGAGCTCGGGAACCGTCTGTGTTAGCGAAATGAATATACCCCCTGACCATAGGTTTCAGTCCCTTTACACAACTTGATGTAAAGTAGGCGAACAAAATTAGTTACCTCCATATTGGTACACACACTTCTGGAGCGGCCTTTTCGATATTATCCGCGGAATGTCGTATGGCGCAAATAACTAAATATAATAATCCGTTTCTTTTTATTTTAATAAAATTTTATTACAATTTTCAAGTACAAATCATTAATAAACAGAAAATTTTCAGTTCCAGACTATCAATGGGACAGGGGTGGAACGCAGATTAAGGCGCAGTACATAGATGGTCCGTGTCTAAATTACGACATAACATACGAACAGCACGAGTATGTATTAACACTTCTAAAAAGATAGATTTTATAACTTCAAAATAAAAAGAATCACCGTAGAAGTATAATAAAAAAATCAGTAAAAATAACATTGGATTCGAAGTAATTCAAATATATTTATCATCAAAGAATGCAATACCATCAAATAAAAATTCGGAGAGCAGAAAAATTTTGGTTCAAAATTTCAAATACTCAGCATCGGCTATACTTCGACTAGAATGTAATAGACGTCATTCGCTGAAATGTAGGTAACTAGAGTATAACGATGAAAGTTGAATTTAAAGAATACTTTATCACAGTTTATAAAGTGAATTTCATTTCAATTGCGTTTTATTTTTCAGAGAGTTTCATGCTCCATTCAACTCTCTGGATAAGCAAAACTGCTATATGTTTTCCAAAGAGTAAGACGAAAATGGATTCTAACCATCGTTCATTTTTTAAAATCAGTTTGATGGGTATTTCGAAGAAGAAAAATAAAATATTCAACATCAATCTCTTCGTGAAGAATTTGATAATTTATCTTCAAGCGCCTTTATTTGAAAAAAAAATTAAATGGACGGAATTTCACATGTCAGATGTGTATCATGCAAGAAACCAGCAAGTCGGGCGAAGCCAGTATGGGAACTTGAATTCGGGAACGGTAAGCCAAGATGAAAACGCACGAAGCAGGCACAATTTATAAACAGCAATATATCCGCAACATCCGGCAAAGCTTATTGGCAGATAAGCAGCAGGAAATCGCGGATACAGCTTTGAATGAAAATCATAAAATATAAGGCAATTAGAATATCATTGTATTAAAATACCTATTTAAATCATTTTAATAAAAATGCTAGACCGGTTATTTTCGAAGTTCAAAAATTATCAATTACGAGTTCGATGCACGCTAACATTAATATAATATTTCCCTCTATTTTCAAATTCATGAGAATTTTAATGATATAGTAAAAATAACACAGATAATATAATCAAAATTTTATAATTATCATTGAATCTTCGCTCTGATAACACTAGGAATTGAATTGGGTTATAGGTCGTCATAAAGCCAGATCACATTTAAAAATGCGGAACGTGGTATATCGAAAACAATCAATTAAATTTCAATGGCATCTTTGGAGAAAAAATCATGGAAAAAAAAGCTTAAAAATGTATCCCACAAACAAAATTATTTACAATAAAGTGCCGTTAATTAGTACAAATACTAAAAAAAAACAGGATAAAATGATTTCAGTTAGTTACGTATCAGGTGTTGATGGGGTTGCTGTCTCTGATGTTGCCATGGTTTCGAGGATCTTAGTGACGTCACGACATTGTGATGGCGTCAATTGTTGAATGAGATGAATGACTGAATGCATAGCAACGTCGGAGTTGGACTGTACCAGTGCTCGAATCTGTATTAAATAACGTAAATTGACATTGAAAGTTTTCGCATGATTGGGGATAGAATATAGTAATAATCACAAAAATAAATTGATAGTATTTAAATTGAAACTATTTTTCTCTCCAAAAGCACAACATGAATTGGGATAAAAAAGAAACAATATTAAATAAAATACACCCCAGAGAAATTTCAAAAACTATAGTCTGTCTACCTTACTACATAACAACAGAACAAGTACATGACATGTACTTTATATACCTTGTACATGGACAAATGCTCTTCACAATCATCATTACCTTATACCTAATAAGCTACTATGCTTAAATAAATCACAACCTTGTGATTCTGCATAGCATACCCAATTTGTTAGACCTGATGGGATGTTAAACATGGCTTCAAAGTCAAGACATAATATAATGGGATGCCTATATACAAAGTATTCAAACAAAGTATTCAAAGTCCAGCTACTATTTCAAAATTTTTGTTATGAAGTCAGTTCTCAATACCGGTATATCTTAAACTCGTTTGTTTTATTAGAATCAGTGTTTATTTAAGTATTTTTACTTTATTCAATACACCTCCACATGCCCACTATCAATTGGATGAAGCACAATAAAGTTCTTCTACTAATTCATTGTAGCTTTGGCTTAAAATGCTTGAACAAAAGAGCAGCATGACTTTGTCAGACAGACCTCAAACCATAGCTTTATTATGATTAAGATGAAAATAAAACATTCTCCAATCAGGGAAATATTGAAAAGCATACCTTATGAATAGAGTTGTCTCTCTGCCATATCTTAATATTTTCATTAACAGTCGATTTTTCTTCTTGTAATTGTTTATTCAACCAATCTACAATTTCTTTGTCATCTTCCCATAGATGAGCCTGAGTGGAAAAGTAACAATATTTTCATTTATTCCTATTTTGTATAAAATCCTATAGTTATATTAACAAAAAAGAAAAGTCAACATAATTCCATGTAACACAAGCACAACACATATGTTTGGAGAAAATGGATTTTTCTTAGGCATTGACAATTCAAGATTTGACTAGCCACCAAGGGTATGAATGCGAGAGCCTTTAGTCGAAGTTACTCCTGCAAATGGGGATGCGAAACGAAGGTTGAAATTTTGAATTCTTTATAATACTTTCAAAAGTTAAAGTTGAAAATTTCCAACAAGTTGACGCAGATTCCCCAACATACAACCAAGAAAAGGTTGCATACCCAAAAGCTTGTATTGTCAAAATTTGATGAAATATTTTCAAATTGAAGCTGAAGTCATTTTAAAATTGTCTGGAATCTGAGGAATTTGAATTTCTTCCGACTCCACAGACCTTACTTGTCATCACGTTATAAATGGGCAAGTGGTAGACAGTACTCCCCTAGAGTGTGTACCAGGTTAGGGTTGGGCCATAATTTTTTTCCGATTTTCCCAATCTCAGTTCTATTACAAGTTCGGGGACTGTCTGTGTTAGCCAAGTGAATATACCCTATAGATTTCAGTCCCTTTACACAACTCGATGTAAGGAAGGCAAACAAAATTGGTTACCTCCATATTGGTACACACACTTCTGGACTAGCAACAAAGGTTTCCATTACTTACATTTACAGTTCCTTTGTCTTCCACAAACCATCTTCTTAATATAGCACTGGTATGTGCATGTGACATGTCTTTGTTTGTATCGCTTGCTACTTTTTTAGTTATTGTATCTTGCAGTAACAACCGTTTCAACCTCCAGTATAAAAACTTACGAGAACTGCGCCATTTCAGTATACCCTGTTAAAAAGTAACGAAAAATTTAATGATATTGAATAAACATTGAATTTAAAATCCTAGTGCCCTCTGTCAAAAATGATTAGGTTAAAAAATTTGACTTACGGAGATGCAGCCACCCTGTAGCATAACACCGGGTGTATCGTGTAAATCAGCAAAATGAACGGCAACTTGATGGTACATTGGAAGTAATTCTTCTTCTCGTTCTTGAACTTGAGATTCGATTTGCTTACGAAGATCTGGTGGCATGAGAGGATCAACTGAAAAAGAAGAGAAGAGGAAAGTCGATAAGACAACTCGGTCATATTGCGAACCACAGCCTCTAGTCCAGATACTGGTACCAGTCCGTCGCTTATGAGAATAGTTAGCCAGTTATTCGTTTTAGAAGCATGTAAAGTTAAGTTTATTTTTTCCAACCAGTAAAAAGACATAAATCATGCAAAAAATGATATTACATTACTGGGGGAAGGGAGGACGCGGCAAACCGAAACTGGTTATCGAGCAGCAACACTCACATAGACATGATGGTGAGTGGAGACAGGTTACATGAACCAGCTACAACAGCGACGAGTCCAGCAACCCCTCCAGCACAAAATAATTCCCCACACAATTCAAACCTCCAAACCATTCAACCTCCTTAGTCCTTGCATAACATGGTTATAAAAACAGATCTTACAAAGTTTCTGTGTTAGATCCTTGTATTTAGGATCAAGTCTTTTCATAGTTTTGATCAATTCTTTCTTTCGGAATTTAATCTGAACTGTTCCTTCTGATTCAAGAACTCCTCCTCGAGCTAATTCATCAGCGTACAGTTCCATGTGACTGGAATTTATAAAAAATATATTGGTAAAACATCGATTCTATTCATGCAAAGTATAAGAGAAAATTATATTTGCGCAGAATTCTCCCTCGTTTTTGTTTTAAATCAAATATTGAAATTTAGTGGATAAATATTATATGGGTGAACTACAGCGAGTCTACTACAGGTCAAATACGGCCTGTTGGGTAATTCAATCGGGCCCGCCTGATGCTGCCACAACCAAACTAAAACCAAATTTTGATGGTGGTTGTTTTCCGAAAGTTCCCAAAGGTAAAGAACTTATCACAAGTTAATCACTTATATAGTCGAAATAGAGAATAAGTAAGCTGTAAGCTAAAGACCAAATGAATAATTTAATTGCCCAAGATATGACATGATCATAGCAGAAGTACACAGTAAAGAGAGTTCAGTTATAACTACCCAAAAAAACGCAGTTACAATATAATTCTGGAAAATAACAAAAATAATATTTTTTACTTCTCATTTATAGTAGGATCCACAACCACCCAAGCACCTCCTCTTAATTCAGCATGTGGTGGTATATACACAAGTACTGGTTGAGTGTACTTTCTCAAAGCATCAACAATATATGAACCAAACTTTAATACTTCATCGTACATGTCTAAATAAAAAGAATGAAATGATGATCTTTATGTAAGGAGTGCACTTTTATACTGAACAAAGCTCAAGTCAAGCAGACATAGGCTTGCAAAGTTTTTTTATTCAGCAGGGCAGGGCATATTCTACTACATATATCTATGATTATTTCCTTTATATTTCAATTTTTGAATGGATTTTTCGCATCTTCATTCTGAACATATAAGCAGTTACCAATAACTAAAATGCAACTATTTTTTAAAAAATCAGAATTTTTCCTATTCTGCATTGTTTACGCAATTTATTACCACTTAGGTCAGGTATCAGGCATGGGGTTTGAAATCTGAACCTTTTTTAACCTGCACTGTCATTATAGTTCAAGTCCAACACTCCTACCACCACCCAAAAAAATATAGAACTGACCTTTCATTCCACCTGAGAATCCTCTCCAATTTGCAAACATGATAAGCGGAAGGTTTTCACGATCAAAATCTAAAATTGCTTGTGCAGTTTTGTAAGCTGAGTCAGGGTACCAAACCTGCAATTAGAAGGGTACTATTTTAAACGAAGCGGTTTAGTTATAGTGATGACCAAACCCAAATAATATAGCATTTCTAAATCCAATTTGAAGTAATAATTTTGAATAACAAATCTTGGATATATTCTTAATTATGTTATGTACAATGGAGAATATTTAGAGATCATCGTATGTCAACGAGTTGGAATCCGGAAATGCAGGGAAGTTGAGATGAAGTTGACTCAATAAGTTCTCTAATTTCTATTGTTTTCTGAAATTATATGTAATATTTTTTGTGTTACTCTGCGAGACTTAATTGCTCGATGTGATAACTTTGCAGGTGAAACTATTACAATATATTTCTAAAATCAAACATAACTCATTTATAATATATTAATTTTGGACCTCCTGATGAAAATGCAGTTCCAATCAACATTTGAATAGCCTTCTCTGTAGAAAGCTATTGGGTGGCCAAATAGACAGTAGGTTTAATGGTAGAAAACAAAAAGACATGCACTGAATATGATAGGATTTTAATATTTATCCAGAGGGAGCGGTAAGATGACTAGATGTAATAATCATATGGTGAACCACAGCCTCTCATCTGGTTACGAGTCCATGGGACTCGTGGGTATAGGGAATAGTAAACCAGTTATGCAGAAAGTCATAAGTGACAGGCAGTTATGTAAAAAAAACTGCAGCGGTAAGAAGGCCAGCAATCTTCTCGCACATAGTTAACGCCCACAGGATTCGAACTTGTGAACCTGCACAGTGTAATCAGAGGTGCAATAGAGAGTGCATTCCTAATGCTTAGCAATAATAATACAATCAATCTAACCTGGCCAGCTTGATTACAGGTTTTCTCTTCACTTAGAAGATCAGCTGGGTCAGCAGGGATGTCGACAACCACAGATCGAGTTTCTACTGCGACGACGCCCACAGGCACACCTCCAAGTCGAGCTCGACCAATCACGACAGATTGTGCCCAACCATCCAGCACTTCATCGAAAGAGTCTTTATCAAAGAATCCACTAATCCATTCATTTGTATCTGTGAAAGAGATTTTGTTTGATGTACGCACTTGCTTTACAGTTGTAGTCCTTCCATAGCATAACTTTTTCCATGAATTTTTGCAAAAAAAATTTATGCCCAACTTTTTTGGAATTATTTAACCCAGTTTTTTACCCTAAACTAGTATGAACTATGTGAAAGATAAAAATGTATTCAATAGATCCCACATTTTTATATGCCTCCACTCTGAACAAGGCTGTGTATAAGCAGACAATGATAATACATAAGGACCGACTATATACTGAAAGGATGAAACCCCTCCAGTTCATCATTGTGTGTTGAATATATTACCCTTTGGGTGAGGTGGTGGTGAGTGTATGGGATTTTTACCTGAGATATTTACCCGCAATGCCAACATAGTTGAGTCCAATGCTTTGAACACCAGGTCGTGGTTTCTCAAACTAACTGGGCCCTTAGCCCCATATAGGGTCACAGAGCGAAGGCCTTCGCTTGCTCAAAGTTTGACTATCACTGCACTAGCTGATATTCAATTATTTTACCTGGATTCGTGTATCCTGCCAACATATGCCTTGGATTGTATGCATTTTTAGTTGGCACAAATTCCACTTCTCTTTCAATTGAGTCCCGAGGTCTGGGAAGAATAGGCAGAGGTGCACCTTTCGATTTTGGAATGTATGACAACCATTTGAGTGCTGTATTGATGCCGACATAATCCCAACTGACAGTTGCATGAGATACTCCGTTCTTATGCATGATTTGTATCCCGCCGAGTTGGTTGTTTGATGTGTAAACGTCCCTGCCAAGAACCTGGTAAAAAGGGAGCAATTCTTAAATATATGGACACAATGATTGAATGAATATAATTGCCAATGTAATGTCAACTGAATGTTAGAAGAAATGTTCTGGATGTCATATGAAAGTGTGCACATGATTATAAAAATTTAAGCAGAGATATTGGTCCCTTTAGGACTGAAAAAAAAAGATATAGACTTGGTTCATTTGTTGCGAACAACAGCAATATTGAAACTTTCAGAGTGCACACTTAGCATCCAAAAACATAAAGGGTGGTATTTCCTTGACGGATATCTGCCAAATTATACTGCAATGAAACGGTAAAATGAATGCTATGCAACTCTGATTTGAATCAATAAGAAGAATATACACAAAAGTACAGTATACAATGGATTTTTTAGAGAATATAAGGTTGTTGGTAATTTGTGATAGATTTTTTAGAATACATTTACCATTTTTGAACTTCTCCATAGAGCAATAAAAATGCACATGAATCGAAAGAAACACAAAAGCCGATATTCTGTAAGGCTATTATAACCGAAATAGTAATGAAGATTTAGTAATGCCACCTACCTTGTTAAGAGCTTGTGATCCAGTCAATATAATATAAGCATTCTCAACTTGAATAACTCTTTGTCCCAATCTCACAAGATAAGCACCGATACCGACTGCACGGCATGTAACAAGTGAAATGGTAACAACCTGAAATATTTAAGTATTCATAATAATGGAAGAGACCGTGAGTATTCGTCAGCCGATGGTCAGACGAAAAATACACAGTACCTAATTAAATCTCTGATGCTGCAAATTACAATCTAATCGATACAACATATATCTCAACTATTCTACATTATCAAATCAATTTATAAGGAATTCACTATAATTTCTCTGTTGAATATGTATGCATCCGATGATCCGAGAAGACATCCGATATTATATATTCTAGAATTATTTTTTCGAATGTATTCAGAATAGTAAAACATCCAGTTTAGTTCATGCCTGAGCCTTGAATGTCAAAATATCATGTAGGAATATTATGCAAACCTCGTCATAAGCTCTTGAAGTTTCACCAGCGATTGTTCCACTTCCTCTCAAACATTTAGGACCACTTGTATCATCTTTACCGATGATATCAATAATTTTATATCTTGATTCACCGTCTTCTTCCACATGTTCAGCAACCACTGAGTTGGTTGCACTCAACTGTGTAAATCAAAAAGATTATTTGATTATAAAAGAAATTGAAATCCGTACAAAGGCTTATCATTGACCAAACACCATATCAGCCCCAAATTGAGTGTATGTCCCATTGCTCCAAACAGAGCTTTGGACAATTCAGTTCAAATGTATATTCAATAAATATTCAGAACAACAACCAAAGTAACTCAAAAGCGACTTTAACTGCACTGTGCACCAACCCACATACAGCACATGCACCTCTGCAGCTGTTTGGTCATGATCAGTCATCTGTGACTGATGACATCACAGGTCATGCTCAGTCATCTGGGAAAAAAGCTAGTTGCCAGAAATACAATAAAGCAATAATATTCTTTTGTAAGATGCATTTAGAAAATATTGCCTACCCAATTCAATAATATATGAGTGAGTGAAGTAGATCCTGATATTACAGTGGTAGCTCTTAACATTGATCAAAATTGAGTATCTTTACGTCTGAGTGAGTGTATGTGATTTTGCAGCTTGCTTATAACAAAAGGGGATATGAAGGTACATTATATAGATTTTCTATATAAGGAGAAAAGGTCATCGATATAAAGTAAAATGAATTAATTAAAGTAGGTACAAACCTTTTTGAAGTCGTGAGGTTTCAGATAAAGATATTTGAATCCCTGTAATGATATGAACAAAAATTAGTTTGAATTTGAATTCAAGGAAGAATCAAATTTCTTTATCTATTTATATAAGACTTATGAAAATATGCGGATCATTCATAATTACTTAATAACACAACAATGAAATGTTCTGCAGGGGGAACACATAGAATTCACGACAATTGAGAAAAAATATCTTGGAAACAATTGAAAGACAGTTTTCACATAAATCAATTATATGGTCAATCATATTATTACAGAGTGTATATGAATATTTTATCAATTTCAATTAAAGAAATAACAAGAATTTTTACCATATAATCCAACATCTGAATAATTTCAAATGTTAAACTTGAATTTGATATTACTACCGATCTTACACAATACCACAATACACTATATACACAATAACATTAGCATTGAATTACAAACTAAAATTATGGAAATAAACTCGTAAATTAAAGACAGAAAATCCAACCTTATTCATATTATTAGGATCAACCCAAGCAACATGAAACAAATGTCGAATTTCTTCAACAAGACCAATTCTTGCTCCACTGTTTGCTGAGATGTACATTCGTGGGATTTTCTAAAAATGAAGAAAGTATGAAGATGATTGATTTGATCGTTGAACTATAGTGATAGTTTCATATTGAGTTGTATACAATGATCTGATGAATATATACTAAGACAAAAACATTGAGCAATAAAATCACAGGAATTTGATTGATTTAACATAAAAATATATTGTGAAATCTAAAAAACAATTGTTAAATACCCAAAACTGGTAATCAAATTTAAAATAATCCAAAATACAAATCTCCAAAATTCATATTTAAAGTAATATTTCCGACTAATTTTAGGAAAAATAAATCCTAAAGTTTGGGGAGTAAAAAAAACACAAAACTTTGACATCGTCAGGAAACTGAGATTTTTCATAATTTTTGAAATCCAATTAATATATCTATATGTCTATCTCAATTAACTCAATCCATATTCTAAATCTAATTAGACAATACAAATAAAAACTCCTAAAATTTTACCTCTGATCTTGCCAGTTCTGAAGCTTGTTGGAATAACAGATCCTCTTTTGGTCCGAATGATCCAATTTTATAAGTGATATCATTAGCAATGCAAATGATACATCGTCCATCAGGATATTCAGGAGTACGTAAAGTGAACTTCCATGCTACCATACCAATCTAAAACAAAAGAATAAATATGGTGAAACAATTTTACAAAGACTGTAATGCTTATTTCCGTGCATGGGTAAATAGTTGGAGACACAAGCATGGATGATCGAAGCCTTTACCCTGAGAACATCCTAAAATAATATTCTCGAATATACCCTAAATTAGTTCAAGCTCAATGTAAAATTTACAGATTTATGGATACAAAATGAATTTTCATTTAAAAGTAGGAACGTTAAAATGGACAATAATTTAGTTGGTCTCCAGTTGTACATATTCAAATATTAAATTGAAGGCGTTCTTATTAATCTTTCACGACTTTTAGGGATTTTTAAAATGACTGTTTTTAACCATTCTAAATTATTCTTGAAATCGAAAATTCAAAATATTCAATTCATACAAATGATTGGGGACATTCCTCGTTACCAGCCTATATATATATTCTGGTTAATAAAGTAACACAGCCAATTTAATTTTTTTTTTCTTTTAAAACAAAGAAGTTAATTAACTTACCTCATTTTCACCAGGTTGTCTGTTGATGTTGACAAGTTTTCCATGAGAATCTAAGATTAGTTCTTCAGCAGTAAACTAAACAAAAACATAATTTCATAAAAATATAGTCATTTTCTAGGTTCGCCCATAGATATTCCACACATAAACAATGCCTAATATGTTCTCTATTGTAAACTTTAATTATGCCCGATATGAATGACAGTATCATGAAACCCAAAATATAAATATGACAGAGATAGAATATTCTAATTTCTTAGTATGCAAAGAATTGAGTCATTTTCGCAGCTCTTATCCTGCAAACTACTTGAATACAAGAGAATTCATGTTCTATTGATATTTGTAGCCTTCAAGCATTCGTGACAGTGTAATTGTTAGATTATACTGGGCTTATTGACATAAAAAGACAAAAACTGTAAAATATATATACTATCTGCAATTACTAGCAGAATATTTTGCTAAACTCTTATAACTAAGTCTCAATTTAAACATATGAAAATACCCCCCCAAAAAAAGATCACCTCCAACCAGGGATGGCCAATTCGAATAAAGTATTCGAAGGTATTCGAATATCTCGTCATTCGAATATCGGAATTAGCGTTCATAAGAATATCGGATATTTGTGTGACGTCACACATTTTCGACGCCGCTCTCAAGACGTTTCCGTTGAATGAAAACATTCTCGATAGAAACTTGCGCGTGATTGTTTTCATCAAACATCAGCGTAACGTGTTATTTAGGCCGTAAACGCCTTTACGTTTGTGTTATTTTCTCTAAAACGAAAATTTTCCACAAATTTGTTCCACATAACGAAAACAATTATTTTATTTTTGTAACGCGCACGGAATTGTGAATCTGGTAAATACGTTCATCGGCGGCGGGTTTCTAAAGACAACGCAACTTTTTGAATGAAAAGCGGAAATTTGAAATACTGAAAATAAAACCGTAAACAATATAAGTTTTATTGAGGCCCGCGAAAATTTGAAAAACGCTTTTCTAGGCAGTGAAAATCGCAGAATTTCGTGTGCCTCTGGCACACATTATGTTTGGTCGGCGTTTACAAACATATCGTCACGAATTGAGGGCGGGATTTGCCTGATTATCCATTACTTTGAATTGCCGTCGAATATTTTCAAAGTATATTTAATCAATTTTATTTTGATGAAATAAATTTCACTCCGAGACGTTACAGAAGATTTACGGATTTTTCGAACGGTTTTATCTAAAAATAATCAGAGTGGCAGCATTTCGATTGAGCGGAGACACTGTTAACAAGTACAGCTAAATATTTGCCGAATTCGCAAAATACGGATCAAAACATTATTTAATCGGGCAGTTTACCACACGTTTTTATTTTTATGACCGCGGATTGCAATGGTATATAAGAGTGGTGAGGATTTTATTTTGTCGACGCAACCGCAGGTTAAATTGAAGACAATTAAATTAATAATGAAGCAAGACATTTTAAATATGGCCGTGTCGGTCACGAATTCATCACTTTGCACAACACAAAAATATATGGTTATATTATTTGTTGTAAAAGTCGACTCTTCTAACAGGTGGCATAATCGCGGCGATGAATACGTATTTTCAATTCACTGCTAAACGTTATATTTATATTCATTGTATGAAATGAATTATACTCTACACTTAACAGGATTTTATATCATTATTTGAGATTTTTCTAACGGCGATAACGAATTGGCAAGATTGCAAAAATACGTATTAAAATTAAATACATCAGGCAGTTTATCTCGTACTTTTAGGTCACAGATCGCTGTGGACCAAATGGTAATGTTTTTTTTTTTTTGACGTAAGAAAAAGCAACCGCGAGTTACGTTGGACACATTAAATTAATATATAAAGATATTTTAAAAACTCGTAGTTGTCATGGATTGAATATTTTACGTAACAGGATAATCATTATACGCTGAAAAGACGGCTCTTTTAACGAGCGCGGAATCGCGGTGGGTGTTACCAAAGTCACATTGGGTGTTACAGGCGGCAATGGGAATTTCCGATTTCGAAAATCCTGGCTGCGCGGCTGGCAGTGGTGGTCATTTATCCTCTACTAATTTATTTCTAATTTCAAACACAACAATATGTTACACATAATAACAATATGGTTCACATAAATTTATATACAAATATACTGGTAGGTAGTAGAATATTCTATGCTTAAATATTGGAATTTTTAAAGGCATAATGGATTTTCGATTGTTGTTGCTTGTTTCAGTTGCCTGTATTGCCAATAAATTTTATTACTCTCAGAAAATATACACAATTATCTGAATACAAGTAGTATTTTTGTCAACAGACTTGACTATTATCATAATATCATGGTACCAATGATAGAAAGCGTCAGACAACTCCTTGGATATCTTTTCATATGGTCATTTGTACAAAGTGAATAATTTTAATAAACTGACTGTGTCACAAGTTGCTATTATTTTTTATTGATAGCTATAAACTATCAATTATCTTGTGTACATATATTGTTGGTTTGTGGCTTTATTCTGATACTTTTATTGAAGCTTATTTCTAATTTACTGGGTTTTAATAAACTAAACAAAAATGTGTTATTTTCGATTTTAGAATGTATTCGGAATTTCAGATTCGAAAACATTATTTTTTGGAATGTATTCGAAATAGTTTAGTATTCGAAAATGGCCATCCCTGCCTCCAACGTTTTCTACAGAGCATAACTATTGTGCAAAACGTTCTAGATTTCTGAAATTTTTGGGTACCATCATATACAAACAGAAGTTCAGGTGTTAAATAAAGGTCCTTCGCTTTCGTGAAGTAATCAAGAAATTATATATCGATATACCAATTCATCAGGAATAGCTGTTCCCCAATCACTCTGTGTTGCATATTCTTTCCATACTTCCATCAATGCTTGTCTGAACATTTCAGGGAAATCATATACATAAGTTGTCCCCATGGTTTGTGCTTTGAATCTTTTTGCTTGCAAAAGGTCTTTCGTTAAGTAAGGTGTACTAGTCAGCATTCCGTGCAATGGACCTGGCTTGTGCCCATAAGCTTGGAAGATTGTCTGAAATATGAAATTATGATTTGAAAACATAGGAAGAAACCTTTATTTAAACTAAATAGTTTATATTATGACAATATAATTTCAATTATGAATATTGCAAATTGTGATTTCAGAAAGAATAGAGGCTATCGTATTCTCCAGGCATCATCTGATTGAAATCTTTAATTGTGAGCGATCAAGATTACGTATCAGCTAAGTGGCTGAACCTATGGATGGCCAAAAAAAATAATTGGTGTTTCCATTCAATATACTGTAAAAAAATACGTTTTCCTCTATTTATGCAGTCTTATAAAAACAAATGGATTCGTTAATGTTTATGCTGTTTCAAGCTAGAAATTAATATTACCAACAAAAATACCTCACATTTAGTACACAAGAGAATAACTATCTCGAACAATCTCAATTAAGTTTATCTTAATTGGCATATCCTTATCAGGAAAAGATAACAAATTAACAATAATACGATCTCATTATCAGTTATTGTACCTGTCCTGTAGTTGGGTTTGTAACTTCCCTGTACAAACTTATATCAAGAAAATATCCTGATTCATTTGTTAAAAACAGTCGTACTGGGAATGGTTCAGAATCTTCATTCATTCTGCAAAACAACAAAAGAGAGAAATGTAAAAATATAAAAAACATTCACATAGCAAAACATGAGAAGTTCAATTAAGAAACATGGATTATTAATTCAATATACAAGGAGCCTAAAAACAGATCCCATAAATTTCCTAATTAGATACAACTTAATTATGAAAATGATGAAAAAAAATGTGATTGAACCCAAAAGTTATGTTCTCTCTAGAACAGGGGTTCCCAGACTTTATTGGTCGCAGGCCAAAATTAGAATCGGGAGGGATGTTCGTGGGCCGGATGAGTCTAGCGCCCAAAAGTGCGCGACTCTTTAGCTGGGGTTCAGTAGATTCACCATTGTTGCCAAAAAATATCTGTTTACAGACTTTTCGTTTGTGTTTTGATATCTCTAAGCCTACTTATATGATTGGTAACTAAATTACTGCCCTATGTAATACTAATACCGGTGCATATAAATAATTGAATTGTTACAATAAACACATGCTTAACACACTAGAGAGCAATGTTCCCTCTAATTTTTTGTAGTATGTGTGCGCAGAAATTTTGGCGTGTGCGCACTTTTTTGGAAATGACTAATATTTGTGCAAAAACCAATGAAGAAATTTTGGCGTTCTAACCAGGTAATAAGTGGGGCAACAACAAACTTTCTCAACCTGCCAACCGAAAACATTGTTACATTACATCGAAATAAGTATGTGCGCAGTAAATCTATGCTTGTGCGCAGCTTCTGAAAGCTGTGTGCGCGCGCACATGTTAGAGGGAACACTGCTAGAGAGCATACAGAATCTGTTGAACACTATTTCACCTGAGCTCTGCGAGCCATTTTAAATCGTTACGCGGCCGTATTTGGAAACCCCTGCTTTAGAATATGTTCCAAAAGACCTGGGTTCTATTTTTTTGATCACCCTGAACTATTATCATAATGAAATTTTGTTTAGTTTGAAAATTTTTTAGTAAAAAATTATCAATATTGATAGTAAAATTTTATCAAAAAATTTTACTTAATGTGTAAAGCAGAATCAGATAAGAAAGCAATACTGTCAATATTATATTGTGAATATCAATAAATTGTAGAAAGCTATTTACCTTATGTTGATTTTAATTTCAGCCTGTAAAACTCTCAATTTCCATAATCTACTTCCATATCTCATGACCATGGATCGTACATTTTCTTCAATCTTTGTCGGATCCATAATTACACGCCTGGAAGATGACAAAAAAAATATTATTAAAAGCATAAAATTATTCAGATACACCGCATTTTCAAGTAAATGAAAACAATTCATCTACGATGATTTTCACAAACGATTTTGATGAATTTTAATAATTGAAAGAACATACATTGAGTAAAATTGTCATGCAATATTACTATTTATACAGTGTATTATAGCATCAGTATATCTGATAACAAATACTGGAGAATAATAAAATAATCTTAGAATTCTACACTTCGGAGAGAAAATGTCTTAAAATACTAAAAGTAAAAATACATATTTAAGTAATAAAATATGAAAAAGAGAAAAATTTAATTCAATTAGAAAAGAAGTAATTAATTGTTATATGAGGTCATATTTAGTAGTATTGTATAGTAATAAAGTGTTGCAGCATTTTATTACACAGAACGTAAGCTTAAAAGTCACAGGAAAACTGAAACAATATTAAGCATATCCACTATCTAACTTCATTTAGGGGGTAAACTAAACTTTCTATGGAAGTAAAATTAATAATTGGAAAAGTCAAAAAAAGTTGATTGTGAAATTGTAATTAAAGTATAAAATACGAAAGTATAAGTACGAACAATGCTTGAAAAAATGACTTACGGAACAAAGTTGAGAAAGATATGATTGCAATCAGTTCTTTGATGATGATAATCAGAAAAAACAACCTCAAGTTCATCCATTGCTTCTAGTAAAAGACGTTCAGCTTCGTTGTGAAGGAATTCAAACGATGCTTCCTGATAAATTAGAACATATGCGTTAAGATAATGTTGAAAAAGAAAATTGTGGAGTTGAACATAATTCTGGATTTATTGGTTATCTAAATATGTTCAGAAGTCATTTCTATTGCTAATTCAAATATATCCATCATTATTTTCAGCTATTAATATAAGATAGCAAACAATTAGTATACCAACCTTTGTTACTAAATCTGAATGCCTGATGATAGCACGGATAAAGAATCGATGATCGGTGACCTCTGCCCCCTCTTCGACCTTTGCTGATCCCAGATAAAGATGCATACGATGGTTGTTAGTAGGTAAAGCTTTCAAATGAAAATTTCTCATCCTGTTAAATTCAAGTTGAAATGCCAATGCTGGTTCCAAATGACGATAGATTCTGTCTTCATAGAACTGAAATAGATATACAGAAGAAATTTTTATTTAATAGGGTTTGCATGCAGTAATGCAGCATTGTATAATTAATACTTTTTGGAGTATATGATGCCCATAGAAACGAAACCCATAAATTTCTTATATACTTTTAATGCAAATGAAGAAAATTTTTTAGCACTTGGACTGGACTTCTATTTGTGTATGATTGTACTCTTAGAGTTTCAATAATCTTAGACGTTTCGCACAAAGTTACATTCTGTCTACTCTAGAATATGTTCCATAATCTATATGATCTAAGTTCCGTTTTTTTTTTGAGAGGGTGGGGTTGACCCTGACAACTGACATTTTCTTAAATGAGTAGGTGGCATTTGTAGTGAGAATTGATAAATTGAAAATGAAAAAAAAATAATAATTTAAAAAAATATTATCTCCAAATAACTCTGTCAGTGAACCCTACTGTAAGGGGAGGTGTAAGAGAAATAGCTGCCAATTACAAGCATTTTTTTCAAACACAAAAGTTTAAACATTCGAATGTAATTGCTTAACAATATGTTGACTTAGAATAGGAACTAACTGACTAATTACACAAAACTTGCATGTTCTCGGGTCAGGAAAAGGGAGTGCCCGCAAGGGGTCGATACCGGTACATAGCCTATAATTAAAATACTGAATTGTTAAGACACCAAACAAAATATACATGCTCAAATTGTGATAATGATGAAAAAATTTGGGGTAGCCTATATAGAACACAAAAGAAAAAAAACATTTTTCAAGTTTCAAATTATCACACCTTCATAAATTCGGCAGTCCATATTAAATCGTGGCCGGCGAAACGTGGTTTGGGAACCACTGAACTAGGAGGCCTTACCTAATACAGTATTTTTTGAATTCATATTCAGAATTTTTCATTCATGTAATTGTGATTAGTTATTAGTTGATCAAACCCATCTCCACACGTTGTATTAGTTGTACTGATGAAGTGTTAGATATGATGTAGCTTTCAGATCAAATTTTTAATCGATCAAATAATGATATTTACCACAAATTATTTGAAAACCTCAATTTCAAAAATACATCAATTATTTTTCAATTAGAATAATTTCTTAACGAGTTCCAATCAGATTTAGAAAGTAGATGAATTTTTGACAATATATAAAGGAAGATATTATGTAAATTTTGTTCGTGTGGAATTTCATAAAGAAAATATATCGTAAGTGGATCTGTCGTATCTGTCTACACTTTGTGTCAACAATCAAAATTCTTCTATGACGTGAAAGTACCTGGGCCACATGACTACTAATGATCATGAAGTAAGTTATTTGTTAAATCATACTAGTGGAGAAAACAATTCAATGGATGATTTTAGTATCTGAAAGCTACCATATCTACATCTACTTCACTCCACTGCAAACATTTTTTTTGCTCGAGCAAGACCTCACCTGCATCTGTGCAGGGTTTTGACGATGTTGATGGAATTGCATTCTCACCTGATCACGAGCTCTGTACGTGAAATATTTTGGAATTTGTTTTCGTTTGTGGACGAGAAATGTGACACGACGTAATCCATGGTCGTTCAGCTCAGTCTGAAGAGAAACCAAAATAACAATACAAAGAGAGCAATATCGCCCCACATGGGTCAAAAAAGTACAATGATAGGCAAAAAAAACAGAGGGGCGATAGTACATTATCGAAATTCGGATTTATCACGAAATTTGTTCTGTTTGCCAGTTTAAAAATCAGGTCTAATCATGATGTAATAATACTGAATTTCTTACACTTGTTGAATCATTTTTGTCAAAAGTTTCTTAAATATCTGAAAAACATATTTCATGAAAACCTAAAATTTTTAACTAATTAAAACTAATTTCATGACATAATTTTTAGTTAAATCCAACATCGGCAAAAATTTCCACAGAAAACGGAAAGTTCAAAACAAACCTTATGTTTCTCCATGAAATTCTGAAACATTGAATCCAGAATAACGTCATCAACACCTTTATCAGTTGCTATGACGATATTCAAGATATGGATAGGATCTTCAGCAACACTGCATAATGAAGTTGTATCGTCAGGTTGAGATGTGTTGTCATCAGCTTGTTGACTTGTGTATGAAGACATACTTCCGACGCTCGCACTATTGTTTATAGTGGTGGGAGCCTCGAAAAATAATGGTGAACCCGGAGGACTGAGATTACTGAAGCACCTGAGAACTTTGACAAAGTACCTGGGGGGATAAAAAAGGAAACTAAATTCCATACCCATTTTAGAATGCATCAATGTACGATTTCGTTTAAAAAAAAAAAAAAATTGAAAGCGAGAAGAAGACATAGGCCTATTGAACTTGAAACCATACCATAATTGAACAATAATTAGCAGGAAATGTCAGAAACGAATCGAATATGCAAATGCATTTAAAAATGAGTTTATTCGGTTTGATAAATTCTTGATTTTAGAAAGTATTTTGGAATATTTTCCATATTTAAGCATTTGGAATAAAATGGTCAGACAAAAAATAAATTCATACTTTTTATAACGCTGCACATAACATTGGTAATCAATCTGACAACTATTTTGCATTACTAAACTAAACATTTACAACTTTAAATTTATCTGTTAAATATCAATATTCCATATTTAAAATAATAGAAATAAATGTATGCTATGCGCAGTATGCAGAATAGTAAATTATTCCAGTTTGGGTATCCATGTCGCTTTGACAACAATATAAAACTTACTCTTTAAATTCATCAAAATCTTTGAAAGCTGCGATGATTCCCATTCTTTGACAAGGAGGTAAATAAGTTTGATCGATGGAATGTAAACCTTCTCCAACACTCGATACTTTAGGTAGAGAAGAAGTACTTGCTATTTGATATTCACGTTGCGACATTCTGAAAACAATACAATTTCAATGAAAATAATTATATAAATACAAATACAACAAAAATATCATTAGTTACAACAAGGTTGCGAGATGCTTACAGGTAAGTACCTATATTGATTACTGATAACCTTATCAGAATTTAATATTTATCACATTGATGAAATTGTACAAAAGCACAGAGTAAAAAAAGGATTGTAGAGTGTCAAGACAAGACTCCGTAAACAGGGGAGATCACTACAAGAAAAAGTAACACAAAACAAACTAGGATGGGATTTACATATTTATCCTGTGGTGGAGGAAAGCCAATAAGACGACTTAATCATATGACGAACCATGGTCTACCGTCCGGTTACCAGTACATGTCGAGTATGGGATTAGTTAGTTATTTGTTTTTGGAAGCATGGACTTGATGGTGGAGGAAGCCGTAACTAAGATGCAAACCTGTTAGGATGAGTACTCGGCAACATGAACTGAAATTCACAAACAACTCTGTCATCTCCTATTTCATGATGTTGAACGCTGTTCAATTCATATGCGATGTACGAACGTCGTACATATACCTAAAACAATAATGTTATTTGAAACAACTTTAATCTCAACTTTAACAAACATCTCAATAAACATCCAAGAGAAAAACAACAGTAGTTACTGCTCTACATATGCTCCACAAGTATGTGCTGTAGTCAGGAGTGTTCAATTCATTTATATGGCATTACCACATTAAGAGGCAAGTTTATGCCATAAACATTATCATTATTCGTTGTCGAAAAGGCAATAAAATTTGGAACAAAATAAGGTTTGTATGGAAATAGTTATCCTTATAAAATATACTTTCAATTTTGAATTTTTAAAAATAAATCGAATTCACAATTCAGTTCAAGAATTAATTCAAATATTTCTACAATTTTTAAAAAAAATTGGCTCCAAGCAAGATCATACACACTGACTCAGAGAAGAGTCTGAGCAAACAAAAAACTCCTTCATTGAAACTAAACAGATTTATAGTGGTGCATTACGCAGCGAGAAAAATTGTCCATGTAAAATTGTACCCACCTCAAGAGCTGCCATCCTGACAATTGGATTGTTGTGATAGAAGAAGTCAGGTAAGACGTCGAATATAGTAGTTTCAGAGTTGATCAAATTCTGTAAATTATCTGGACAAAAACCACCGAGCGATTCGATGGACGACAGAAAGATAGATTCAACCTAAACAGGAAAACAAATTATCTATTTGTGTATTATATGCTAACAATTTATGAAAGGATGTGAGACAACATTATTTCACAAAAACACCAAAATGGATTATCATAGTTATCTCGGGCAAGACAAAAGTCGACAAGACGCCTTAAATTAATTGATAAAACACAATTCCATGCTAGGTTACCAGTCCATGTCAGGTATGAGAATAGGTGTTATTTGTTTCAGTTGCATGGAGTTGAATATGTACATATGAACTGTGCTTAACTGTGTTAAAATGACCATATCCAAACAGTTTTCAGTGTTCTAGAATTTTGCGGCGAACTAAAATTTGATGTAAATTGATGTGTTGCCGCAAAAATAGAACAAACAAAATATTCATTTGTCTCAATGGATTATACTTATTGTGTAACCAAATGTTATGCAATGAGTCCAATCAATTATGATGCAGCATTTTCTTTAGGCAAATAATACAATATTAAAATTTATGCAATGTAATCGTCGAGTTTATTTACCTGATTATGTCGCAATTCATAAGGAGGTTGATGTGCTGCAATAAGTAATTGTCTTGCACGTAATGCAACTTTTGCATTCTCTTGTTTGCTCAGCAGTGCAAGCTTTTTCAACATGGCTGTTTCTTCTTTTGCAAGTTTTCTATCTCTGTTTGCCATATGATTCTGCAAATAGCATATGAAAAAGAGAATTATTATTTTACCAGACCAAATTGGAACCATGGATCATCAAAATGATCTATGCTTGGACATCTCTGATATGGCCATAAATCAAAAACAGCTTTGAAATCATGTTTACAACCATTGTTGAAATTCCAAATTTTTTAATTTTTGATTTTTCAGATTATTGAGGGAGTATTGTTCCCATTATTTGAATTTAACACTATTTAAACTGTTAGAACGAAGCAATGTTGGAAAAACGATGCGGAACTTTTATTCATAAGTATATTATAAAGTGCATTGAACATTCAACTCAAGGGCTTATCATTTTGAGCAACAAAATTCACATAATGCAAAAAGTCCAAAGTACATGGTTCATATAACTGTAGATAAAATTGAAAACCAGTCAAAACAATATACTCCTTCGTAGACATGTTTTGCATTTTCCTTCAATTCCTGCAGACCACAACTTGTAAAAAAAATCTTCTCATAATAGAAGTATAGTGTATATTATACTTAATCATTTTAGTCTTTGTATTTATATTAATGTTTTTATTTTTAATTTTGAAACGATAAAAAAATAGACAAACATGAACAGAAGTCAGTTCCAATTCTAGCAGTAGAAAGAACAATATAACTCACAATAATTTGAATGACAAGTTGATTCTTGAATAGAGTGTGAGAATATGAGAAAATATCCAAAACAACGGAATTGACGTCATTTTTTCTTTCTTCTCTCATTTGAATACAGGATTTATCGAAAGGTCCTTGTTGAAATTTGACTTCCACTCTATAATATTCTTCAAGTATTGAAAGCAAAACTGCTTGCTTGTGACCATGGATACCTTCTCGGTATCTGTAAGTAAAAAAGAGTTAAAAAATAAGTAAAAGAATTTTGGAAAACGAACATCAATCAAATCTTATCAATTGTACATTGATAGTAAATAGATTTAGAATAAGAATTAGTATTGAGTTGCAAAAATAAAAAGTCACCACTTCACTTAGGGTATGAAAAGTAGGATAGCTCGGGAGTTGGTGAATCATGCCAGTGTTCGGAATAAGCTTTTACCAACGATCATCCTGTGCGAGTTCGCAGGTGTGGGTTATGTTGTGCAAGAAGATTGCTGGAATGTACATCGTCTAATCCTACACCCAACATGGATTGGTAACTGGACGAGAGGTCATATTTTGCCATATGTTTAAACTGCTTCAATAGCTTTCCCTCTACCAGGGATAAATATGAAAATCATATCCTACTATGGTAATTAACAAAGATATGTGGTCGAAAAATAGTAGCAATGACTTGCATGCCTGAAGCCCTATTCGTAAAAAAGAGGCTAAACACCAAATAAGTCAATGTTTTATCACACAAATGTCAGTTTTTCAATAAACAAATTCGTACTGCTATTAAACTATTTTTATATAAGCTCCATAAAATTAAAATTGAAGCTAATCATTTTTATTTTCAATAGTCATTACATTTTACCACAGTCACCTATGGATTTCGTTTTGAGTGTTTTATTTGTGTTAATATGTTCAAAAATTTGAGATGATAAATTCCATTACTTTTATCATCTACGTGTTAATTTGTACCACACTCACTTATGCACAAGTTGAAGAATAGGTTGAGTGTTAACAAAGAAAACATCTTGGTCTGATTTCTTGGGTAACCTCGCTGCATGTTGATCCACAGCTCTCCTGATTCTGCCGCCAGGAAATTGTGACAGCATCGAAGTAATATTTGATGCGTAAGAGGTCATTTCTCGGCGTATAGCATGTTCTACACCAGCTGGCAAGCGTCCTGCAAGGCTTGTCATAACATCCTTGAGAGAAAAACATAAAATATTAATATGTATAGAGTAAAGAGAGCAAGGCTCAAATGGATGGATACGAAGGTGAAATGACTAATGTGGCACAGTACTTTCAGAAAAATTCAGTCAAATGTTGAAAGAAGTGAATTGAAGGTTATATAAATAAAAGTGTGATATCGTGAAATATCGAAACAATCACAATTTGGAGCAAAATATCAGGATTCGTAGGTAGTAGTAAGATTCGAAGGTACCTGTAAGTACCTGTAGGATTCGAAGAAATTTTTAATTAGAATTAAGAAATAGTTTTTTAGCGGCTTCTTCCATTTTAAAGTACTGAAATTATAAAATAATTTGTCTACAGCAACATTTTGCAGAATAATACAATTTTGCACTTCCTGACTAAAAATAGCCATGGTTACATTTCAATCAACGAGCTACAAAAATTACCCGTTATCCTATTTCATGTTCCCAATTGTAAAAATCAAACTAACCTGTAATTCCATAAGTGGTAGGCATGGATCTTTCAATGCAATCAACAACATATTCACTGATTTGACCATGTTGTTATGAAATGCTTTATTCGGATGACAATATCCTTTCATTATGTTCATCAAACTTTTGTAAGCAGTTTCGTAAACCTTTGAAAATAAAAAAGAAAGAATGATTAAGATATTGCATTATACTTTAAAATAGCATAAGTTGACAAATATCCCAATTATTACTCGATACAATAAGGACAAAGCATGACAGAAATAAATCTGCCTAAGTAGGAAGGTTAAGCAAGGTTCTTGAAATCAAATCATTATTAATATTACAAACTTTACTCAGCATAATTATACATGATTATGCACTCTCACGCAGTGCGACGGAATCTGAGTACAGACTCGACATGGACTTTAGTGACCATTCATCAAAGATTCATAGCGACTCGAGTCGTCTGAATCAAATAATTTGTACTCAACTAACGGCCAGTAAGTCTAATCAACTAACGGCCAACTACTCAACTACCGGCCAACTACTCAACTAACTGCCAACTACTCAACAAACTGCCAACTACCTAACTATCGGGCAGTGAGACAAGCTTAGTGATTTCACTAGACTTTAGACTCAAACTCGATTGAAGACTTGGACGACACATGACTTGACATTAAAGGACTCTACCCAACATTTTCACGCACCAAACCAATTTATCAAAAAAAAAAAAGTATAAATGAGATTGAATCCTATCTTGATCTCTATTTCAGGTAATCCTCAGCAAAAAGTCGTTTAAATTACTATACCTTGTGTGGTTTTTCATTCTCCACCTCATTATCAGTCAACAAATCATTCAAATCTCCTTTGAATAAACTTGCTCTTGGTATACAAGATATGTCATCAGGTTCCAATCTGAAATAATAAAATAACATTGTTTCATTTTCTGTCCAGCGATTCTCCATTAATAATTATCCCCCAAAAGTTTTGAATCAATGATTCTACACGAAATTCCAATCATATTAGGAAAGCAACTGGACAGCAACCTCCTAAATCAACTTTCAGAGACAATAACTACATTTTCACTTCAAAAATATTAATAAATCAATGGAAATCTCACCTAGCCACAATCGTACCACACTCTAGAACAGATCCAGGTCGTTTGACATATTTTATGCAACCACTAGCTGGAGCAGTGAGTGACATCACCATCTTCATTACCTCAATTTCCCCATATGTTTCACCTGACAACAAAAAAAATTGCTCAATAAAAATGGAATAGATATAGGAGTTGATATTTGATCGTTAGGCTGTGAAGAGTTCACTCATATGCGTCATCATAAGAGTAGTTATTCCATATACTAAAATATCAGTATTTGTTTAACAATCATCAAAATTTAAATCATATATGCTAAATATATTTCAGGGGTAATTTAATACCACAGAAACAAATTTTTCGATAGCATTGCAATAACATTGCTTGTTAAATCTCATAGAAGCCAAGTTGCAAAATGTGAAATTTTTTGATTGCAGAAAAATAGATCAACACTCCGGTATTGTGAGATGAGGAATGTGTTGGAGTTTTGAGAAATAACGCAAAAATACAAAATCTAATACATAAATTGATAATTTTCGTTACCCTGATGTAAATGAGCACCATCCTCCACAGTAAAACGAATAAGTTTTCCAGCAGAAGGAGATCTCAGTATAGTTGGATCATTTTCCTTGTTGAATTCAAATGTTTGATTGTTAATGGTAACCCGATATCTAAATGAAACAGAAAACAAAAACATTGGTTTCGCTACAGAACAAAATGAAAACAATTACGTCCAAATGGACAATGATTTGACCCATATATAAACTGGGGCAAGAGACAATTTAGTATCCCCTTTTCCATGTGTTTTTTCTGAAATCGAAAAACAATACTGTAACTGTACCTACCATAAGTAACATTCATTAGATCAACGAAAGCTCAGGTAAGTCAGGTGCACACTTTTCCAATATGGTTTCTGACTTATGTCTTACATAGAGCTACCAGAAGCCGATGCAAAAAGTGCATAAAAAATTAAACAAACCTTTCAATTTCTTCTTTCATGTATGTAGTTCTTGTTATCCCAGCGAGAGAGAGTAACAAACCTCCATCACACAAACTAAAACAAACAGAGAAAAAATTTCAAAATATTAAAATCAAGATAGGATAAGACAGATTTCCGGATTTTAATAAGGAAAGAAGGGAGATAACAAATACATACACTTTGGGGGTGGAAAAAAGGGTTTCATACAATATCTAATGTAATCTAATTTCATAATTTTGCTATCCGAAATTTTATTTCTTCCATATAACAAGGGGTATCAACACTACGCCAATAATGAATCTTGAATGATTTATGAAAATTGAACAGTAAAGAAAACTTATAATAATCTCACTTGTGGACGTCGACTTCCATGGAAGAGTTGTTACATTCAATATAGAAACCATTTCTTGATATTCTAGTGACATACAGAACATATTTTACAGAATCGTGAATGAGTTCGATCGTCGTCGACATTTCGAGTCCTATGATCGGTAGAACTTGACCTCTGTAAAATTTAAAAAAATAAATGAATATTTAATTTTGTTGTTAATTGATTTTAAAACAAGAGCAATGGTCAAAAATATGGACACGATGGTTGAATGACCACTGGTCAAATAAATGGACACAAATGTTAAAAGACCAACATGGCCATGGTAGTAATCTCGGCGAAATTCAAGTCATATGTTATAAGAATTGTACAAAATGCACAAGTGTGAATGAATTACGAAATCTAGCAAAATTTGGGGTGGAATAAAATTTGAAGCAAAAATAATAGCATTCTAGAAACTTCATCCAATCAAGTGGTACTGGAAACTTAAAACCGATCGGAAAAAAGAAATTCCTAACGACAACAAGAATTGAGCAACAAGACATATAAAAACACTTGGTGTCTAATAAAAATTGTTCTATCTCTCACCTTTCTAATGAATGAGTGTAGTTCCTGAATTTTTCTGTGAATCTTGAATCAGCAATATGAAGAGAAGCACATATCAATGCTACATTGATGTTGGGATGTTCAGCCTGAAATGTTAATATTTTTATTATTTCCTACTCACAATGACAGTATATTATATAATTTCATTAGATTAAAGAAATGTATGGATTCCGAAGAATTCTGATATAGGAAGTGACTTAGTAACCATAGAAATTATCTCCTTAGTCCTTACCACGTTACCAGTGTAAAATGTAAGATTCGAGCATCTGAATCGCATAACAGGTTAACGATTCCCATACCAGACATGGAGTGGTAACAGGATGTGAGACTGCAGTCCGGTATTATGGGATTATGTCGTCTTATCAGTCTCCCTCTACCCTGGAATGAATATAAAAATCATATTCTATCCTAAATTTTTATGTCCTTTATATTAAAGTTTTATCGCAGAGGCAATAAAAAGAAATTCAGACTAGTTTAAAGCATATTGAATTGAATCTAGAATGAAGCAATTGGAAAAACGTAAAAGGTGTGCTTCTTTAATACAGATAAATAATGTTCATTAGTACGGATGAAAATAATTTTATTCAAAGCAGGGATGACGCAATCGACTATAGGGTGTCAAATCATTTTTATGTAGCTACCGGTAATTACATTAGAAAGACAATACAATAACATACTTTAACTTTATCAGTGATAAGCTTATCCAACCAAGCCGTATCAAACTGGTTGTTTTGGAAACTTTTATCCTCAATTAGATTGACAAGATATTCAACAGTTGTTCGAAAATCTCCTCGAATTGAGAGTTCCTTGAGTGCGAGCACCATATGACTATCAAAAAAGAAAGAGTAATTGTACCGAAGGGCAGTAGAGTTAATTTTCAACCTCAGAAGAGTGGTATAAGTAAATGTTCGAAATCTTGAATTATATGAACCAACACTAGGCTGCCCAGGGAGAGGTAAGCTGATAAAGCCGTTTAGTAAATAGGCTACATAATTTCAAGATGAATTTGGAATATTTGTATTTGAAACTTATCATTATGAGTATTAGACATTCAACTTCTGACACTGTAGAAAAGAAGTTGTTCGGATATTCTATTCAATTTAGGGTACTGCCGTAGCGTGTGTACCAGGTTAGGGTTAGGCCATAATTTTGTTCCGATTTTCCTTATTTTAGTTCTATTTCAAGTAAGGGGACTGTCTGTGTTAGCCAAGTAAATATACCCCCTACCCAAAGGCTTCAGTGCCTTTACACAACTTGATGTAAAGTGGGTGAACCAAATTAGTTACCTCTATACTGATACACACATTTCTGGAGCGCCCGATTTAGTCCGGCCTGATGGGCAATATCATAAACATAATCTAATACACTTACGAAATGGCAAATTCCCTTGTTTCTCCCCAAGCGAAGCAATGACCAAATTGTGAATCTGCATATTCATGTAGGCCACCAGCTGCAGCAACACTGAAGTATCCCCATGCATTTTTATTGCTCCTGAAATTCAATTCTTGAACAGTGCCTGCAGAACAACACAGTATTTCGACATTAAAGTAAGCATTTAAAACACAGATATGAGAATTTGAATTTGGTTTAGTACAATTTATGATGTACAATTCATTCAGACTTCTAATATGATAAATTAATGATTCCGGTTCAAAATTTACATTGAAGGGAATCGAATACCAAAAAAAATTTTTTTCTTTAAATATCATTGTGTTCTTTAAAAATATTGCGCAATCCCTAAATGATGTCACACTTAATAAAACGCAAATTTTTCTGCCTATTTCTAATCAGGTAGATAAAAATATCTAAATTTGCTGTTACAATATTTGATTTAAAATATCTTACTCTCGATTGGCTGTAATAATACACACACCTTATCAAAAAAGGCTGTGATTGGTTCTTACAATTTGGGTTGGTAAAACGGGAAACCAAAACCCCAGACTGTTGCACTATTATTAAGTGATGTTGAACTTGTTCATTGAGAATATTGGTGGAAATTTTTTAACCAATCAGAGCTCTCAATAAAAAGGTGTGCAAAATTTCAACCAATCAAAAGCAACAAAAATTACAGAGACAAAAACTAAGACAAGTTCGAGAGAGGTTTGTACAAAGACTAACTTAAATATAACGAACAATATCAAATTAAAATAAAGTTAAAATGCCGGTGCCCTTAAGGCAGGACAATCTAGATAGGTATTGTTATCACAGTTATTCGCTGGACTTTGAACCATACAAAGTGCAAAGGCCAAAGTTCAATTAGGCTGAGTGAAATAATAAATTACGATGCTATGCCTATAAAATAAATAGCCTAACACACGGCCTGGGGATAAAAACACCATTATCCAATGATAATAAAGACAATGATGATTTTGTTAAAGGCTCTTTAATTAAAAGCTACTTCTAAAACAAGCTATTAGAGTTAAACGAGTGTTCAGACACACCTAAACAACTTCGATTGAGAAAAAAAACGATTTTTTGGATTGGTTTCCGAAACTTTGTGTTCAAATTACTGTGACTCGCTTATTGAATTATAAGTGATTAATGACCAAAATTGAAATCGACCAATTTAAAATATTTTGATTCAAAAGTAATAATTAATAAGTGTATAAATATGCAATCCTTAACAGAGTTTGAATTCTAAATTGTGCAATTCATATTCACAAACCAAATAAAGCAAACAACTCTTTACCTGAACTTGGCTTAAAACCCTCATCAGGGTTTTCACTTGTAATTCTTGCAGCAATAACATGGCCTTTTGGTTCTGGTATAAACTGTGGACTGAAAATAAACAAAATAAACATGAGAATGTTTTCAAGGCTTTTTAAAAAGATAATAAATAACTAATGTGACAGTGGAACATGGCCTAATCAATTATTCCTATGTCAAGAGTAAATGAGCACTACATCCTATTCTCAAGTGTGAAAGGTGAATTAGTATAAGGTATATCCATAACTGCATAGCATCACAAATAGATATGAATGAGAGTGTATGAATACCGGTAAGTGATAACTAATTAAAATTCTCAGCCTAAAAATTACGGTAACTGTAAAAAAATGAATTTTGTCAGCCGTGTGATTGACATTAATGTTGTCAAACATCAATCAATAGCAAACAAAGCAATTAACACTCCATCCAATTATTGTTAAATGTGTTTTTAGCACCTTTGTGAAAGGTGTTATTAAGCATGAGAAATGTTTGACACGAAGTATTTTTAATTTTCAAAATTTTCGTGGAGTTTGAAATATTTGTATTATAATTATAATATAATAGAAAAAGTTCACATAAGTACAATATGACATAAAAAATATCATACAGAAACATCTGCACAACAAAACTTGGAAGACAGCACTGTAAAACTATTTATTGCGCAACTGTTATCTAAATGTCGGCCTCTAAGTTCGCCAGAAAAAGTCTGTGACGAGGAGGTCAAGGCTGCCTGTGTATATGTATCACTATTTATAACTGATTAATCAGTGATCACTGTTATATTATAGTTTTACTATACGCATCATTTTAATGACAAATTCCATCCTATTCGAGGGTGGTCAATGTCCATAAAGTTGTAGTGATAACATATATCAAAATATGGTCTAGTAAAATGCTATCGATAAATTATCTAAAATACTGGTATCATTCCATATTATAGTTTCAATTTCAAACTATGAAAAATAAACCAATTTCAAAAATGACCTGATTATGAGTATTAACAAAACAGATTAATGAGTCTATGTATCTGATCTGATAATACTTCCTTTTAATTTCTATATTTATTATTATTACATTTCTGTGTTTAAAACAATCAAGCGATAAATCCTTTCTCATAAATCACTGTATCCATAGGAATAAAATTATTACAAAAGTGAACACTGATATAAATATAAATGGTATGGGAACATTCATTTAAACTTGTATGAGTCAGACCCTTCGGGTTACTTTAGGTCAAATCAATCCAGCCAATTATTTATAAAGGAATCATGTGGCCTTACTTCAGACAAGGTTACTTTAGAATGTTTTAAAAATATATCATATTTCAGTCGAGATACACGTCTGTAGCTGTCCAAGCGTAATGTAAGTCATTCAACTTAACTCGGGCACAATATTATATTTATAATATCAAAATGATAAACATCTAAATCTTTGGTATTTGAAATTTTCCACCCTGAAGGCCAAGACAACACCAGATTTTTATCAGTGGTGTGAAAACATAAAAAAAAAAACTTTAAACTGAACAGCACATCGCCGCAGTGAAATCAAAATAGCTTTTGCCACATTTTTCAGCAATGGACATTTTTGGTCTGGGTTTCGAAGTCGTACATGTTTTAGTTTTAGTGCATTATGTCTGTTTTGAGGTTTGTATGTTACAGCCAATGTAATCCAAAAATGCGATTTTCCAAAAGCCTTAACATAAGCAAATATACTTCGATGATATCCAAATTCAGTATGCTGGCTATGAACAAAAGCTTCATACAACAGCTTGCATGTAAAAAAATTCATAAAAAGGAAGAATTATAGCCTATATAAAAAACTTAGGATTGGTATGATAACAGTATACAATCTCAAAAATTGATGATAAAAGAATTCCTTTTGCAGTATTTATAAATTAAAATATGGTCTTACTTCTCGAAATCAATTGGTGTACATTCTGATGGATCCTCTTTATATAACATTCTGATATCACGAATCATATGGAGCGGGATTCCCATTCCAATTTGCAATTGTAGTGCTGGTAGATTCACATCTGCCACCATTTCGGTACAAGGATGCTCAACCTTGAATTGTAAATGATTTCAAGTTGTAAGCAAATGCGTAATGAATACTAAAGTAAATTTTGATTTCCAAAAATTCATGTACCGTAAGTGTGTTATTGAAATTCAGGCTATGATAATGATTACAACCAAGTAAAAGGTATATAGCATTATGAAATTTTAAGATTCATGACATGTCGTACAAAAACAAGGTTTCATTTTCCTGAATATTTCTATATGACATATTGAAATGTCTTTCACTCTGAACAAGGCACTGACTGAGCAGCCACTGATTATGAAAGAGGCTATTTTTATTTTGGAAGGACCAGGATCGTTTGCCCACTCAATTCAATACACCCTGAATAATTTGGCAGTAGACATGGGATTTTAGGTGCAATGTCAGCATAGTTCAGTCTAACGCTTTTCACCACTAAGCCACCGCACAACAAAATCATCCATGTATTATAAACATTTATAAATAGATTTCAAAAACTTAGCAAAAATGATTGAAAATTATTAATTACATAACATCATGTATTTTGAGATTCATGGTACTCTTTACCATACTTCAAGTACACATGGTGCCAGTTTCCTGCAATTATCTACAAACTCTTATCAATACAACTATTTCCTTTGACAAATAGCATCAATATATTAATCTGGTCTCACCACATCTTTTGTAACAAAGTAATTTATCATGGAAAATTCAAAGTAGAATTATTTTATATATAATGATATTACACAATCGCCAAAGGTAATGCTTTGAAGCAACGTAGAAATAAAATGTTGTTTTAGTATTTGGACCAAATTTTAAAAAAGTTATTGTAGTTCAACTGTCAAATTCATTAATTTAAAATATTAAAATCAAACTCCATTACACAAATTATACAATTATAATTTGAAAACCATTCAAGTAGAAAAAATTGGAATAGCCCTGTATGCAAGCGTGAGCAATACTTCATTGAGACAATCAATAGCCTTTCATACATTAAAAACAATTTTGCAGTTGTATAACCAAAGTCCCTACTTAAACAGGTGTCAAATTATGCAGTTGATCAAAATTTCAATTTGTTTCAATATGATTCATTCATGGTTGTTACAACTTGAGTCTGTGACTCATACAGGGTGCCAATTGACAGCGGTCAAATTACAATAAAGCAATAGAAACATGTTTACTATTTTCTACATTGAAAAGTAGGTTGGGACTAAAAAAAAACATATGATAGAAAATATATCAATAATTAGTACTAGATCAAGCATGAAATGTTCAAAATAAATCTTTGAGTCATAGGAAACCAAACCAAATAATGAAAACACATGAAGGCTTGATAAGCTTAAAAGAGATTCATTTTGATTTATGATTTTTGTTATTGTGTTTTAGCACTTTTAGCAACCTGTTGCAGATTAGAACAGGTAATAAAGGAGAATTGGCTTTACAGATGATAAGGTGTGTAAATATACATGAAATATGTAAATTTCCACAAAACGTGTTTATCACTTATGCATAGTACATAGTGCCTGAAATTTCCATGCAAGAAATCGTAAAGTTATATAAAATTGTATGATTTCTGTAATTGGTACTTTAAGTCAACAACATTCTGTGAAGTATTTCGAATATTACCAAAACGAATAACAGATGAAAAAATAGCCAGGTCATAAAAATTGGTATCAAATTTAAAAACAATTTTATTATGCTACAAATAGTACCTACAGCCATTTCTTGACTGGAAACAATGGCTGAGGAAACAATGGTACAAGATACAAAGAATATTAATGTTTACCTGCAATCTTGGGTTCAATTCCAAAAAGAAATATTGTCCTGTTTCATCGTATAAATATTCCACAGTTCCAGCGCTCACATATCCAACTATCTTTGCCAGTTTTACTGCATCCTATGGCAAAAGTAATGTAAAAAAATGCTTTTTCCCTTAAATGTGAAACCTAAAAATCAGGATTCTAAAATTTTTTCATTTTAATTTTATGATACATGATCTCTAAATCTGACCACAAAGAAAAAGGCACAATACTATTTTAAAAAGTATCACATAATTCTTTACTTCATTGCACAGATAACAAATTAATTTAATTCTTATTTAAAATTTATAAAAAGTAAATTTCATGTTTTTTTATTCAAAAAACAAGGCATTTATTTTTATTATCTATCATTATAAGGAATCAAAGTTGAATCTTGCATAGCTAAAAAGCATATTCTTGAAAAATATCGTAAATAGGCATAAAGAAAATATACCTTACAAGAATATAAACAAAATTAACATAAATAGATTAAGAAATAAATCATATGAAATTAAATTTACCTTTTCCATTTTCCTCCATACATCTTCTTCAGTGACAGTGGTGGGTGCTTCTTCAATAATTTTTTGATGACGTCGTTGTATAGAACAATCCCTTCCAAATAATGATATTGCATTTCCGTATTGATCAGCAATAACTTGGACTTCTAAATGTCTCGCTCTACCAAAGAAAACATGGTTGACAAATCGAATGGTTGAAAAAATTAAACAAATAAAGATTCAGTCAGAGTTAGAGAGCTCACTTTGTGCATAGTTTCATGATAAAGATAGGAGATCCTGGAACTTCAGTTTGAACTTGACGGAATGCGTTAGGAAAATCAGCCGCGTCTGATACTTTGCGAATTCCTTTTCCTCCACCTCCCTCAGATGCCTTGATCATTACAGGGTAACCTATCTCTTCTGCAGACTGTTTAGTAAAAAAAAACAGTAAATTTAATTTAAATTTCAATAGATTCAAAGTCAATCTAAGTAATCAATAGAGTTATAAACTGTGATTGTACCATAATTGGTTTTATTGCTATGACTAAAAAAAATTATTTACTAATTAATTAATTAAATAAATTATTTGTTATCCAAGTTCTAAAAAGTGAGGCATATGTTCAAAAAAACTGCATTTTTTTGTTTTGAAGATAATATTAATACCTCAAAAATTCTTCCAGATACAAATTCATGTATTAGTGAATGAGTTAAAATTGTGACCAAACATTGCCAATCAACAGCAAATCATTAAATTTCTAATCTATAGTAACAAAATAAGAACAATAATAACCTTCATGGCTTCATTTACAGTTTCAACACATCCTTGTCTGTAAATATTTTCTGGAACACCTGCCATTTGACTCCCTTGTAAAAGGTTAGTTCTAGAATTAGCAGGTGGAGAATCAGAACCTGAACTTGACACACTATTACTTCTTGGCAGAACAAAATTTGTGTTAGGAAGCGATAGACCTGAACCACTCCAAGGCAGAGTCGGAACGTCAACGGACTGAGCGACAATTGAAGAAGCAACTTTGTCCCCTAAGAAACGGAAAGAGAAATATTCCAAGCGTTGATAAAAAACCATGGAACAGAGAAATAAAAACAAAAATTTAACTGCAAAACAGTACTTACCAAGTGCCCACATGGCTGATGCAGATGGCCCAAGAAAGGCAATGTTAACTTTACTCAGCATTTTTGGTAGTTTTGGATTCTCACTTGCATGTCCCCATCCTGCCCAAACAGCCTGAGAATGTAAGAGAAATTTTGAATTGTCAAGATAGTTCTAACAACATTTATTTTAGAGTGCTAAAACAAATTTGGGCATACAAAATCACAGTACCGAAGAAGAATATTGTATGATATATATTATTATCTGCTGGCCCACCATAGTTGGTTGCGGGTCCTAAAATTTACAATCCAACTTACTTAGTATTTATTATAAGTGTATGTTTTGGCATACGAGTTGAATCCAAAACTGTACATCTTTCAGAAGTGTATTTTAAACTACAATACAATAAATTGAAAGTATTCCCCTGGTTTGAAATATAAACCACAGATTTAATAAGAAGCAAAACATCAAGACTACCCGAAGAGACAAATAAGATTATTTCACTAACTTGAACATTGCTTCTTCTTGCAAGATCTACAATCAATTCCACATTTGCATAGTTGTTATTGTTTGTACCACCAGGTACATGTACGTAACTATCAGCCATTCTAATGTATTCCGCATTCGCATTCAAATCTTCTGGTGTAACCATAGCAACAAATTTGACAATCCTTTCATTTCGAAACGTTTCGTATGCCCATCTTCTCATTGACCTCATGCATTTCACAGCAGCTATTCCATTGTTTGCAATAAGAACCTGAAATAATAATAACAAACTTTCCTAAGCATGAGCCATCTGATAAAAGATGGAGAATTTTGTTGTGAAACTGTTAAAATCATTGGTGAACGAAATGCAGAGCTTGAGGAAAATCCACCAGAATTTTGATAGAAACTATTAAATACCGGTCGAATATCTGACTTCCGCTCTGATCCTCAAATAAGAGGCAAGTTAAAAAAAATTCTGTCACCGAATCTACTTGCATTATCAAACCTCTTTCATTTTAAAGTCAAATTTTAACTTTAATCCAACAATATATTTTTAATTAATTGATTAATACCAGGAAAAGATGATAGACTTGAAAACCCAGAAAAAAAAACGACACTTTTTTCATTTGTTACCTTGAGCTATATACACCCGAGGTGATGGATAAAAACATCTGATATCATGTAGTAAAAAGAATGAGCATGTGCCCTTTTATAAAAATACCATCTTGGAGAAAAGTACTGAAATATGGATAAAATCTTCACCCTTTCTATGACTCTATCTCCTCCCAAAATTTTGATGAGTTCGGGAACTGTAGCAGCCATACTATGAAAATCCTTCTTATGATGACGAGAACATGTTTTAAAATGTGATGAAACACTAGAACTTGAACTAGAACCACTTGGAGAATTCTCCTCTTGCTGCTCTTCAGCCATTTTCTTGATCTTCTTTATTTATTCAGAATAATCCAAAATTAAGATCATTGATTATGGTGTAAAAACTAACTTGATTGGGAAAAATCACTTTTGTAATTATTGAACATTAGCTTAAATTATTTTTTATTTTAATTCTGCGACAATACATTTCCTTGTGATTCATTCTATACTGCTATAATGATCTTCATTTGTTTGATAATCTGATAAAAAGAAGGCAATTTAGGAAGTAGAAAATACTAAACAGCCATCAACCCATTGCCATGGTAACGAAAAAAGCCTCCAAACTGAACTAGCTATACCCATGGCTTAAGATTTTTATTCAAATAATATTGAAAATTGATACGATTATAATCCAATGATGCAGTTACAAGAAAAGCGAATAAAGTAACAATGGGAATCATAAAAATCCAAGTGCTGTAAAGCATTTTAAGCGCAGAAGCATTAGATTTATCTATGTTCATTAGTTTGCCTACTGCATGACTATAGTAATAATTCCATCAATCAGTAAATTCTGCAATTATCACATTTTGCGCGACGGACCTTTCGCCCTGTCTTGCCGTCATCCCGTGGATGTTTCCAAACTGCCGAACCAAATTTCTGAATTTTGAATATAAGCTATGCCTTTTTATTACATTCTTACAGCAGCACACTACTCACAGACTCATTTAAGATCGTAAAATTTCCTCTACGACGGCACGTTACTGCGTTACCGGTACGGTACGTACCGTAACCCATATGCATGTAGTTGCATAAATCTGTGAATATATACCGTAACGTTTCATATACCGGTACTACCGGTACCGTACATAATAAAACCAGAAGAAATTAGCTAGTTAGAACCACGTCCAACCCGATAATCCGAGAACCCTAATCTAATATACCGAAAATGCTTAATTTCCATTTTACAAAAAACGCGACTTACAACCCAATACATATTCCAGTATTCCAATAAATCCTATCAAAGTTTGAATCACTTTCTCATAACAAAAACAACCGAGAGTAACCTAAATCGAAGATCACGTGCCTGTTGTCCTGGAGTTACAAATACAAAATCTTTTTGACCGATAGTTACTCCGCAGTCACGCTTGGCTGAGTCACGCGTTTTGGGCGAGGCGCTACGTACCAAGCTTTGTTTTCGTAATGCCAATATGATACGTTTATATTGTTCGATACTACAATGTTACAATTATTTGTCATCACCGCCAATTTTAAACTTGCGTTATTTTGGTGCCTTTATCGATATCGTTCATATCCCGTCCGTAACTTTTATTCGACAGCTCTACAAAATTGAACTTATATACAAAATTTATAGTACACTAGTAAAGTCAATATAGACTGTACATTTTGTGTGACGTAGCATTAGCCCCTTTCGCCACCCCTCTATTTAGAATAAACATGTAAAAATTCTGTGATTTTTAGAAAATATAAAAGTAATATTACAGTAGTAGTTTTTGTACATACTTCTATCTTTGAACTACCGAAAATCCGCAAGAGATTGGTCCCACACAATCGTTCCTGAGGAGATGGTGGCTTTCCACACAACGGCATAAATCCGCAAATGATCGGTCGATACATTTGTTGTGTCCAATGATATTTGGTTTTCTTAGAATTTAGAATGTGAAGACGCGACAGCCTACTTGACTCGATTTTGTTTTTTCAAAATGGGTAAAATCGTATCATTGACTTTCCTATCGTTCATTTCATTTGCCGATCTGTAAATGTGCGCTTTCCCTAGCATCGCGAAATCCACCTTGTGTAGACTAGATATGTACCAATATTATACTTCAGGCCTATAGATGTTATCAGCGATATCGTTACAGAGTGTTTGATAATGACCAATATTGCCATAATTTTCTAAGCCAAATTCTAAAAGAGAATAGCGTCATGCATATTGACGACATCCATCAAATTCTCAGTCTGTGATATGACTCAGTGTCAGCCTCTTATCATCCTAACCAAAAAAGTTCAAAACTTTACTTGGGGATTATATTGTCACATACATATTAGGAAGACGCCGCCGAATGCTCATTAACGGCTTGCCACTGGGCATTAACAAGCTCTAACATTTACATCTTGTGACAAATTTATTCATCGAAACACGTGAGCCAGCGCATATAAAATATTATTTCTGACAGATAAGTTTATGTTACGGTTATTTTGACTAGCCAAATGAAATTTTCTGTTATTGAAAGTCACTTTTGTACAATGTACACTAGCGATACTCGAGCACAAAGTTTACCCCTGCCTTGCATTTACAATTTAAAATAATAGGTTTCTTTAGTAACAATTTACTATAAAATAAATCTCGTTGTGTTCAATGAAGCATTGCAAAACGACCTTTGGTATTGCACAACAATTCGGTTGCCGCGCAATATTGCGTCATTTTTCGCCCGGCGACTTGAAGTCCTAGTATCGTGAAATTACTGTCGGTGCGAAGTTATTTCTTACACTCATAGATATGTCCTTAGATTAGAGATAACTAAATTATAACGATGTCGAATGCAACGTTGCTGTTTGTTTTCGTACAACATATAACGTTTTTGCTGTAACGGAACTTCTTCCATATGTGCCAACTTCGAAAACTAAAAACTAGCCTGCCATTCCGACGTTAACTATAACATAACATAAACTCAATGCTGTAATGTTATTTTCAACATAATTGGTAAGCCACAACGTTTAAATAGATAAAACTCGGATGAACTTATCCATAAACTTTCGCTGGCTGAACAGCGTATGGTTGAACTCACTTGAACCTGCAATAAACGCGTGAATGCTGTCAGTCCGATAAACTACCACTGCCAAGTGAAACTGGACAATGATTCAGAACTTGAGACAAACTGAAGGCAGAAATTTGTTGAGATCATTTTTGCATGCTAGGCCCAACGTAAATAATTTGTATGCTGTTCAAATAAGTGCGGTAATCTGTACGATAACTGTGTAGCAATTCCAGGACGCCGTCTACTCTGTCACGTGGAAATTGCATCATTTCTAACGCTCGTGATAGGTTGCATAACACGGTACAGCAGCGTGATATTTTCTTCAACTTTTTGCAATATAACATTCCCATGAGCCCTTTATGCCGCTGTGGGATATAATATGCTTTAATTAAGCCAGGTCATACGAACTCATATCGGTACGGGTGATGCAGAGGCGAAAAATAAATTAATTACTATCATTGCATAATGATACTGTGCAGAATGCAGACTTCTCGGTGGACATTGGACAATATAGATAGTAACGTCGTACTAGAGAAGTTTAGAAACAAAACCATGCGTTGAAATAGCTCGCGACGTAGCTAGATCTCAAATATTGCTCGTCCATGTGGGCATAATAAATCTGTGGTTTCCACTTGTCATGTAACTTCAAACAAAACAGGCTAACAGACTTATATTGGAAGTTTGAATTTGCTCACAATTTAAAATACATGCGGCGATGATGTTTTTTTACCAAACACGCTTCTGGAACGCACATTTTGGGTTAAACAACTCCACACTGTTATTTTAGCATACGGAAATCGGGAATGACATACAAGGCGTTTCGCGTTCTGTTTTAAGAATTGACACAACTTGCCGACATATCAAGCAAGCATTGTGGTATTTTCCCCCTCTCATCCAGTTAAAAATCTGTTCGAATTCGTCAGCTTTCTTTTCAAACTTATGTTTACAAAATAACTGCAGATTGATTGATTACCAAATATGAGGTACAGGAGGGTAATTCCTAAATTTTCTGACATCAAGGCAGCATTTTTTGTAATACTGTTTGAGCTGTTTGCAAAAAACATTCGGCATTAATTATATTGTTAGGCCATGACATTAATTAGTTATCAGGCATAGCCAGTAGGCTAATAGAATCGGCATTCGATTTTTAGTTTTCGATGATGCCGAAATGTTTAGCATGTATTCCTGACCAAAAAGGTAGAAGGGCATCATTCAACTTCGCTAGTTGCCTCAGCTAGCAATAACACTAGTCCATTCAGTGACATTAGTGAAGTAACAATATGTCAAGAGATTTTTCAGGTTAATTTTATGACGAAACAACACAAAATGCGATTTTTTTGATTACTTTCCGAATGCGACGCGGGCCACAGATAATAGAGCTACGGGCCTGGATTTGGACCACCCTGATTATAAGCCATCCTGTGTCAGAGTACTTGATGTTTAGCGTGGTATTATCATTATATATATATTTGTTTTGGGACAATACGAAACTAAAATGTGCTCATTCTTCAACTTGGAAGTAGTCTTAAAGAAGAGGCAAGCTAATAATGAAAAATGCAATTTTTTTTATTGAAGTAGCCTACTTTGAAGAATTTTACAATTTTGCCATCCCATTCCGTCTTAGCTCTGAAATCAACGGTCAGCTGCATTGGTATACTATATTTATTCTAGACTGCGCTAATGTCCTACACAGCGTAAAAGCTACCAAATATTATGTGCGCTACTCAACTTCTGACAGGAACGCTGTACGGTTTCATTATAATGTTTCCGACCTTCTTTAGCTTTCATTCGAATTGCTGCCGGTAATAACATTCACCATACGACAATATCACCTTCCCAGATGTCGAAGTCGCCTGATTTTGACACCGCCTTTTGTACTCGAGTAACTTCTTCGTATGTTTCGAAACCAAGTATTATCTTTTCTCATCACGATATTTGTGATTAGCAAACTTCTCCACCCCACTACGTCACCAAATGTAATTTTCACAAAAATAACTCGTGTTACAAAGTAATTATACCATCGTCTGACGTTTCGGTTACTTTAGGTTCCATGGTAGCATTGACAACTCGTTTTCAAAGTTGCAGCCACTAATATCAGGTAGTTACATTATCCAGTATTTGAACATGCCTTTATATTTAGTTTTAAGCCCTCACTTGGTTTAAATATACCGCGAACTACTCTAAATTCATGACTTAGATCACGGAGCGCTGAGTGAACTATTAATTATTGACCCAAAGGTGTATTTCTAATTATACATTCTTTATCAGGATTTAGTTTTCTAATCGGCATACCCAACAATGTGACAAAACTGAATGCAAACAAGAACGCTCAAGAATAACTATACCTAAAATACCTAAATAAAATTAAATGTGCGAAATTAAAATTACAATATTATAAAGAGCGGTGCGGAAATGTCGCTTAGAAGCCTTAGATTACATTCCATATTGTTGTTGCTGCTCTATCTATTATCTGTGTATAATGAGTGACGATGGTCGTCAAGAGATCTTGAATCGAACAATAGTTTAGCAGGGTTACATCAGGGCAATTTTGAATTTGGTTTGAATAATTCGATTGGCTCTCTTCGTGATCGAAAAGCATCTGATAATGGCGACTCTTAAGCGACAGCGTGTGGTAATACCGAGTCGATAGACAACGAGTTTTTCAAGAAAAACAGTTTTAAAGATACTATTATTTGCTAAGTGTTTAAAATTTATAAAAATGTACACACCGTGTTGAAATTTAACGACGAGTTCACACGGCGCTGTTTATGGCACTAATGGTGTAATGTTCCACAACAATTTTGGAGTGTTTGTTAGTCAATACTGAAGATGATATATCAGCGATATTTTATTTTGGAGCCTCACCTTAGATGGACTTTGGTCTTATTCGGAGTATCGACGTGGCGTGACATCAAAGCGACGTTATCCTACTGTTGGATTGGTACGCCTATTCCCGTTGTTATACTGTTGAACCTAACAATTCACTCTCTTGAAATCAACTATGAAACCAAATTGAAAGTTTTATAATAGTTTTATCTGGAACCTTAATCACATAGAACATGTACGATTGACTGTATTGTTGTGGAAATTCAACGCGGTTAATCAGAAACGGTAAAAGCTAAGTGAGCAATGTACACTGAATAGTAATAAAGTAAGCTGGAAGAAGCAAAATGCGGAGGGTCACATGAGTTGAAGCACTACAAAAGCAAGTTGAAAAATCGTGCACAAATAACCTCAACGATTCCACACGAGTTTGAATTCAATAAAATACGTAGTTTGCTGTGAAGAGGTACCCCAGGGCTACTCAACTGGCGGTCCGAATCCGGACCTTCTGACCATTCAGTTTGGACCGCGTCTGCTTGTTTATTTTGGCTGCACAAGCGTCGTTTTATAATTTCAGATGATTTTGATATTATTTACATACACATGATGGAAAGATCCATAGGATGTTTCCCCGACCTTTGACCTCAGACACGTTCCCCCTATACTTAACTATTGCAAAATTTTGAATGCGTATTTTGCGAATGTTTCAGAGAGTTGACATTACAAACTGATTTACATGCTCAAAACCATTATTTTTATGAAAATATACAACCGCGTGCCGCTTACACGCTCATTTAAGCATAGTCTATCGCAGCTTTCCCGGGACTCATTTTTGATTATTGTAACTAAACTAAAGCTTATCGGAAGACATAATAAAAATTACAATACTTCATTTACAACTTATTTTCAGAAACACAACCAAAAACTGACAAATAGCACGCGAATCCGCAAGAAGTAGGCTTGTTTACAGCCATGCTCGAATATCTTATACGTCATCGTTGACTTTTTGCTGATTGGTCATTGTTACGGAAATCAACAAAGAAAACGATGCTCGGGAAAACATCTATACAGTTGCCGTACTGGTGCCCCGATGTGCGACATGTGTAAACATATTGGTGAGCTATTCATTGCTCTTGTATTTAATTAATAAATTTTCTGAAGTGTCCGGACCCCAGTAATTTTGAAGTTTTGTAAACGGACCTTTGGTGAAAATAGTTGAGTAGCCCTGAGGTAGACTATGCTTTGCAGTGTAATGAAGATCATTCGTATTTCGAATAACCCTGTTAGTTATTTTCTTGCGACTTTGTTGACCCAAACCGAAAGGTGTTTTATGCTATACATTTCCTGCACTACCTATTCTTGATCCGCATCATTTCAAATGCGATTGGTGTCAGCGCCTTCTGAATTACTTTTTAAGGAGGTCAATTTGCTCTTCCAATTTCTTATCTAAGGTGCCACCTTCGCCAAACACCCAGCAGCCAGCAACGTTTGCACCTCACTGCAATGATTATATAAATAAATACATATGAAGACAACAAAGTTTGTTTTGCTGACTAACATATTTAATATACACATTATGACGATTTGAGCACTGGATATTACATAATAGTTACAAACAATGAACTGAAAATTTGTTTTCAAGACTATTGTTTTGTTGAATTAGAATTACAACCAAGAGGCAGTTTTAGCAAGACCTTGCTTGACAGCAATAGATCATTTACAACGAAACGGTATGTATATATATATCAATTGTTATCAACAGCGAATAATGAAAGTGGTCAAATCAGAGTATTATACACAATTCATAATGGCGGAGATTGTCGAAAATCGTCACCGTCGAAACCTGCAAAACATATTTCATCATTTAGTGAATGGGAATGTGAAAGTAACCAATGCAATAGCAGAGGCCAATAAAACAATGGAAAGAAGTGACTGAAAGCATCTAGCGCCCATCAACAGCCTAAACATAAAGAAATCCCAGTTTTATCCCAGACCCACGTTTATGCATACATAAACTACTTAAACTCTACAAAAGCGTGGGTGAGACTCGCGCAAAACACTTGGTGAGGATTTATTAAAGTAGTTTTCATGCCTAGTGAGGAATAAAGAGTCCAAAAATAAGCGAAGGGAAGATAATTAGTTAATTAGTTATATCATGTTAAATATACAGTAGTCAAGTCCTAACAATTTTTTTGTGTACGTAAGACTAACATATACAGACCCTAATGCAGAAAACTTATTAGCATAAACGGCGAAAGTGATATATATCTACCCAATAGTTTTGAAACATGGGGCCGGAGGCCAATTGAACACCAATTTATTTTTCGTGGTGAACGTATTCAAAGTGAAGTAAAATAAAGAAACCATTGTTGTTGAACATTGGTAGTGTATAGTCTATAAACTTGAAACACAAGTATATAAATCATTGAAATTAATGAAATGGCCAGAAACAAAAAAGATTAGTCATTACTAAGACTTCCTGACAAAAGCAATATGTAAGATATATAATTCCATTGCACATTATAATATAAACAATGTTAGAGATTGTTTTACGGATTTCAATCACGAACTTGGATCACTTCAACCGGCAACCTTACCTAATAAACTGCTGGCTTCAAACATCTTCCACCACAGATATCACAACATACTGATCCTTCTGCGCAGTCACTGTTTATATTACATTTCTGATAATTCTGACATTCGTTGGAAATTGACTTCAATCGAGGAGATTTGGCATCGGGGCAAGCTATAAAAAAAAGAACATAGGCGTAAACTTTGACACATGTTTCAAATCTGGGTATTGATTTAATAGGATTTAAAATATAAGACACGTGTTTGTTATTCGTCTTATAGATGGAAAATACAAGCATAGATTATATGGGCTCATAGTTAAGTTTAAATGCAATAAGTTTAAACAATAATGTGGACATAATTTAAAAGTCTAATTAACTCGTAATTTATCCGGCAGAAGATATGAATTTTAGAAGACATCAAACGCACACATTATACTTACTCGGCGCGTCCATGCACATAAACGGACATTTCTTATTTGTAAGGCAATCGTAGACTTGTTTTTCTCCTCTGCATTCTATGTGAAAATAAGTCTATATTATTTTTTCAGACATTACCATTATGCTATAGTAATTATTATGTTGGTTGTCTCGCATGAGTGTATAAACCCTACTCCTTCGATTTCGTTACAATTCGCTCTATATACAGGATGTTTCATGAGTATGTGTACACTTTTAATTTTGATTTGCATTTCAGGTACTCATCATAGAGCGTTCATTTCTTCAGGAAACATGTTAACAGTTAACACACTAAAAAAATTAGTATATATATATATATATATATACAACATTTTTATAAAAAAAAAATTGCATTGTTTTCGTTATGATCACTATAGTGCTAAAGGAGGATTTGACAGTCATGATCCAGTCATTTCTTCAGAAAATATATATAGTTAGGATAAGTAGTAAAATTTAGGTATTGTTTGCATTTTTAATCAACCCACAGAATGACAAGGAGATTAACCCAAAAGTTGCTACTTGGCAAGAAACTCAGCGCCTCCTAACAGAAAATTGGGAATTAATTCGGTTACTACACGATGAACAATTTATGAAATTCATCGTAATTTTTGGGAAACTGGATCTGTAGTTGATGCACAAAGATCAGGAACACCAAGAAGCGGACGCTTTGAGGAAAACATCCAAATCCGAATTAATTCCAAATTCTTCGTTAAAGAGGCGCTGAGTTTTTATATGCTTCTTGCCAAGCAGCACTTTTGCACCTCATTCATTGGGTTAATCTCCTTGTCATTCTGTGGGTTGAGGAAAATGCAAACATTACCTAAATTTTACTACTTATCCATACTATATATATTTTCTGAAGAAATGACTTGATGTCAAATCTTTCTATAGCAGTATAGTGATCATAACGAAAACAATGCAAATTTTTTTTTTATAAAAATGTTGTATATATATACTAATCTTATTTAGTGTGTTAATTGTTAACATTGCAACTAAAAATAAATTGCAGCCGCATAATGGTTACCTAGACTACTTGTTTGCATCTAAATCTTATCAAATATTCAACATCGATGGAAATTAATATTTTTTCCTATTATTATAGGAAATACGGCGAACAAAACTCGATCTAAAAATGTCGCATGTTTACATACCACAATGGTCAAAGTCATGGGTAATGAGAATATTTTTAGGACAGGCTGCCTTTGGTTTTGCAGTTGCGGGTATCGCCGGTGTTGTTGTGGTCTTTTTCGTTGACAGAGCCCGTTGGTAATAGCTCGGTTTGTTGGTGGTGGCTGGAGCAGGAGTTGTTCTTCTGCGTTCCATGATCATTCTCAGCATCATCTCTGTTTTTTGGGCAGGTGTAAGATGATTTTGTGGACAAAAGAAATCCATCCTAAAAATTTGGTAAAAGAACCATTCTTGATTGGATGCTCAAAATTCTACAGTGAAATAATGAGATCTAATTATGTTTCACAATACATAGTAACGGACAATGAGACAAATGCTCAAGGAATAACCATGGCGACTCAATGTAAAATTTGAAATGCGACCACTAGGTAGTATATCACAGGCTGAATTGAATGACTATGAAACAAGAGAGCAATGCTGAAGTATATGGACACGAAATAACAGCCTACAGTGCGTTGCCGATATCGAAAAACTTTCGCATGGCAGCCGTCACGCTTGGCGGAATAAAAACCGTGTTCCCAGAAATAAAAATTAAACATCGAAAATTTGGGTGAAATATATCATAGGATTGACGGGAAATTTCAAAGTAATTGGTCTAGTAGTTAAAGTGAAAAGCGAATTTTTACAACAAGAAAAATACCAACAAGAAGAACATATTAACAAAACGATTGATATGTAAATTTCGTGTTCAATAATAAATTTCCGCGACCAAAAATTATCGGTACTTCCGAAGTATGTGAACCAAGATGGTGGACGCCGGAACGTAGTATGTGTACCAGGTTAGGGTTAGTCCATAATTTTATTCCAATTTTCCTTATTCTAGTTCTATTACGAGTTCGTAGTATTTGTACCTGAAATTATGACCTGAACCTAACCTGGCACACATACTACGTTCCGGTGTCCGCCATCTTGGTTCACATACTTCGGAAGTATGAAATTATCTAATATTCCATACAAACCTTCGAATCTTCTCTAGTGCTCTGGTGACATTTACTAATTTTCTACAAAAAATACACTAAAAATGTACTCACGCGTAGCAACCGCCATCAGATCCTAAAAGAGGAGTGTGCGCGGGACATCCACAACCCGGAATACAGATCCCTCCACAACCGTTGGGGTTGTAAGTAACTTTTGGCAGTTTTATTTGGATATTACGAAAATTTGTAATATCCATTGTTTTGCATATTCTTGTACATGGTTTACATGCCTGATACATTTGATTCATTGGGCAAGCTGTGTAATTTCGAATAAAGAAAAATAACCAGTGCAAATTATATGTTGAGTTAAAAATAATTTTTTCATTAAATAAAATTTTAAATCCCCTGAAATGAGATGCGTATTACATAAAATATACAAAAAAAAAATAACGTATCCGTTAATCATTCCACAATTACATCGAAGAAGCTTTGCACATTGGAATTAGTATATACAATTCGGTAACTCAGAAAACACGGCGAATGTTAAAAAGCAAGCAAATAACTGCTTCAAGCAATAAAATCCTTTTGATAAATTTAAGCCACTGTTATGAAAATAAGTTCAGTTATTCCTGTTGCAGTGTGCTACACGTTGTGATCTTTTGTTTATATTCTGTCATTATTATAATATTGTTCTTTGTGTTGTGATCACTGATTATCGTCAAGCGACAACGGACTTCATCCGCCTTACTGCATTAGTTACGAGTATTAGACGTGGTCCGAGTGAGTTTGGCTATACTTTGTGACTCAAAGTAATTATGTTGCATGTTCTTGTGTTTAGGTTAAGATGCGTTTTAGTTCCTTACAGCCATACTTTTGGTTAAATAAAATAAACTGTCACAACAGCCATCAAAGCTAATTTTTTAATTAAATCATTAAAATCGACATACATGGACAATTTCCGGCATTACAGAATCTGGATTGGACCATGTGTGCTCCACACGACGTCAGGTATTGAGAGAAATAATAAACTTCATTCTCATGATCGATTGACCTGAAATTAGAAAATCAAATTAATACACAAAAAATAGGGCAATAAAAGTTTATTTTAAATCAGGCATATTTGTGAAATACATCCACATGAATCAATGAAGAATATAATGAAATGATGCTGTGCTGTTATGGAATTAATAACACAAAGACTCCAATTCATGATATTATTGAAAAGACTGAAGAATTCCGGTCATAGGTGTAACATATTTGAGAAAACAATTTCACAAGTTCCAGCATGTGTTCACAAGATTTTTATTTACGCAAACAAATGCCGATATTAGATATACATATAACAGGCCAATATGTTTGAACTTTAGCTAACGTTTTAATGTAATGAAATAGAAGAATGTTTTATGACCGTTAATTGACTCAAGAATCTTCAAAAGAAAACATAGAGCGCTACTTTTTCAATTTCCAACGATTAATTCAGCACTATTTTACGTAACTTTAGAAATACAATTTTAATGCTGGATAACTGAAAAGCAAAGTGTACCTCAATACCGCAGGCTTTGATACGTGTTCAAGCGCATAAGCAAGTTCGCCGTATAACGGAGAATGTATTGGCACGTTTGGTTCACAGTTTCTTTTTCTCGATGATCTTCCTCCGCCACATGGCGCTGTACAGCGACTCCATTCTTGCCATTTTCCGACGCGAACTAAAACAGTGGAAAATACGATCAGGATGTTTAATTACTGCCTCCCGACTGAAAAATTCCGTAAAAAAGAAAACAATTATATTTCAAAATTAGATAAGCTCAGGTTCAATTAACTAGTGCAATCGTCACGAAAGTATTATCATTTCAATTGCTATAGATTATTTATACCGGAGTATTCAAATTAAAGGTCATGCTGATGAAGGTCATTAAAAACCACAAAAACAATTTGTATTCTGAGTTTTAATTAATTTTCTGATTGTAATTTATCTGGTTTTGCTAAATAAAGTATATAACAAATAGTTGTTCAAGACAGAAAAGTTTATATCAAAAACATTCGAATGAAAGCAATAACTAAAAATAAAGAGAATAAAAAATATATTCATTGAGAATAAAATCGAATAAGCATAATATTACGGAATATAACCAAAAACTTACAGCATGGATCTTTGTTGCATGGAACTAGTTTTGTGCTTTCAAAATTACAATTGTTTTGATCCATGGAATCGTAACAAGTTCTTGAATAGGTCATAACCCCTCCTCCGCATTTTTGAGAGCAAGACTTTTGAAGAATCCATTCTGAAACACCTGAGGGCGAATCAAAAATAACATTTACAACATAGCGAGAATATATACTTTCTTTGTGTGTCGATATGCCTTGATTTGCGTCAAGGGTAACTTGATTGGTTCGTGACAGTAAGAATATTACTTATTACGAAATTTGTTCATTCAATGACGTTGGCGTTGACCCAGAGCTAAGTAAATGTGTGTATTGATTACTGTATTGATTAAATGTTTTGAATCTGAGTTTATAATTCAAAAAGAATTTCTAATTTTCCTGTTTTGTCTCGACATATATTTATGGGATGGGTGAGTTTGAGGTATATGTAGCTAGTTTTGCACATTATTGGACTACGTTGGGCCAGATCGAAATTTCGCACCCCTGATATATGGTGTCTTCTACATTTACAACATTTCACTAATTGATGAGTTATGTTATGCCAATTTTTTACGATATATTAAAGTAATTTTTTCACATAGCGCATAATGTATCCTAATCAAACGTGTTTATGGCTAATAAATACATTATCATATGTAACATATACATGGGCAAATTCAGTCACTTAAAAGAGAAAGGAAATCTCTTCAGATCAACGTCGCGAACGATTATTGAAACGCCGATGGCTAGGGATATGGTAAATGAGCAACCACAAAATACCGAAAGTTCTGGTTGATTTTGTTCATGAATATAGGTCGTACTGAGTGGCTTCCTGAATATTTATATCGTCATGAAATATCCTTAGTCATTCACAAGGGTCGCTTTAAATTTAACAATAATATTTATCCTATGTGATCTGGCCTGAGGCTTAGACTCGCGATTGTTTTGATATATGTTAAAACCATATCCGTGCTGACAACCAATATTTTAAACTAAGTAACTGTATAATATAATTGGGTGAAATAAAGGATAATGGGTGTGTGAATGTAAGTGTGCCCTGACAAGCAGGTTTACTTATCATCATTTTGATTTAAAATAATAAACCGCCTGACATTTGAAGTATTGATGGTTAATATTAGCCCATTTCATTTCGCTTTTTCGAGACTAATTTTTGGTTATTTTAACTGAAGTAAAACCTTTCGGAGGACAAAAAGAGTTATTTAAATTGTGTTTAAATTTTTGAAACACGAGTAAATATTGACAAATTATTAGCAAAACTCATCCCGAAATGGAGCTAATGTTTGCAACCTTACCTTATAAACTGTTCGAGTGAAAAAAATGTCTCAACGCTTGCCAACTGTTGCTTTATTTTTGACGCCTTGGTGATTGGCCAATACTACGGAAGTGAACAAAGAAGTCACGGGAAATATACATAGTGTAGTTATTGAATCGAATCCGCTAACTTCGTTTATCTTATATTGAATTGATTTAGAGTAAAATGAATATATATATTACTTACTGCATTCGTGTTTGTTACAAAGTTCCTCGTCTGTTTCCATCATCTCGCTTCCATATTTTACAAGTTTGAAAAGATCAAAAGTACCTGACGGTGCAATAGTAAAGCAATTGTCAATAGTAACCGGATGCCCAGTTTCATTCAAGCACGATCGGCTTCTGGCTCGACTCCCTCCACCACATATTTTTGTGCATGTTCCGAAGTCTGTCCAACCAGTGAATTGGAAGTTAGCGGATTTGGCTGAAAATAAAGACGAATACGATTTGAATTTTCGGATTCGCAAAGTGATTTTTAAGTTGTATAAGCTCAATTTGCTGGAAAATGATTCCTACGCGATTTTGGAGGTAAAACTATTCAGGACCCTTTGGAGATTGTTATAAATGTTATGAACTATTCACTGATAATAGTTTTATGATGAACAAAAATTATAATACAGTCATAGGGGGTTCTTCGGTGGATGACGCGAACTTGAACTGTGCCCCTAACTTGTGATTTCAGCATTGCAAGATTGAATGAATAAACCCTAGACTAGACCACTCGTCATTGATGACCAATAATAGATGACTTTTATTGTTTAGGATCGACTACACACCACTGTTATCTTGTTTCTCAATTACTATATGGATACAAGAAAATAATGATAATTATTACGTGAATTTAAAAAACTGCATGCCATCTTTTCAGGATAAATACTATATAGCATCAGGATAAATACATATATAGTTTTTGTTGCAAATAAGTGTCAAGTGAAAAAAAAATTACATGCTGTTGCTTCTTCGTGAGATTCTCCTTGCCCATATTGTGCAGGTTTTGGGACTTGCTGCTTCAGATTGTCCATTATATTTGTGTATTTACTTCCTAATAAGGGGCTGAAGTTATTCAAATATTCTTCCATAGGGCTGATTTGTTGCGCCGTTACTAGGCTCATCAGTAGAGCCGATACAGCGAAGAATTGAAACATGATCTTCGTTATGGTGATTCTAAATCAAATTGAATAATTTTAAATATTCTCTCGTATATTAAATTGAAATATACATTGTCGAAAGTTGCCCTGATTTCTTAAATGGATAGGGCATCCAGGTTGTCAATATTTTTTAATATTTTTTTTTATTATTATCAAATGACGTTACCGATATTAATTGTTGACTTGTTAAAATTTACTAATTGAAGTGTTTCACATAAAATCCACTTATCAAATTAAGCTATGTTAACTCACTAACTGAACTAACCGGTATCAAAAATATACTACTAGCCAAGCCCTCAACCTCACAGCCTAAAATGATTTCTAATATCCTGAAATTGTATTGAGATATCTTATCCACAAATTTTTTCGTGTAGCAACATTCTCAAATATAGCACAAGCGATACCTGACTTCTCGCGACGACGGTACCAAGTGAATGCCTAATCTCAATAGCCTCTGGCAAAATCACTGTGTAGGCACGACTTAATCTAAAGATTCATCCGAATTCATATCAAACTAAACGAACTATAATACGTATTTATACATAAAACCGCTGACGGGCAAAAATGACAATGTCGCAGTCGTGAGCTACGAATATAAATCCCAAAAATGTTTAATTAGCTATATTTCAATTAAATTAAATTTAAGAAATAAATAAATAAACAGTCGACGTTTTGAAGGGCCATGTTTTACTATAGTACAAGAAAATGAAATGATTTATTATCTGCCTTCAATAAAGTTGAAAAATACTCTAACCTGAATTGCTTGATTCGACAAAGCCTCATAGACGTTAACTTTCACCTATAACTATAAATCAAATGACTCCGTGATCATTTTATTATCTGAAACGTATTAGTCCAGTCCAAAATTTATTCCAGAAAATGCCAAAAGACAGAAAATAGTTCTTTTAAATGGTAGATGGTAACATGTTGAATCAAAATGCTGGTTATGAAACATTCACTCTGAGAAATTTGCCATGTTTATGATAATGATATATATTGGTGTTTTAACATAGCATAACTAAAAGAAATACTAAGTCAATACAAATATGCATATATACACGACTGCTGGAGTTGTTGAATGGGTGGGCACTATTAAAATAAGTATGAACAGGCGCATGAAAATTTGCTAAAGGATGTGCCATGGCCCGCTCACCAGTTTAATTAGAATATGGAAGCAATTGGGCGTTACAGATAGATGGAGACGAATGGCTAAGAAAACTGTATGCTAACAAATGTAACAAAGAGGCCGATATTGCTTTTGGATATACCCAACCCCAAGGCGGGTTTTAAAGAATCGTATGTTTCTGATATTGTAAACCCCATGAAGCAGCAGCACTCGCAGACTTAAATGTTTTTGAATATCTAATATTTTTCATGTATTTTTTATGGTACCCCGTTTCATGGTAAGCCCCATTATCACCACTACCCTCATTTTTATAAATAATTTCGCTGGGTGGCGGTATTGACCGGTTCTGCAGTCCTCTAATTTCCTTACAAGTCTACGTCGCCACAAACCTCAAGATACTCGCTGATACTTCGATCGGGCTAACAGGCCCGCTTCCATCTTGGGGCTACAGAACATTATCAGGAGGCACATGCCGAAAATCAAATTTTTGCGTTATTGTTTTGCATTTAAAAAATTTCTCTTTGACCGTATTTTACGCAGAATATCGATCAGTTGGTAACGGAATGGGGAGCGACTCTACAAAGGTATACTGTGCAGTCGCCTTCTCACATAACCACGGGAGGCATCTATAACTGGATAAGGATAATAAACATAACAAGAGAGCAACGCTCATATATATGGACACGTGGACCAGAGCGAAGCAGCCCTTAAGCAGTACCTTTGACGTTACCGGTACCGTACCCTAAAAAAAACTCCGATTTTTCAGTCGCAAGAATTTTCAGTCAGCCGTCACGCTTGACGAATTAAAAACCGTGTTCCCATGATTAAAAAATAATACAACGCAATTCTGGATGAAATATTAGATCTCATAACTCATAAGATTCAGAGAAAATTTAGGAATAAATAAAAGTAATAGCCTTCTGGCAAAAAATCATTCTTTAACCACTGAAAATTTCAAAGCGATTGGTTCAGTATTCGGAGGGAAAAGCGATTTTATAATGATGAAGACGAAAATTAACAAGAACAACAAGAAAATATTATAACGATTCATAGGGTCACTTACACATCACACATTGGTAGTTGGAAAAATTGCCGGAAATCGTACGCTAATGTTGCCTGGTACGAGAAGATGAGCCGACAGCTGGGAACCGCATAGTAAACGACCACGGCTCCAGAAATATTTAAACCCTGAATTTAAGATCGCGACGACTGTAGACTTCAACCACATTTACAAAATAAACATTTTTGAATTATGGATCATATTTATTTTCACTCAAAATAATAAACAATAAAAAAAATTTAAGATCAAAACTTAATATTCTCAGAAAAATATTAATTACAATAAACTCTCAAAAGCGAAGGTAAATAAGAAAAACAAACAAGAGACGAAGTGCCAGAAGGATTTTTTTACAAGTGGAACTCGGGATCATCATATCGCTAGATTTACTTAGAATTACCATTGAATTTTACTGACTTGGCCGATTTTTTTTTTTTGAACAATGCGTTCATTGTGTATTCACAGTGTGGTGTATAATGACGTAACAATAATCCGAGAACCAGGACAACGATGGCAATGAAATAAATAAATGGCGAATACCGAGAAATGTTAATGAATAACTCACACAATGTGGTAATATAGTAGGGATGCTTAATTTGAACTAAAGTTTGTACGCTATGTTTGTCAGAAGAATTTTTCAAGTTATTTTTTTATGAAATATGAATTCAGAGCAGAAAAAAAGGTAAAGAATTAGAACATAATATAGATATATACAATATCAAAATATGCAAAAAAAAAAGTGAAAATTAACATTATAAATGAAAATTAAACAACACCTTGGAAGAAATCCTACAAATTAAATCCGCACCAGAGCGTAAATGCTTGTCAAATGTTAGGCCCACACGTGGACTCCGATTTACGCATCAAACTTAGTAGCAATATCAAACTTGCGACATTACAACTTAGATGGGAAAAATTATGATGGAAATTTGTGCTCTAACGCCAAGGCGGTAGGGTTAATTATATTAAATTTGAATCGGAGTCAACAGTTACTAGAATTTTGCTAGGGGTATAAGATAATGGCGATCAAAGTGACAAAATCGTGGGGAATTATTATATACGTAATACCACACATATGTAGTTGACACGTCATGGCAGTAATACAAGTAGACGCCTTGTTAGATGAAAATGAAATATAATCATAATATTACGATTAATTATACAGTACAGTGCCTCGAGATACGACAAAATATAAAATAGCCTAAATTATCAACAGATTCACACAATTTGATACAAAAAATATGGCACAAAGCTAAAGAAAACCAAAAAACAGTATGTTTAGGAAAAAGACCGGTTTTAGCAAGCTACTAAACGTTTTGCCTGAATATTACTATTGCTTCGAATTTCATGTGCTATATATAAGTATATATAGACAAGGGCTCTATGTATAGATATACAGGTAGCAAATAGCAACATCCTATTCTATTAATGGTTTAAAGATATATAAATCAGCATTCATAATAAAATAATTTGTTGGCAGCTCGTGAAATTAGCGGTTCGGGGTGGAAGATTCAATCTCATTACATGTTTGATTTTGTCAAACAGCCCCATTCAAGCAAAATGCCAGGGAAATAGTAGCCAGATTTGATAATTTAGCAACATTATTTTGCTTTAGCAGACATAAAACAGGAAGGTATCGGCTGTAAAATTGGGCACGATACCAATATTGGATGACAATTTTCAGGAAGGCTGGAGACATCTACTTAATAAAGGCAGCTAGAACTCAACAGCAGCCACGGTTTCGGAAATACTCTAATGTCAAAATGGAGAAAGGTTTCGGAATTCTCATTACTGTTCATTTCAACCGTTTGCACAACAGGTGATAGTGCGCAACATCCAAAATCTGAGTATCAAATGATTTAATGAATAGTAGTGCATGGCGTCGTGACCTTGAATCGAGCTAACTTCAAAAATAGATTACAGAATGTCTTATCTGATCACGCCAGAAATGAGCTACTGATACATATGATCAACGAACATGTACCGAACGCGCTCTTTATTCAATCTCGATTTAAGTGCCATGCTACGTTTCCTTCAATGGTCCGCTCCACATTATGTGCATAGTCGAGAGTCTGATGCCGCCGTGTTTCAAAGTTTGGCAAGCACATCACCGCTTACTCAAAAATAAATAGAGAAGTTTTAATAAATAAATATTATCTTTATAAGAGACTTTGTTACATCTTGGCGTCTAGCATTTCAAGAAATAATTTTCTCATTACTACGCCACCGCGTTGTCTTACTCCGTGAAAAAACGATACAGCCTTCATAGATGTTTGGCGAAGTAATGGCAGACACATGATGAGCCTGGAAAACCGTTTTCCATCAGTTGGATGGTGGAGTAAGCATTGCTCGTTCAAAGCATCTTGCAAAGTGTCTTGGAGTTTTGAAAGTCCAACTTGATCTTCCACATGTGGTGAATCTAAAAGTAAAATTAGAGTTTAGGTAAATTTGAAAAATAAAAATTTGTAAAATATAGCAATACCTATTTTGAAGTACCATGCAAGTTCAATATGTAATTCGTCAGTGCAGCGGAACAATAGATATGAAACTCTTAAATGCATGAAAGCAAGAGATAAAACCATGAAACAGCTTGCTATCTCGGCTATATAGACTGTTCAAGGAATTATGACATGATCGAACGACAGGCATACAATAAAATACCGAGATCATGCACGTGTAACACAGCAAAGCAGACAAACCACCCTGAAAATGTATAACTAGTTACTGCCGGTTACTGGAATTTTCCTGCGCGGCTATTTTTGGACCTGTGGGCTGCGATAATAAACATTACACAAATTTTGGACCGTCTAGGTTTAATTTGGGCTGCGCTACGGCAATATTTAGACAAGATTCATAATACACTGCGGAAAATGGAGGCGAAATACGCACAACAGCGTATTAGTGACGTGATTTAGGAGTCCCTTGAGAACAAAATAAAGCTCCCCTGTCGAATTATGATGGCGCGTATCCATTTATACGCCGCCATTAACACAGCGTGTATGTTCCTGGAAATCTAAGCCAGCAGCGATAACACAAACAGGCTTTGAATTCCGTTCTAAAATTGTACGCTTTGCGAGATCTTCTGTCAAGAGACAGACGCCATATATGGTTCCGAACGCTGCAGTTGCTTAGCAACGAAGCGTACGTCACATTCTCTCGAATACGTCACAAAGAGATTGCTTCATCAGCGAGAGGATGTCACGGAACAACCAATCGCAAGTCGCGAATGAAGTCACGAGGACTCCTCTCTCTTTATTGCGTAACACAGGTCGTCACCAAACGAGAGAATACCGCAAACATGGGAAAAAAGACGGAAATTTACCTTCGGTATACTAAACTTGGAGCAGAGTTCAACGAGTAGGCGGCAGCCAAACACTTATCGTCCGAACGCGTTTGGTTGGCTGAAATTCGTTATTTCCGTATATACTTACACACAAGACCACGGTCAAATGAATTCAAGGCATAGTAAAGATGTGATTAAAATACGGTAATAATTGTGCCTAATTCCGATGGGGGGATAATTAGAATGAACTAGTTTCCAGGCCCACAACTTTGAATGTGAATTCAGCTACTAACCGGAATTAACAAGAGCAATGGCTTTCATAATGACAAATTCGGCTTTGCTGACGCCCACAGACTTCAATCTTCTTTGCAATTGAAGTATTGAGTGAGCGAACTCCGTCATACCAGATGCCTGGCACATTTCGCTATCCAAAATAAAATCCTCGGCAAAAACGATTTTTTCATTGTGTGACAAGGATCTGAAATTCAATACGTCATAATTCAGTTTATTCCAACCCTGGCTTCGTAATGATAACAAGTAGGTATGAGTTGATAAATGAAAGTATAGTGGCTATGTAAGCATTATCTATTTATATATAAAGAAAAAAATTTCAATCTAAAACTGTACCTAAATACTATCCCAAGCATAAGTATTTCCATCCACGCCGATTGTAGGAGTGCCATTTGATCCGCCAACGACAGAACGGTGAATCCTAAAACACATGAAATCACCGTTAACCCGGTACGAGAAAATATAAGTTGATTTGATAAGTTGTGTGGAAATGCACACAGAATAACACTCATAACATATGGGAATTGGGGTGGCATTTCACAAATCTGCAACATGATGGACCGTGAAAGATATAAATGCAAAGTCATTCTTGCGCCACTTCACGTCACAAACTTATGATGTCATTTGTCATGAGTTCTCAAAGCGGAAGAATAGGTTTTCGATCGATTGCGCCATGATTCGTATGTTTCGATGTCGTCATTAGACTGATGACGTATGTTAGATGAAGAAAGGACCAAAACCCCCCTTATGATTTCGCCACTTTGTTACAAGCGATGTAGCTAGAGTTACATCACGAATGTCGCAATGATATATTTTTTTTTGCCTAATTCTTGTTTTCATTTGGGACCTTGGACTGATTAAATTTTCAAAAAATAATTTCGTACTCAAAAGTACAATTAATCAGATTTCGAATTGAGTCTCAGGCGAGCTTCTTCTTGGCCACATTGAATCATGTTGCAAACGTAGTTAGCATGTATCTGCAAAGGCGAAATTACACAAAAATATAAGTGAAACATAGCAACATTGTAACAGAAAAACGCCAAGTGTAATGGCTGAGCTATATTATTCCTTGTCGCCATGCCAGTCAAAACATCCACCTAAGTCTTAATTAGTTTTACGAGAGGGCACCACGCGGAGTTGTAACGGAATTCTTTAGCTAGTTAGGGACCTGAGGTCACAATACAAAAACACGATTGATTTAAAATTGCTTTCTTCACGACTTGGTGCCTATTGTAGGGATATTTTATTGAAAGACGAAAAAACAAACGACGCGATTGCGGTCTACTCTATTTTTTTTTAATCCTAACAAACGTCACCTATATGAGAAAGGATATAAAACATTCGACATATATTGAAATTGGCCAGTCGTAGTATATACTTGGTATATACTGTATTATTTGTTCCATCAAAATACTTCTTATATTCTAACGGATTCGACGTCATCAGTGACGTCACGTGCAAAACACGTACTTACCAGGAATATGTTTCGCCCATCCAATAATGACCACCAATTCCCGGTCCGCCAAATCACAGAGAGTGTTCAAAATTTTGTCCTCACTTTTTGCGTCAGAGATATCTTGGTTATTTTGTGATGCAAATAATTTGTCTGGTTCGGCAAGCAAGAGGTTAGAGATGACTTTGCTGGCTGGAATGTAGGGAAGTAAAAAGCGTTACGAGAAAATGCCGTACGCACAATAAATCACAAACTAGCCCGTGGTTCGTCGCTATTCAGGCAGAATGCGACAGCATAAGACGTTCATAATTTTATACTATCAAAAACTCTACACCAGTCTTTTTGCATAAACACTACGGTCTTTATAAATTAAGTTCATGGAAGATAAATGAGTAAAACTGAACATCCTTCAACCGGGATATGAGGAAGATAAGTGACAGACAGAAACTGCAATTATGTGGTGCGAAGTGCGCTGAGCCATCCATTACCTGATTAATGAGCTTTCATGACAAAGCACAGTACGGTATTTGAAAATTCATATACATTCATTTGTTATAAACATTAGTCTATAATTATCGACATTTTTACGACGAAGTTCATTTATAGCCATGTCACTTTACCGGTGTACTTTATGAATTTGTTTGTGCAATCAATATGGAAGTTTATTGCATTGGCGTAATGAAATTGCCAATATAAAAATTGGTCGATTAAGAAATCCGCTCTGGGATTTGGACAGATTAAAATTGTAATCGTGCATTTACGAAATACAAATTGAACAAGTTGTCAAGATACTGTAATTAACCAAACGATGTAAAGAAAGTTTGAAATTAGCTTCATTAAAATACGAGATCTGCAATATACTTTCTAGTGAGTTAGCACAACCATTTTCGAAATCTACAAGCTAAATTTCACGAGTTGTACAGACATTCCCAAATATCCGGTGAAACGCCCATGTTTTTAACCAATAGAATGTGGTACGTAATCTACATTTTCCATCCAAAACAATTCAGCGTTGCGTGGCCATGACATGCATTTTATTGCACGAAAAACAAGAACTTGACGTGTAATTATGAGTCCAATATCACGTACACTTATTTGTAACATATCATGATTTTACCCCGAGGGATGATATTGCATTTTAACACATAATATTCCAGGGATGTGACAAATAGATGGTGTTTTCAGGCAGAATATAAATTTAAAAAAGGTGTCCAAATATATTTATTACCTTGAGGAAAATGTTGTTTGTCGTCATAGTGAATCGGATACAACGAAGACGCATCTCGACCATCAGATTCTGTTTTTCGTTTATATTTTTGTCTTCCTCCTCTTACACGATCCAGGCGAACCCCTGTTGTAAATGAACAGAATAATTTAATTAAGTGCAATGCTCTCCATACATGTAAGCTAAGGGATTGGAAATCTTCACAAACATAGAGTCCTTTCATGACGAGTCGACTAACGCAATAAAGCGTAGTATACATCTTGCAATGATAATAGAAAAGTGATGCGCTTTCAGTAACGTCGAGTTAGATGTATTACTGCTGGGCGTGCGGAATTATCGTCTAGAATCCCTAGGTCAAACGAGTGCGACTTGCCCAGGTACACCTTTTATTTTGTAGTTTACCATTGATCAAAAAACCATGTGAAAAGTCTCACTTCGCATGCAAAACAAAAGGATTATATAGCATTGTTTAGACTGCTAACCGGTGAGTTGAATTAGTCACACATTCATTAAGATATTTCTCCGGATATAAAAATGTTTTGAATATCGACTTATCTATGACTATTGTGTTTTGAAGTTCTGTTGAAAACAAACAGCCTTATTCCGTACACAAAATGACCCAAGCAAAAAATTTATAACCTAATAATATTATTTAACTGACAAACGGGAATGTTTTTACGCAGCTGTGGATAAGATACTGAACTTAATTCCGACCAAAAATTCCAGATTACGAACTTTTACGAGACGTGACGACATGTTATTTGCGCTTTTTTAACGATTACCAGCAATGACTGTTATCATACACAGTCATAACAACAACAAGCGTTAACTCCGCTGATGAGGTCAGCACCGGCTACGACTGAATCGATTCAGTTCGCATGTCATTCGGACAGCCATGTGGCAAAAAGATTGCAGTTGTATTGCCAGAATAGAATTATCAAAAAAAATTTAGACTGCTGAATCTATGTAAAACCAAGCTTCTGAGACCAAAATTAGCTATTGATATGTTCGCCATTCACTGCCCGTGTTATGCCCTATGGCCTGTCGTATGTAATGACGTATGACGTCATAATAGCCGCTGGCAAACAAAGATTATTTCGCAAGACTATGTAGCATAATATTATTGACTGTAAAGATTAGTGGCTAATGGCATCAAAATCACGGATAGTGAAACCAAGTTCACGATGTTGATTAATGTGAACTTTTGGCCTTAATTCTGACGGGATATGTCAAACATTGAATGCAATACAGAAGACATTTGCACGGCACTATGGTGATGGAACTATTTTAGGTATATATAGTTAAAGGCACCTCGGAACCGACAAACCGCCTTCCACTTACGTTTACCATACATAACTTGGAAAAGTTACGAGAAAAATTGGAACATGAGTAAAATGCTTCTCCGACAAACTTGTCCGTCTACCAATTGAGTTTGAGTACAAATAATTCTTTCCGTTTCAAAGTGGGACCGACCAAGCCCCGGAATACCCAGAGATTGTGTCCCTCTATACTTGCATTTGCGCGCTGGCCAATCGATATACAGCATTCGTGTTTCTCGAAAGCAGACACGTCGACGCTTTACATCGTTTACGACAACATGACAGTTACTACATATTTTGGTGTACATGCGGAACGAGAAATTCAACATTTTTCTTCCTCGATAATGGAACGTGAGATAGCACTTCCCTGATATTGTAATGAAAAAAATCATTATATATAATACACAGATATGGAATTGGCACCATTTGTTCATAAAAATGAATCAAGACTGGAACAATAGAAAGTTAGTTGGTCATTTATCAAATCCCCATGTTTGATCAGCTTCAAAAATCTAATTATTACAATAATCCCTGCTCATTGTTTGCTAATCACGCACACATAAGCGGGTATTGTAGCTGGTTGAGTCTGACTGCTCTACTATGGTGCAAATATTGCGGCTGCATAATCGCGGAGTGGGCAAATAAAACGTTAGTGGCTGGGGTTGCCGGTAAAAGCACACGACGGTTGGTTACCGGGTCACGTATCTTGAATATGGATACCTGGAAAGTTTTACTTATGCCGGGTGATTGGTTTGCACTCCACAGAGTGTGAGTTTTAATTTCATTTATAGCCACCTCAATACTATTTCGCATGCCCTTAAACAAGTCAAAAACGCATCAATTTTACCGACATTAAACAATATCTCCCGCGTACATTGACTGTATTGAGACAACACATACGAATTAGTCTATATCGGATATTCCGTCGAGATTGGACAGTCTCTAATGCAAGATCTATATAAATTGTAATTTCAGTACATCAATGGCTCAAATCGATTTTGATAAGTTTCAAACTGAAACCACAACTTCGAAGGAATTTCTCATCGGAATAGTAAATGAACATAAGCCGGAAACTGCATTTCATTCTGAAGTACAGACTACGACCTACGTGACGAAAACAAGCCCATAAAATGCTATGTCATCATTGGTAGATTCCATTGTGGTGGGGAAAGTGTAATATACTGGTAATTCATCGTCACTCACGCAAATATCGTGGATCGTAAGTACTAAAATTTACAGTACTTTCATTGTTATTGCGATTTGTACAAGTTATCATCTATCTAGTATTTTAGTCATACATTGGGGCGATGAAATGTGTGTCGAGAATATTTGAAATCACCATGACGGTATTCAATTCGTGGCATGCTTGTTGTATAATAGTAAGTCACTTGCTTCCGGTGTCATTTTCTACAAATTCCCATTATTTTGAATCAATGAAACGATATAATCCATCACCAATTAGCCGATCATTTATGGATAATATGGGATCTAATTTCAGATCAAGAGAGCACGGGGATGGTGGTCAATTAAGAGCCTTGTTTTTGTGCAACCATTCATGCATTTCTAGTTCCGGGATTTCAAATTCTTTGAATCGCAGACTCACATATCCGCTCAGGCCTTGGAATAAAATTTGTTAACAAATAGAGATCCCATAAAGTTGAATGTAGAATTTGAATTGGATAACTCTCCTTGTAATGATTACACTCGGAAACGGTAGCCAGCCTCCCATACTTATATCAGAATAGTCGATCACGAAAACGATAAGATCGAGTTAAATGAGTCCTTACCTTCTCTGAGCATTCCCACTCGAAGGCACTTGGTAAACCGACAAGATTGGCACGACTTTCGCCTTCTTTTGGTGATTTCACAGTCACTGGCAGCCGGACATGTGTAATCAATACTTCCTGAACATAAATGATGGAGTATTTAGGGATGAAATGGCTAAAATTATACAACGAGGGTTTGTAAAATCGATAATTAAGCAAAAACGATATTTGAAGTCGACCAAAAATAGATTATCTTGTGACTGGGACCCGGGCTCTGACGCAAGTTCATAAATGTAATTTAGATGGCTTCCAAACTGACATCTACGGAAATAGAATTGTTTAAAGTAGGAACAAGGCATTTAAAATTTCATGACTTCGCTTTTAATACCAGTATCGGCCGAACTAGACTGTTATGCAACTGTTTGTTTGTCATACATGATAAGTAATATAGTGGGATAGAATAGTTACGCAATATTTACCTTGAATAGTTCGCTTGAAAAACGCTTTACAAGCTTCACAAGATGCAACACCATAGTGATATCCACTTGCCACATCTCCGCATACTAGACATAGGCGCTTGGGTGCAGCGTTGCCACTAACGTGGCAAGCTTGAGAGGTCGGTGACGTTACAGATTGAGAGGCATTTTGGGGTAATACCGGGGCATACGTGGGGTTCGAAGTGCTGCATGGGACTTTTACTAAAACAGGGGCTGGTTGAGAAACGGTTACAAGAGAAAGTCTGTCATCTTTCAAAAGTCCATCTGAATACGGGTGCAATGCCGCATTCTCTGGCAAGGCGGCATCGAGCAGTTCCGAACGGAATCGATAAATATCGTCCTCCGTACAATCGCATGAGCTAAAAGGCTCTAGTTTGATGTCCGTGGGTCTATTGGTCCAGTTGAAGCATACTCCGTCGTCAGTGTAAAATGAGCTCGCAGACCCCAGGCCAGAGTCACCACTTGCGTCGAAGTTTTCGCCTCCAAAGAAGTCCAAACCGGCTCCGAATTGTATGCCACTGACGTTTCTCGGGCTACAAGGTAATCCATCAGAACTTGTACTATCTGGACTGCTTCCCGATGAATTGAAACTAGCACTGAAGCCCCCAGAACTTTCCACGGGGCTGTATGGCTCTTGTTTTATACCACTCGCCGATAAAACTTGACTTAAACGATCGTCACTGCTGATAAGTGTGCTACACATATTTGCTGTAAAAAGATGGCATGTATTTACCAAAAATTGGGGTTAAATTAAAGTTCAAGCAAACAATTTACTTTACAAACTCACTCTTATCTAAATGTCTCGGAGTCGAATTAAGTTGTGATTAATTGAAATAAAAAATGTTGTTTCAAGTACCACTTTCAAGGACTAGACTATTTAATAATAGACTGCTGACGATACTCAAGACGAATTCAAGTACAAAGCTTAGAATAAAATACATATATATTGTAGCTGCTGGGCATCAGCGTCAAAATAAAAAATGTGATAAAAAAAACTTATTATAACCAACTACTAGTTTGTGTTGAAAGGTCCAAACGTCACTATCACCCAAAGTGTGAACGATATGTATTTTTGACAACGCAGTACTATAGGAACATGCAAGGCCGACCGAATAAATACATCGCCGATTAAACACAACATTGTATGATCCATGCCTGCTACGAAATGGTCTGAACGTGTTAAGCAATAAAGTGTTATTAATAAATTCTACTATAACCACACTAGCAAAACAAACGCTACTTTGCATCGCGCTGTAGTAAATGGTTCATTATTCGAGGCTACGGTATGTACGCCTTTACATACAAGCTATAAAACTACATACGACAGCCAGGAAAAAAGTCATTTAGTTTACGCAATACGTAAATTAGTCTTGACGAGGCACTGTAGCTATTGTCCGCACTTGATTAGACTCAAAATACTATCTGCGACAAGATCGATATATCATCTGAGACATTGACAATCTTTTGAGGTTTTCTGTGCCAACGGAAGCCCTGCATAGGCATCCGCCGCTGGTTGCGATACTTCACTAAATGAGTGACGTGGATCATAAGACGTCATATTATATGGCTGATGGAAAAATACCCGGAATCGTTACGTTGGCCTACGCGATGCGATGTTACTTAGTTAATGTTAAATGTCTTTTTTTCTGCGCAGGTATTGCAGAATTCTCTCGTGTGCGGCAAACGCTTCGATCGTTGAATGATTCAGTTTACTCGGCACAATCGAAGCTAAGCCCGATTGAGCCATTTTATTTATTACTTAGCTTGGTGAATGCTGTGACGGCTTAGGCTTATATAGGCGCAGTTGTGTTTTATCGACGCTAGTAAGGAATGAATACGCAGATCACATCTCGACACACTGTAATGGAATAGTAAATTTTTCTCAAAAAAACACTTTGACATTCTAGGACCCTAGGTGAATACGTAATCTGTAAAGTGGGACATAATAGTCAAACAATTATTAAAATTAAATTTTACGCCCTGTGAAACCTCTGCGTGAATGTGTAGTAGTTGGCGCACCATTTCTGCGAGGAGAATAGGTTTTGCGGGTTTGAAGGAGTAAGCTGTTTAATCAACTGATAATATGTAATCTATTACTGTTGGAAATTAACAAGTTTGCAAGATGACTCCCGTATGTATATATTTCATCATTCACACGTTATGGTTATACGTAATACCACACATCTCTATGGAAAAATACGGTACAATTTCGAAGTTCAATTGTACAAAATAAATATGACTTGGTAATACGATAATTAAAATCAATACACGTGTTGCAGATTAAAAATTATGATTATCAAATAAAATACAAGATTTTCAGTTGTTGATCATGCGCCTAGAAAACTTTACTTTCTAACAAATATCGCGAATTTTTGTGCCCTAATTTCAGATTATTTAAATAAAAATCTATATGTCTGTGCGATAGATTTACTCCCGCGGTAAGAGGGTTCTTTACTATTAGCCACATAATAAACAATTATACATAAACCGTTGATGATGGCACAGATATTATTATACGTTGAGCTCAGCATACACCATCATTGAATGGACAATGAGCTTGACGGCAAACTATTGTGAGAGAAGTAAAAAATAGTCGAGTAATTGACTAGTTTACAAACATCATGGCCAGATTATTGATCACAATTTGCACTATAAATACAAACTCACCGAAGTAATCACAGCGACAAACACGACTTTTTGAACTATGAAACGCAAATTTACTCCGAAAACTATTCACCCCTTATAAATAAACATATTAAAGCTACTGGGGAGCGATGGCATATATATATATGGTTTACATACAACATGCAACGCGTGTTTATTTGAAATTATTAGCACGATTAGCTTGTAAACATATTGGAATACGCAGATAAAACAGATCCGAATGAATAAGACTTTGTATAACATGTATTATATTTATACAATTTCTCCTAAATACGTCAAAAAGCCAAAAATATGGTTGAAACATAAAAATAAATGCTTGAATTCGTAGACGCAAACGAATATTCATAAACCTAGGTTGGTCGAAGAAAATTTCTAATCGGCCGAAAAGAGAGAAACCTAGAAATTTTGTAGGCGTGTTTCCAGGACGCGCCCCCACCTTCCATTAATAGCTTTTAAGATGGCGGTCCGTCCAAAGTTTGAATTGATAAGACCCTCAAGATTGCGCCATAATGGCGGCGAGGCTACGTCATCCGATGATGTAGGCAAATATTGCGCAACTTACGTAACGATGAAAATTGAGGTGTAAGGAGAGGCTGAAAATTTTTCAATTTAGCAATAGTAATGATATTACGTAAATTTCAAATTTGGACTTCATTGGCTATGTTACAATTTGCTTTATGATATTACCTCATAACAACAGTCATTGGCACTAGGACGGAACAAATAAAGGTTTAACCATGAGTATTGCAGCAGCATTGATGCTCGATCGCGGCTACGACTAAGTTACACAAAATTGGCGTTTAAGATAATCAAGAATATTTAAAAAATCCATATTTTGCAGCTCCAAGCCTCCAATCTGACTTATTAGCGATTTAGTGAAGAAGAGACATAGCCATACCATACAAAGCCTAGCATGCATCTCCACTGGCTTGTAATACCATACGATGTGTTGGTTTGGTCTAACTAACCGGAAGCTCAGATTTCATTACGCTAGGCTTCGCTAACTCAAGTGTGTGCATATCACTACGCCATATCTGCTTTCATCAAGGATACGTAAAATTCTATGCAACATTAGTTGCGCATAATACGTAATACCCTGCCGGAAACTGCTTGACGCTTAACTTCCAAATAAGTTATGCAAGGCTCATATCTAACAGGCAGAAGAAGCAAAGAAATACATCTAGCCTTGTGATGTCACAAAATAGGTAGATATGCTTTCTCTCGACGAAGATCGGCATGCCAGATTTATACCAATCAAATAAAGAAATTTATATAATAGAATAGATTCAATGTCAATGTTTAACTATACAACAGTAAATTCAAATTCTTACGGGGAGTCAACATATAAGCAAGTAATACATATTCGCGGTACCTGTCAATTTAGAAGAGAATGAAAACCGTACGAGTAATGCAAAACAGCTGATTTTTGTTAGGACCAATCAAGCGTGGTAGTTGGTTTCTTTCTCATATTCAAACGGCCTCGGTACGTTGGTCCTTTGTTAGATGCGAATATCGAGTTACCTTATAGCGTCCTCCAATTCTTAAAATCATTGTAACAGCGGATTGGATTTCATCAAACTTGCAGATCATCTCAATTAGGAACTATTCGCGTGTACCAAACGCGCGCACCTGCTCGCTCACCCCTTTACATCCCAGATTCACAATTAGTTTATAATGATTCAAAGTTACGAGCAAATTTATACTTAGTTTTCTTTGCTAACGACAGAAAGCAGTTTGCTGCGCCTATGGCTCGAATATGGATTGTCAGGATATTACAACACCAACAATATCACTTTTTCTCTAGTTGTGAATATAAAAGTTAAATATTTTAGTTCCTAATTGAAAGTATAATACTATGTTGCATGAGGATTGTTAGAATAGAAAAAAATACTTACAAATTAACCAGTTCATCCGTACAAACTTTCTTTGAACTATTATGTTGTGCTCTTTTCGACGGGCGACAAAGCACGCTGCTTGCTCGTAACAATACTATAAGTAAATCTTTGAACTTCCTACACAAATAGTCTATATTTCTATAACAAATAAATAAATAAACGACATAAATCATTCAATCGCAGCCAAACCAAGACGGGACAGTCTGGGGAGCGCTTTTGTTGAAAAACGAAATCTTGCGGTTTCACATAACGCTATCACTAACTGATTGAAATAAATTACACTGATCCACACATGGTTGTCATATAAACAACGATCGTTTGAAGAATGCCTTTTCTTTTCAACAAATACATTCGCATTCCTACCAGTTAACAATTCTTTGATGACTATTGTCCGAAGTTTTCTTTATTCATTTCTATGAAAAGTAACCAAGTTATTTTGGGAGTTCTTCTGTTACGAGACAATGCCCAACTTCCGTTTTGCTTTCGTTGTTAATTTCACGAGAGGTAATTCACAATAAAATAACGTAACATCGCTGCATCTCCCTCCACCTCGACCATCTACAATCGTTCTTGGCTAATACAGTCACCCAGCTGCAGGAGGCGGGACATAGATACAACATTTTTGCCTGCCACAATACATTTTCTAAATATTGAATACCCCAAAATCTCGGCAACGACGTTTTTTTCCGTAACCGCCCGCAGCCCTAATCTCGACGTTGTCCATAATTTCTGTGGACGTTTTCAAGTCGAACCAAACAAACACGTTGAAAGCAATTACAAGATATATAGTAATAATTGCAAAACAATAGTTGCAATTTACTTGCAATGAGTACGAATGTTTTCCTCAAAAGAATTGCTGGCGTTATGCCACTCGCGTTCATCAAATAATCTTTCGCCGTTTTCGTTTCATCATTTGTATATAATCGTATATAACACGATGCTTGATTAACTAACGACGCCAATGATATTCTGGAAGTAGTCAATTTCGTGCTACATTCACGAACGCATTTCAGGTCATTTTGCTGAAGAATCAGCGCTATCTACAAAGTATCCGAAATTTAATGTTCAACACCTTTGCCTGGAATCTTCACAACCGATTGACCAACTAACTACCAATATTCAGCGCAGAGAATGCACATTATGCCAGGTATAAGAAATAATACCTTATGCTATTGTGTTTTTAAATTGAACAGGTGTCGGTCCTAAATTTTCAGGTATCACTTGTCATATACAATTAGCATTTCATGTTTTTCTATTGTCACATTGTTTTGCCGGCAAGCGTGTACCAAGAGAATAATATATCACGTGACTAGTGATGTCACAAATATGGGCGGCCATGATTCGAATCTCTGCATGGGCAATGTGGAGCATGAATAAAACAATAGTAACGTGAACTGGGGGACGCTATCAACTATTATACTATAAGAAAGCACTTCCTATACGCTTATTTCAAAACTTTAATAACACATTTTATTGTTTCCTCCGAGGAATTTGGTTTTATTATTATATTATATATGTTCTCAAGGTCGCTAAATATGATTAATTAATATAACAAAGGTCGTTAAAAATTGCCCACACTCGATAGTACCTTGCCAAACAGTTGTATGAGACTGAAAACACTGTAAAAAGGATTCATTCATCGATAACGCATGCCTAGATATTGGAAAGGGCTAATCTATTTTTGACCGATTGAGACGAATTGCGCTTTTTTTAGAACAAAATTGTCTCCGCCTCACAATGCATATCGTATTTTTGGGAATGCATATATTAACTGCTAAAGTATTACTCAACAAATACCGACATATAAATGTAACAACCAGTGCTGTATGCTGCAATGCTGACTCGGGCTGCAACGTTCAACTGAATATAATATAATTCCCGTAAGAATGCGCTTATTAAGTAGTTCTAATGCCAACATTGTGTAGTATTGAAACATTGCAAATTGCTTGTTAAAAAAAAGCGACCCAGATACCTCAGAATATTTTAATTTAAAGTAAATGTGATTCTTCCTAAGTTAATGGCATTGTCACTGGTACAATTATGTGACTTGCTGATTTTTCTTCAAATATATATAAGATGTCGATTACAAAGATAAAACAGGCGATGAAATTGGCAACCAAATTTATTCTCCTGTGTATTACCACTATTTCTTTTAATAATCAGCAATATCCAATTTCCGTGACTCTACTGAATGCAATCAGCTGTTGCTGCTCCAAGTCCAGTGAGTTTCGATAAATGACAAATTCGAGACGAAAACATCAAATCTTGTACTCTCTGATCTCATCTAGCGGTCAGTGAATATGATCTCTTTGGAGAGCAACAATTATTGAACCAGCTTCTACCGCCCTATTCCAAACAAAATCGTGTTTGCATTGTTATGGGTGTTCACTTTAGTTATTTCTAAATATGATTGAATCTGTATGCCTTGGCATCAATATTCGTACAAGAGCAGTGATTGGTTTCGGAATCAAGTAGAGCAATATTAAAATGTGCAGTGACTTTTTTATATTTGCACACTTTTGTTTCACTGTGGATGCTTGCTGCACATAAAATTCTCCTACTTCAAAAATATTGGCATCGCCAACATCATTTCTGTTTATCACGATCCACGTGGGTTTCTAGTAATAGAGTCGCACTCTTGTTCATTGGTTACGCTTGGTACTCGGTATACCAATGCATCCATCATTACGTCATTTTCCTGGTATTGATTCTTATCCGCAGTCAGGATACTGTTCATATCGTTTGAAAATCGGCCCTCTCGTTTTTTTTCTAGTTTACCAACGTACATTCGTTCTTTACGACTTACGTTGCAACTACACAATAGGAAAAGACGACAGCAAGTTTCGACAAAAGATGCAACAACATGTTTCTCATTGATGCAAAAATTAATAAAATACATGACCCGCACTTTCTTTTTCATGATAAAAATAATTTGTGACCCATTCAGTAAAAAAGGTTTTCCCTCTCTTTACTGAACAGACTTATGGACTCCTGTAATACTGCAAAGTCGATAGCTGTTTTGTGTTCAGTTGCCATGGGCAACAGATAGGTACCGCAACGTTGATTACCCTGATCTCCTTTCTCCGCAGAAGAATATGAAATACAAGAAAGCGATCCTCAAATATATGAACACGAAGACCAAATCGATATAGTACGGGTCTACAGTCTGCCACAGTAAACTATCGGTACCGCAGTATTCATTCATTTTTGCATAACAACAGGATGAACGGAAATACCAACGGTACAACAACACCATTATAACAAACCGATCCATGGACATTTCGTGAATAACACGGAGAAGCTGAACAACGCCGAGAGAAAGCAGTATATGCGCAATGACATGCCTAGAGTAGAGACAACTTCAATGAAAAAGCTGGGGTATACGTTATCTTATATTTGCAGATTTATCCCAACTGTGGTCATTTGCAATTTAGATGCAACATAAATAAATATGGTATGACTATGAGTGAATTATTATCAATGAGTTACCCTTCCGATAACTTGTTATGTTGTAATGAATCTCTGTAGGAAAAATTTAAACTGGGACTGTCCAAAAATGAGTTATTTGGAGCTTCCTTATGGTTATATAAGGTTCGGGTCATATTAATGATCAACCATGCAAAAAAAACAAAAAAAAAATGCTAATCAATATGGAAAACTCTATTGCATGACGAAGGATGAAATCAAAACGGACATAGGGATAAATAGGTAATATGTGTTAAAATCCTACGTTACAGATCTACAATTAACGATCAATCGGTTATACCTTACGGTTATACAGAAATATCCACTTAGGTAATACTGTAGAATCGACTGCTGTTTTGTTAGAGTCCTCATGATGCAGGGCATGTCAACGTTATTGTTACTCAAGCCTAGAGACCATTTTAAAGTATAAGCTGGCCGTGAATTATTCACGTTGAGTACTGAAATGACTAATGATGGTTTCCTTGTCCGTTCCCGGCCTTACCTTGCGAGGCTGGAGGAAAATTAATACAGTGGCAGGGTTTGTTTCTTCTACTGTCCACCGAACAGCGCAATGGCTGGCGTCATTCCTATGGACTTTGTTCGCTCTCATTTTTCTTGGTAGTGTTTGTATTTCATCGTGGCGGCTTATATTTTGTTTTCAGAATTTTTATCTGAAATTCTCCACAGACTATTGTTAATTAAAGTTTTATACTACTCCGCCACACAATACTTAATAATAAATCGAACTACAAATAAATAATTATATTAAATAAATTTTCTGCTTTTATTTGTATATTGTCAATACAGTAGGCAGTGGGATACGCCTCCGGTTCAGAACACTGTTCGCAACATTTTGTGTAGTGTAGATGATCATTCAACCCCTGGTTTGCAGACGGAATAAAAGAACTTGATATTTACGTGATAAATTACTGTGTTCGTGTCATGACATCGTGGTTGAAATAAATCTTTCATAATTATATATAATTCCCCCCCCCCCCATCAGTCGACTTATTTAATAGGTGTGAAAAAGTTATTCGAAGAAAGCAATTGTAATTTTTGACAGGCTACATAACAGCTTTGATACCGGCCAGTTCTGACTATATGTCTCAGGTTCCATTACATTTGAACCCACGTACATTTGAACCCATGACAATTGCACCTGTATGCTATTGCACCTATGGAATTTTTTTTGTTTCACGGATAGTTAAACCCATACTAACCCTAACCCATGGGTTTTAGCACCCGCATATAGATTGAACCCGTGGATATACGCATGGGTTCAAATGTACGTGGGTTCAAATGTACGGTCACCTATGTCTCAACATCAGATATTTTGTTTTGTGTTATTAACAGATTAGTAGCAATTCCAAATTGTTAAAATCTGAACATTTGGATTGTTTTGTGCGATTTTAGCTTTATCATATGGCATTTGTTTTAATCCAATCAGGGGTATCACTATTATAATTTAGTTATCACCCCACTGTATATTTTGATCCAATGGCAATTGAGTACTACATAATTTTAGATAGTGCATTATAGTTTCAGATGGAGTGTTCAAATATAAACAAAAACGATGCGCGATTTCGGCGAGCGAGGTCATCGTATTTTAAAATTCTTCCACCGGAAGGCGCTATACAGACAGTGGGCGAAGTATCCTTGAAATTGGGTACTCCCGTAGTGTGTGTACCAG